TGCTTGGGGAGTTGGTCAAGCTCGTCAGCAGTGCCAAGGTGTTTGATCTGGGTAGTCTGCCGGAGAAGGCGGAGGATAGACTCAAGTGGAGGCCGGCGAAGACGACGCCGGGATGGTGGGTGGCGAAGCAGATGGAGGATTGGGAGGCGTTGAAGGAGTGGGAGGGGAGCGTTAAGGGACGAGTTAGGGAGTTGGGTGGTGCACCGGGAAGCAAGAAGGCGGAGAGGGAGGAGGAGGCGAAGAGGATGGTGAGGAGGACGGCGGCTGCGAAACTGCAGATTAGGTTGCCGGGGATGGAGGGGAAGGTTGGGCATGGTGGTGGGAGACGGGTGCAGATTGTGGGGAGTAGGGAGTGGGAGAGTTTGCAGGGGAGGTTGGCTGCTGTTGTTTGAGATGGGATAAGGGACAAGTGAGCAAGCGAGCGAGCTGTGATGATGAATATGCTTAGTACTACATTGTTTATGAACGAAGTTAACGTTGTCATGATGGTCAAGTTATCAGTATCAGAAAGGAAAAGTTGGCGTGGGAAGTGTCGTACATAGATAATGGGTGTATTATGGATCTGGAACGATTGAAAACAATTATTTTACCACCTCACGAGATCTTTACACAAGTTTGCATTGCTGTTGACTATTCATGCCGAGTTGTTGAACAAAATATACAAAAGGGGCAGGTGAAGAGTTCTCACCTTGAAAGTTAGCAGAAGTGGAAAGCTCACCGTCGTTCACCGAAAGGCGAGCTTTGGTGCACGGACCATAATGCTTTCAATGCTAGCGCGGTTGACCATTGGCGGCGCGTCTTTGGCGAACCTGCCCGCTGTGGAATTTTGAAGCTTCTGGAGCTTCTCAAACCTCCCACCTGCTGTTATCGCATTGCACCAGAAACATACCTAAACACTAACACTTTCTGCGGCTCACTTCGACAACATTCGTGCCGTCACTTTCTCCAAACCAAAACTTCCTTCCCAACCTCGACGACTAGCCCAGATCTTTGCTCGACAATACCGAATACCGCCACCGATTACTACGCGACAGCTTCGATTACCTCTTCCGAACCGAACTACAAAAGAAACCGAACGAGCGCAGACATGGTGCAAATCAGCGAGGTCAAGGGCAACAGCCGCGACAATCGCACGGCCGCCCACACCCACATCAAGGGCCTCGGCCTCAACTCCCAGGGGATCGCAGAGAAGCAGGCGTCGGGCTTCGTCGGCCAGACCACGGCGCGTGAAGCATGCGGTGTTGTCGTCGACCTCATCAAGGCACACAAGATGGCCGGTAGGGGAGTCCTGCTAGCGGGCGGCCCCGGCACAGGCAAGACGGCGCTCGCGCTCGCCATCAGCCAGGAACTCGGCACCAAGATCCCCTTCTGCCCCATCACCGGCAGCGAAATCTACTCGACCGAAGTCAAGAAGACCGAGGTGCTCATGGAGAACTTCCGGCGCGCCATCGGGCTCAAGGTGCGCGAGACCAAGGAGGTGTACGAGGGCGAGGTGACCGAGTTGACGCCCGAGGAGGCCGAGAACCCGCTCGGCGGCTACGGCAAGACCATCACCACGCTCCTGATCGGGCTCAAGAGCGCCAAGGGCCAGAAGAAGCTGCGCCTCGACCCCAGCATCTACGAGGCCATCCAGAAGGAGAGGGTCACGGTCGGCGACGTCATCTACATCGAGGCCAACACGGGCGCCTGCAAGCGCGTCGGCCGCTCCGACGCCTACGCCACCGAGTTCGATCTCGAGGCCGAGGAGTACGTGCCCATTCCCAAGGGCGAGGTGCACAAGAAGAAGGAGATTGTGCAGGATGTGTCGCTGCACGACCTCGATGTGGCCAACGCCCGCCCCCAGGGTGGCCAGGACATCATGTCCATGATGGGCCAGCTGATGAAGCCCAAGATGACCGAGATCACCGACAAGCTGCGCTCCGAGATCAACAAGGTGGTCAGCAAGTACATTGACCAGGGTGTTGCCGAGCTGGTCCCTGGCGTGCTGTTTATTGACGAGGTATGTTTGCTCTCCCTGGCGGTGGGCGCGGGCTGAAACAATCACCATTTGATTCGATGGGCTAACAAAGAGCTGCTTGACAGGCCCACATGCTGGATGTTGAGTGCTTTACCTACCTGAACAAAGCGCTGGAGTCGCCCATCTCCCCCATTGTCGTGCTAGCCTCGAACCGGGGCATGACGGGCATCCGCGGCGCAGAGGATCTCGTTGCCGCCCACGGCATCCCCCCCGACTTCCTCAGCCGCCTGCTCATCATCCCCACCACCGCCTATGACCCCGAGGAGATCAAGAGGATCGTCAAGATCCGGTCGACAACCGAGGGCGTCAAGATCACAGAGGCCGCCATCGACAAGATTGCGGAGCACGGTGTGCGCATCTCGCTCAGATACTGCCTCCAGCTATTGACTCCTGCAAGGTACGTGTCTTCTTTTTCGTGTTTGTTCTGGGGGTGAAACAAATCCAATGTCACAACATATAACTGACCCTGCACACACAACAGCATTCTGGCCAAGGTCAATGGCCGCAACGAGATCGACGTCCAGGATGTCGCCGAGTGCGAGGATCTCTTCCTCGACGCCCGCCGCAGCGCCGCCCTACTAAGCAGCGAGCAGGGTCAGAACTTTATTTGTTGATCAGTTGTTGTTGTTTTTTTTCCACGGTCCGTAACGTCACTCGTCATATCTCAACTGATTATTAAACAGGAAATTGATAGATGAGCACAACAGGGAGCCAGGGGTGATTGTTTTAAACAGGTCGGCTGGGTTTAAAAAAGAGATCTTTTTTTCTGCGTTTAATGGACTACTGGAGTTGGCGCTGCGTTTTTTTTTTGTTTTTCTTGTATCTGTTCATTTTTCCGTTTTTTTTTTTCATGTTTCATGTTTCATGATAAGTCCTAATGTCATCAGGAAAGATCGGGGCGAAGGGGGGGGGGGGGGGGGGGTTCTTCGTTTGCGGGTGTTTCATTTATTTGACCGGTTCTTGACACGGGCACCACCAATCTCCGTTACATACCCAAGTTTTGAAAATACTGGGAGAAGGCAGATGGGAAAATAGGAAAACCAAACCATACCATCCTTCAATCTTTTTTTTTTCGTTCCTCCTCCTCACTCATTTCCATCAATTTCACGGTTCGGCATTATGGATGGGTGGATGGTTATGGATGGATGGGGAAACATCACTCATCCATCCACAATCGACAAGGGAGAAGAAGAAGAAGAAGAAGAAGAGGCACAGCACGGCACACCTCCCAACAACAATGCAAATTGACAAAAGGCAAGCAAGGGAATGCGGAATGCGGGAAGCAAGTGGGAATGCTAGACCAAATTCGGCGCGGACCATGGTCTTTGTCTCCCAGCAGCCCAGCCCAGCCTGCTTCAGCATTCCAGTTGCCGAGCGCGGTTGGCCCGCATTCCTTTGATGGTTTTTGATGGCACAAGGCAACGGCCATAACAGTTGGCATTGTTAACTTGTGTTCTTGGGAGGGGAGGCTGGCGGGCGCCTGAATGGATTTGCTGGATTTGCTGGATTTGCTGGATTCTGCTGGATTCTGCTGCCCATGACTGGCCTATTGTACCGCTCAATTGTCTTGATGCAAAACTGGGCACTGGGTTTGGTGTATGTGATGCGTGTGTGTCTTCTTCCCTGCTACACTTCCACTTTTCTCACTCGTCATTTGGGGTTCTGACTGACCGCGAACGGAATGGTTTTTTTTGCAGTGTGGTTGCAAACGCTGGACAAAGAATTTCATATGTTGCGGTGGACTGCGGACCTGCACCACTCAACCTTTGGGTCGCTCGGTACATTCCCGAGACACTCCCAACATCCACAACTCACGGTGTCCCTGGTTACCTATCTCGCCCATTTCCGTTCCGTTTCGATCGCTTACCTCCGCACTCCGCACTCCGGTTTCTGCCCTCCCCCTTGTCCTCCGAATTCGCCTCCGGTATGGCACTGGTACTGCTGGCCCCTCCCATCTCCCATCTCCCACCCCCATTTCCAATCCCAAGATGACGCCGGTTTGGTCAACACACATTGATAAGGTACAATATGATTTTTCAGTTTGTACATTTTGGTTGAGAGAAGGACATGGAGGGATATGGCCATGGCACCATTCGCATAGCAAGGGATCATTGTTTTCCAACCCGGCGATACGGTGATAGCGTGTCTAGATGGAGTGGAGGGGGTGGCTTGTTATCCAAGACTGCCTTACACTACTATATCGCAACAAAGGAGTTGACGGAACAATCCAAACAAGAACCATGATCATCTTCCCATCTTCCCTGCCCTTACCTTCCTCCGTTGGTGGTGTCCTCCCGGTCTCCCACCTCCATTCATTCATTATACTTTCTTCCCCTTCTGTGCCCCTCGCCTTGCCTTGTTCCGGATTCGCAAATTCGTGACCGTCCAACAATAAGGTCGACAGCAACAAGTACGATTCTTCACATACCACATACCACACATACCACGTTCTCGGGTTGACCTTTATCCCTTGTCTCTTGTCTCTCCCTTCCCCATTGTTATTCCCCCCCCCCCCCCCCCCTTTGCCATTATTCTTCCATCTACTTGTTCCGTAAAGCTTCCAAGTTGTTTTGTCCTACCCTTTACCCATCCATTATCCCTCCTCTTCTTCTCCCGCCCGTCGTCCGTCGGGAAGACATCTTGAGGACCAACGTCCAGAGCGGAGCGGGAAGTGTAGTCGACTGGGTTACCATACCCATTCAACCCGTCGACTGTCGTCAGCATTTTTGTTCTCCCCCATCGTCGTTTGTGAGCAACGGGTTGTACAGCACAGACTTGCAGGCGGGCTGTTTCCTTCTTGTTCGCCCGTCTCCTCGCCTACCGACAGCCCGCGTCTCTGTCTCCGTTGGTTCTGACGCCGTTGGAACCGTCCGTTGGGAACTTGTTGGGGACTCCACATTTGGGACGGGTACTCGCCCCCATTTCGTTTTTTCTTCCACATCTTTTCCCGAAGAGAGGGAATAGAGAAGCGAGAAGTGACAACCAGAGAAACAAGGGAAGAGAAGACAAGACAGGTGACGGGAAACACACATACAGGGAACAGATAATAAAACAAAAGGGGGATTGGATTGGACTGGAAAACAAGCGAGACATCCATTCTATCGACAACAGGAGGCAACCAACAGATAAAAGACAGAAAAGGGGGACACAAGTAACGACTCCCCGCAACCCCGGGCAGGCTGGGTGAAGAAAAATGACAGACGTCGGTCTTGGACTCGTCACTTCTTCTACTACTCATACGTCCCATACGTCTCATACGCATCAGACCAAGATCCAGAGCCAGAATCAGAGCCAGAACAATTGGCAACAAAAGAGCCAACAACACAATCAACACTCGCTTAGAAACAACACTCGTCGATCTACATCATCACCTTTATCCACTTCCACTTCGACCTCAGCAACGACAACGACGCCTACCACCACAAAAGGACGAATCACTCGCTCTGCAGCCGCTGCAGCTGCTGCCGCCGCCGCTGCTGCTGCTAAGGCAGCTGAGGAGAGACAAAGAAAAGAAGAACGCGGGCAAGGAGATGACTTCGACAATAACCACCACTGGTCTCACCAGTACTGCGGCGTCCTCGAACTCTTCAAGTAGTCGGCACTCGTCAAATACCACAACGCCCACCTCCCCGGTGCATCATCACCAACCTCACACCCAACACGGTTCCCATTCACATTCACAATACCAACACCAGCAGCAGCAACAGCAGCAGCATCAGCAGCAGCAACAATATAACACCCGCTCTCACCCAACCTCCCATTCATCTCATCCTACTTCCCATCCCACATCTACCTCATACACAGACTCCTCACTAGTTGTTCAGCACCCTTCCTCCAGCGATGCCCAACAACAAAACCAGCCTCAAGATCGATTAAGAGGCCCCCTAACTCGCAAACGAGCAGCAGCAAGTCTCATAACAACCGACCTATCCTCATCACAAAAACAGCGATTGAGCATAGACTTGGGGGCTACCTCTGCTGCCGGAGTTGGGAAGTCCACTGCCACTGCTCGTCACAGTTCCGGTACGGAAGCAGCGCCGGCATCTTCACCTGGTAGCAGGAAGGAGACCACGAGTCCCAATACTGCCTCCGGGACGGGAGCTACGGAGCTGGATAACATATCGGTAGGATCTGGGGGAGGGTCGTCGTTGGGGCAGGGTGGAGGTGCTGGAAGTGGTCAGGGTGGGCATGCTGGAGGTCCGCTGCCGCAACAGAGGGATTTAATCTGTTTGTGCACGCCTGCGCCCAAAGTTCCTAGGCCTAGGAATGGTGAGTTGATGTCTTCTTCTTCTTCTTGTCTTTTTGTTTCCCCTTTTTGGTGTACAATGAGCCTTGGTTTGGTGAGTTGGGCTGTGGAAGTGGATTTTGGTCAGAGTTTGTTGGTTCCTGCCCTTCATTGTTTGACAGTTGAAGCTTGTTACACCCCCCTTTCCTTCTACATCTGATCCGTTACTACACTTACCCTTGGTTCATCATCTTCCACTGTTCTCCCCGTCCTTTCTTTACGGTTTGGATCAAAGAAACGGCCGTATCCCTAGGTAGACAGAACACGGAACCCTACAAAACCACCCTCCTCTCCTCCCCCCCCATCCCCCCTCCATTGCTTTTAGCCACCACCCTACTAACCCCCCTCCTCCTCTTAGCATTCATCCTCTACCGCCAACACCACCAAGCCCGCGTAGTCGCCGAAAACCCCGGCCTCGCCAACCCGGAAATCTCCAAGATCATCGGCGAGAAGTGGCGGGCCGAGTCCGACTTGCACAAGGAGGAGTGGAAGCAGCTGGCCGAGGAAGAAAAGTTGCATCATCAGCGGAAATACCCCGAGTACAAGTACCAGCCTAGAAGGGGAAACAAAAATAGTGTCGCTGGGGGGATAGGGATAGGGAGTAATAGGACTAGTCCTACTACTCCTGGTGGCAGTGGTCCTGGTGGGATTGGGATCGGTGCAGGTGCGGGAGGGACAGGGACAGGGACAGGGACAGGGACAGAACAACATCCGGGTAGGTGCCCGAACTGTGGGGGACGGTATATCGCTACGCCTAGGACGCCTTCGACGCCGTTTGCGGCGGCAGCGGCGGGGATGGGGATGGGAGGGAGTGGAAGTGCGAAGAGTGTGGCGGGAGAGGTGCACGCCCGTGGTGGTGGTCACGGACACGGACAGTCGGCGTTTAACATGAGCAGCAGCTCGGGGATGGATACGCCGAGGGGGGGCATGGAGCATCATGCCTCGTCGTCGTCCTCTCGTGGGCAGCAGCAGCACTATGGACAGCAACAGGGAGGAGGATACAGAGACCATCGAGCGTCTGTATCCTCTCAGCAGAGCGGATATCAAGCGTACCCCAGCCGGGATTACCACCACAGCCAGACGTACCCTTACCCGACGCCCTCGCATCATCAGCAATATCCTGCTCATCCGCTTTATGATATGCCGCAGGAGTACGATGTTTCTACACCTACTGGCACCGGCTCCAAGCGAAGAAGGTATGATTCGACATCGATGCCTTACCGGCCTGAGCGTGAATATGCTCTTCCGTCGCCGACTACTCCTTACGGAAGTGGCAGTCGTCATCCCAGTGTAGGTGGTCAGTACGCCGTCCGCCCACCTTTTCATTACCATCAACAGAATCCGATGTCTCCGACACCGTTAGGACACAGTCATAGACATGGTCATGGACAAGTCCCATTGCATCATCACTACCCGCCTCCTCCGCCTCCTACTCCCTCTGGAGCCATTGGCGGTGGCGGCGGCGGCGGCGGTACAGGAAGTCTCCCACCAACACCAGGCTTCGCCCCCGCACCAGCTGGGCCACCGACTTCCACCGCTGCACTTTCCGGCCCTGCTTCGCTCGCGCTTTCAGGACGCGGACGGAGTCCTCTCTCAAATACCATGGCCCCGCCTCCTCGGCCTCCTACACTTTCTGTTCCTGGCTCGAGCGGTAGCTACCATCATGGTCAACAACACCAGGGGTCCGGTCCCCGCTCCGGTCTCAGTCCGGTACGAATGAGGGGTGATGATTCGGTCTTCGACCCATCTCTTCGTCTTCCGCCTTTACAGACGCACCTGGCTCATTTGCCGCCTAATGCTCCTGAATCCGGGTCTTCGTCTTCTGGAGCTGGTGCCGGTGCTGGTATCCTTTCCGCTGGCGGTGGCGGTGGCATAGGATTGGGGATAACCTACCCCGGTGACCCTCGCGATCCTAGATCTGCATCTTCTTCTTCGTCCCCGTACCCGCGGTTGACGGGACCGGGTACAGCAAGGAACACGCCCACTGCTGGTTCGTTTCCTGCAAGTTATCATCAGGGAGCTCACCCTCACCCTCATCCACCACCGCAACCACCCACCTCCGTTCATCCCTCATGGGCAACACTGCACAACCATGGCCAAAGAGAACAGCAGCAGATTCCGCGGAGTGAACCATCTCCGGCTGCAACAGCAAAGGACAACATTAGGGAACGTAGTATCACTACCACCCTCCCACATCACCATTCCTCCCAAGCTCCAGACACCACCACCACCAACGCCAAAAGACAGCTCGCCCTCCTAGAAGCCCAACAGCGCCAGCAATCAGTAGAAGCGATGGTTATGAGCATCGACTACGTTCGCAAGGCGTCTGTGCTTCGGCGGATCGGGCGGGAACTGCCTGCTTACGGTGCCGTAGCTGATAACATCGATAACATGTTAGAGGCCGGGGATGATTCAGCGCAGGAGCAGGCGCAGATAGTGACGACGAGAGGGCCAATCATTGCGGTTGAAGGACCGAATAAGGAGTTGTTGCGGGTTGTTGGAAAAGCGGTGGAGAGGGCGTTGGTGGCGTTGGGGGATTGTGAGGTTCGAGCTTGGGTTGGGGAGGGGGATGTTTGGGATGGGGAAGGGGGATGTTTGGAGAGGGAGGGGAAGAAGGATACCTCTAGTGAGAAAGAGAAAGGAAAGAAGGGTGGTGGTGAGGATGTTGAAATGGGCGACGACACTGTCATCGTACGCGGTTCATCGCCCAAATCCAACAACAACAACGAACAAGACCGCTCCTCTTCCCACTCCCCAAGTGGAATCCTCACCACCTCCCCTCCTCTCCCTTCCACAACAAACAAAAACCCCTTCCCCCGCTACCTCGACCTCATGCTCTCCTGGCACCACAAAGCCTCGGAACTGACCAAATTCGTTACAACCCCTTATTTCTCTCCCTCTCCCTCCTCCTTCCCTTCCCGCTCTTCATCCCCATTACCACCACCACCCTCCTCCCGACACCCCTCCAGACACTCCTCCTCCAGACACCCCTCCCGAGACTCACCCTCAATCTCTTCTGACCACCAAAAACTCCCCAAACTCCCCATCGCCCTCCTCCCCCTCGGCTACTCCCTCACCTACTCGGACCGCTTCGCCTGCACCATCCCCATCGCCGACGCCTACGCTCCCGTGGACCACTGGCAATGGATGGCGACCCTTTGGCGAGGGATCGTAGGGCCTGATTTGACGGTGTATGTGAAGCACGTGACCGAAGAAGAAATGATGGAGGGGGAATGGGCCCCGGTTGGAGTGGAAGTGAAGGGGGAGAGGTTGATTGTGGTTAGGGTTGTTGTTCCTCCGTCTGGAGGACATGGTGGACAGATGGAGGAGGCAGTAGTGGAGTTGGAGTTGGGTGGTGAGGCGGAGAAACAGTTGGCTTATGAGGTTGGGGAGTGGGTTAGGGCTGGACCGTTTGGGGTGCAGGGACGAGGAGGGGTGGCGAGGGGGGAGAGGGAGAGGGAGCCGCCTGCGCTGCAGGTTGGGTATGAATATGGAAGGGCACAGGGGCATGGATATGGTGATGGGGGTTGGTGATGAGGGTGGAGGTGAGAAAAAAAACGAAGGGGAAAGTGAAAAGGTTTGGATAGCTAGAGGTATGGATAGCTAGAGGTATGGATGGCGAGGTTGTGCAAGTGGGTTGCGAAGGTGTTGGGTACATAGGAAGACGGACTTGATACACTTTTGGTTGGCAACCGCCTTTGAACTGGGAAATTAAGTAAATTAAAGAAAGGCCAGTCTCTTGGGACCTTCAACCTACGCGACATTTTTTTGTCACGGCTTTTGTCGTCGAGTGTCCTGAGAGTGTCTTGCGTGTGGAATGCGCCAACCCCACCACCTAACAACCTGAATTGCTCGCCAGGCGCGTGCGCAGAGCACTGTTAGTGATGACAAGTTTCTTCGTATCTAACAGATCTAGCGCCGTTTGCCGGCCAAACCTGTTAGTGTAACATGCGCTGCATAACAGGTCGCACTCGAATGTTGGTTCGCCTAGGGCGTGCCACTAACCTCGCGACCCCTCACCTGCACTTCCCTCAAACACGACGATGAGATCGAAAGCAAACTTTAAAAGTCTGAGCTCAACCATCCAACGGGAGGCCAGTCAAGATTGTTCGGTACCAACATGAATGTCGTTGGTTGTTGGATCCTTGGCAACAAAGAAAGGCACCGGCCCAAGATACACCCGCGCGAACATAAAAAGCTTGATCAGCACCTCCCAATGAACACATCCGACCCATCTCATGATTCTCATCAACCATGAATTCCTCACTCTCAACCCTCACTCCGGCCCCCGGCTCGGCAGAAAGCGTCCTCTCCCAACAACCCAAACCAAAAAAGAACCTCATAATCGACACCGACCTCTTCAGCGACGTCGAGTAGGTTTCCATCTCCCTCCCCTTCCTCCGTCCACACCCATTCCCCCCCGCTCCCGTCCCCAACTCCCACTTGGGACTAACAAGCAAACCAAACATCAGCGACGCCGGCGCCCTCCTCTTGGCATCCACCTCCCCGCACATCAACCTCCTCGGCGTGCTCATCAACAAACCCTCCACCTACTCCGTCCTCGCCGCCTCCGCCATCGTGTCTTACTACACCACCCATTCCCATTCCCATTCTCAAAATTCTCAAAATAAGGCCAAGGCCATCCCCATCCCCATCGGCGTGTTCCGCCACCCTACTGATGACGGCTCTGTAATACCCCTTCCTAACACCACATTTCTCGACGTGGTGTCCTGGCACCTAGGCGAGTTTGCTTCCAAAATCGCCTACCAGTTCGGTTCTGCTTCTTCCCCCTATCAAGTTAAAGGAGAGGGAGCAAACATACCGTGGGAACGTCACGCCGAATCCGCCTGGCCCGCCGTCTCGCTTTACCGCAAGCTTCTTGGTCAAGCAGACCCTCAAAGCGTAACCATCGCCTCGATAGGCTTTCTCGATAACCTGTCTCTTCTCCTCGACTCCTCCCCCGACTCCTTTTCTCCCTTGACCGGGCGCCAGTTGATTTCGCAAAAGGTGGCGGAGCTGGTGGTCATGGGCGGTCGGTACCCAGAGGGAAAAAGCTGGAACTTCTTTGGTTCTGACCCTGACTCAGCTCATCACAATGGCGGACAAGGGCTAGGGTTAGGGCTGAAGGGCACGGCGAATGTTATTAATAATTGGCCTACACCCCAAAGAGATGGGTGGAAAGGAAAGGTGGTGTACGTCGGCGATGAAGTGGGACGGAACGTCTTGACGGGCGGGGAGTTGGTGAAGAAGATGGGGCCGAAGGGGGATCCGGTCGGGCGAGCGTATGGGTATTATGCTTATGGAGAGGCCAGACCGAGTTGGGATCCGGTGGCGGTGTTGTATGCCATTGGTGGATTGGGGGAGCAGCTGTTCAAGTATGATGAGCGGTACGGGTATGGGCGGAATTGGGTGGATGAGAGGGACGGGTCGAACAAGTGGGTTTGGGATGAGGAGACCAAGAATCAGTTTGTGCTGGCGTTGAAGGCGGATAACGAGACGGTGGCGAAGGAGATTGATCGGTTGTTTCTCGAGGGAGCATTGAGCGTGGCCGTGGAGAGGGCTGGCCCGATGGGCGAGCAGACAGGTCCAAAGTTTTGAGGCAAACCACAGATCACTCGGTCGAACATGGTGCTTTCCCAGTTCTCCCCTTCCGATTGTACCTTCCACTTGGGTCTGGCCAAGATCATTGCAACTCACAGCCTCTGATTCAGTTCCATGCACTTGCACTTTCTTGGGCCAGGAAAGAGCGAGTGCCTGCTTGGTTGCAATCATGCAGTGATAGAAACCTGCTCAAAATCACCCACGGAAGGTACGTCTGTCCCAGAGCTTATCGCTTCATGCCGAAAGCCGGGTGCCTGGTTCATCTGCCTGCTCTGTCGAGGTGAGTCCTTCGTACCTACCACTAGTGATGATGATCCTGCTGTCACAACTTACAAGTTCAACCGCGAGATGCCGATCGATCAGCTTCAACTCAGTTCGACTGGAAGGAGCTCGACATGATTCCGCCAGGCTGCCCCTGGTGAAGACTCAGAACGGCGACGAGGCATCATGCAAGTGATAATGGTGGACATTGGAGGAAGGTGCATTCCAGCCGAGTTGTGCTCAGTTCGGTCTCTCTTGTCTGCTCCTATGTATCTTCCACCATATTTCCGGTGCCTTATTCCTCTTCTTGTCTTCTTTTTGTCTTGTTCTTCAGCTCTGCCGTCTTTGCATTGATCGCTCCAACGCATATTGCTCTCTACATCAGCGTTGAAAGGGAAGAACACAAATCGAGACAAGTTAAAGTGGCTTCGTTTTCCTCACAACTAACTATTTGGGGAAGAAAAAAACGTCACCCGCTAGGTAGTCGAAAACTGAACCCACGGTCATTCATTCTAGCATCATACCATGATGATTTACACTGAGTGGTGTCTATTCAGTTCTCCATGAAGCAAAGTTCCCCCCAGTAGTAGTCGAATAGGTAGGTAACTTGCAATATACAAGCGCGTGCAAATGAATTTTTACACGCACACACACACACACACGCACACACACACACACACACACACACAATAAAAAGGGTGAAACAAGGAGGAGAAAGAAGAATGGAAAAGGGGCGAACCAAGCCACTAACCAAGGCACTACGCAATGAACACTGCCCTGGGGTCCTGAGAACTGGAACACTAACCGGTCGGTCGGTCGGTCATCTAACGCCAAGCGTTGAAAAGGAAAGGGAAGACAGTAGTGACGGTCTTCCCTCTTTTTCTCCTTTTTTTTCTCTCTCTTTCTCCGTTTTTTTTTATCTCAACGGAGAGAAAGGACATGGATGCTTGTCGCTTGACCGTCCCAATGATGTAGGGTACGTACTACAAGTACGGTGAGGAAGAGGCGGGTACGTTGTTATGTACCTGCAAGTATGAACGGCCGAAAGACTACATACACCACAAGACTAGATATATAGAAGCGCAACCTAATTCGACCACAACAAAAGGGACAAACGAGAAGCGCGACGTTACGGGAAGGGGAGCGGGAAGAAGAAGGCGTGGAGTCTAGGTACTGCCTAGGTTGTGACAACGGCGGGCGTGCACTAGTAGTACTGTGTAGAATCAGGAGAAAGAAGCAGGAAACTGAAAGCTGTCACGGTGTGAAGCACATGCGATCAAGTACTCCTTAAGTTCTGATTCCGCGAAGCCGCGTTTTTTGAGGTGTTCGATGTAACTATCGTACTTTAACGCCGGTGGGTGGTGATAGTGGAGAGGGATGCGATATGGATACTCGATATGATTGTTTTATAAGGACTTCGGTCCTCCACTCCCTGCTGACAGCGAGAAAGTTACGTAATAAAGGTACCTTAGGCAGCCCCTTATCCTCCCAAACGAACAAGTAACCGCCCTTTAGCGGCTGCAATCTACCATATCCCCCCTCCTTCATAGCAACATCACCAACACCATCTTAATTCACCCCCCGTCCGCCCGCCTCAACCCCTTTCCTTTTCATATATGTACACTCATCAACCCCCTACCGCCTCCCCCTAGCCATCTCCCGTCTAGACTCCGCCACGTTCGATCTCCCCGCCTTCTTTCCCGCCTGACTCTGGGTACGCTGAAGTAAGCCCTACTTAACCTCATCCACCTTCGTCCTCGGCGGCTCATCCAGCCTCGTATACGCCTCCTGAATAGCTCTCACTTCAATCCCATCCATCTCCAGCGCCACCAACCAATCTCTCAGCTGGATATTCTTCCCCTGGTCACTATTCTCTCTCCACATGCCCAGCCGGTTCTTCTGGTTCTCCGACGTAAGTTGTTGCGGTTTATTATCCGCCGCCGCCGCGGCGCCAGCCTTGCCAGCGGGCGTAGAAAGGCCATCGCCACCTAGAGATGTGCGCGGAGTGCTAGCGCCTGACCCGCCGCCGCCGCCACCGCCGGCGCCCGCGTTCATCCACGAGTAGGACTTGCCCTTCTTGCGACCGAAGCCGCCCATGATGGCGTTGAGGGTTTGATTGGCTGAGGCGGTGGATGAGGCTTCGGCCAGCTTGGCGGCTGCGGCGCCCCGCTTGAGTTCCTTCTTGGAGAGGAGCTTGCCGTCGGCGTCGGCGGTGGTGGGAGTCCCCGGGGCCACGGAGCCAGCGCGGGAACCGGTGCCACCAGCAGCTGTGTCCGGGTTTTGGCGCTTTTGGCGCTTGCGGAGGCGGGCTTCTTCGAGGTTGCGGTCGGCGCGAGCGGTGTCGCGCAGGGCGGTGGTGAGATTGTTTTTGGTAACGTTGGGGTCGTTAAGTTTGGCGGCGTCGTAGGAGCCTGCGATTTCGTTAGTAGAGTTTTGGTTGGGAAACACCGAGAAAATACATACGCTTAAGGGGGTTGGGCTGAGGACCGACACCAGCGGCGGCTTCCAAGCCATCTTGAATGGCATCATTAAGCCCCGTCTTCAGAGGCACGGCCACATCAGCCCACTCCGCCGGGACCTCTCCACGAGAAGTCGTCTGGCGGTTAATCGCAATGGTATGCGCAGACTCGATTATTTGCCGGATCCTGTGCTTTGTAGCAATCGACAACAGGGCTATTTGGTCACTCAAATATGAATCGATCGGGATCCATGAGCTGGTGACAGTAACAAGAGCACCACCTTCACCCGTCTTTGTGCTCACCGTGACTTTGGGCTGCGTTGACGAAGGGTCATTGGCTGGCTTGCTCTTGTTGACTGCACTACCGCCCTTGAGCTCGCTGTTGAGCTCCAACCCGTACTCCTTGGCGATCTTTTGGGCCTTCCAATGCAGCGGGGCCACCTCCAAGAAAGGCGTTTTCAGTTCGTTTGCCCTCGTCAAGGCCAACCGATGTGCCGCTTCATCCCAAGCCTTCTTTGCCAACTCCTTCTCAAACTCCTCCTGGCTTTTGCCATCGAGAGGTTGTGAGGCCTGATTGGCCCATCCGGCACCGTAGAAAGAAGCCTTACTACCCGGCGGATTTGCGGGCAGCCCAGTCCTCGCGTCCTGAGAGAAAGATCCGGCATAGTAGTCGGCCAACGCCTGCTCTTCAGCACGCAAATCGACACCGGTACCAGCCAAAGAGTCGGTGACATCATATTCAGTTTCCTTCACCGGTCGCTCAACAGGCTTCTGAGGAGGACCCATAGCACCACCGGCGGCGGGGGTTGTCAGAGCTGGTGGTGGTGGGCCGATAGGTGCCATGGTAGCGGTCGTATACTGCTGGTTCTGCGTATTCTGGGCGGCCTGGGCCCCCATGGCATGGATTTGCTGAGTCGAGGGCCCATGGGCGGACAAATTAGGCGGAGCTAATGATGGCGTTGCCACCCCAGGTGTCACTGGGCCAGGTGTTGTTGATGCAGGTTGGACTGGAGGCATGGATAGCCTGCTCTCAGGCATCTGCAAGCCCGCGCCGTGTGAAACAGTAGGACCTGTTCCAGGAGTTGTGGCCGGGGTCGGACCCGGGGAAGGCACAGCCAATGGTGTGGATGGCTGAGAAACGTTTCCGTTTGTGAAAGACTGGTTGTATTGCGGGAGACCTGGCGATTGCGTTGTCGCAAACTTGGGACTAGCAGCTGGCGGCGTCGGGGCCGCGGTCGATTGGGGAGTAGTGGCGTAGTTCTGAGGCACGTAAGGCGAGCCCGGCTGAGAGGCAGGACGCTGCTGGTTCGGCGGTATCGAGAACTGCGCTTGAGTGGTGGGCGCCGGGGAGGGTGTGTGCTGGGGACGAGCAAACTGCTGTTGCTGATGCATTTGCGGGCTCGGATGTTGGATCTGAGGTTGTTGCAGCTGGGCCTGGGGGTGCTGGAGTTGTGGATGATGTTGCTGTTGTTGCTGCTGCTGAACATGCTGCTGAGGATGTTGGGGATGTTGAGGTTGTTGAGCGTGTTGCTGGTGTGTTTGGGCTTGCGGGTGCCCTTGCTGATGGACCTGCTGCTGTACACGTTGCTGCTGCTGCTGCTGCTGCTGCTGCTGCGGCGGCGGCGGTTGGGTCTGCTGTGGGGCATGTTGTTGCTGTTGCTGTTGCACATGCTGTTGTTGTTGCAACTGCTGAGGAAGCTGGCGAGGCTGAACATGCTGCTGAGGTTGGGCGCGTTGCTGCTGTTGTTGCTGCTGTTGCTGAGCATGGGCTTGGGCTTGTTGTTGAGCGAGCATCTGGGCACGTTGTTGTTGTTGTTGCTGTTGTTGCTGGAGCTGGAACTGTTGCAACTGCGGCGACATTTGTGGTGGTTGCTGCTGTTGCAACTGAGGTTGTTGTTGTTGCAACTGGGGCTGCTGTTGTTGCAACTGAGGTTGTTGTTGTTGCAACTGAGGCTGCTGCTGTTGCAACTGAGGCATCTGAGGCTGTTGTGGTGGTTGCGCCATGGTGATGGCGCCCTTGGGGTGGACAGATGGCGCAGGCGCAAACAAGTCGAGATGTACGAAGGGTCGATGGCGTGGGCCAAGGTCGTCGTCCGTGGAAAGCAGTCGAAGCTATTCCTTGTCCTCCAGCTCAAGGGGAGGCTGATGAGCTCCCAGTTGATCAGTTGCTCAAGTGTCCCGTCACCGTAAACTCAAGTGGAAGCAGGCGAACCTGCGCTGCCACTCTAGCTACGCCGTGTGTCTGCTCCCATGCGTCGCTCGCTCGTGTCGATCGGTGTTCGAGTCGGTCGATGTATTTCTCGCTCGTGGTAGTATCGTCGTGGTCGGCGGTTGATTGTCGTATCGATTTGCGCGGGGTGTGGGCGACCGTGGAAGGTGGTGAATTGTATTGTTGCGTGGGTGACTGGAGGAGGTCGAGGTGTCTTTGACAATGACGAACAATAAAATCGAAAGAGGGACTCGCACAACGAAACGACCAATTGCTGCCGCTGCCGGTTGCTTGTTGCTGGCGGCGGCACGAGCTCCACTGAAGGTCGCGTCTGGTGAGTGAATGGGCCAGTCACGTGTGGGCTTGGCAGTTATAGTGGGGCTTTTGGCCCTTGACGTTTTGCGGCTGGCTTAGGATTGAAGACTCCCGGCAGGCAATCAGCCGCCAACTTCAACCTCACTTCATTCAACAACCACTTGCCATCCTCATCCACATCGCATTCAACCACCATCAACAAGAACACATCAAAGGCGCCATTCATACTCACGGCGCGCGCTAATCCGTAAAATTGCGCCTTTATTCTCACATCTACCATCCACACCCTTTTCTGACTGACGTACATATTTCGCGTCTCAAATCGCATCAAAACCGCCACGCGCCGCCATTCAAACAATCACAGTCAGCTGCTTGGAAGGTCGTAAGTATACAGGTCGACGGTGGGAAACAAAGGATCTACGCGTGAAGCGAACGAACCAAAGGAGTACCATATACAACAAGACGCCCTAAGCCATGGCTTCCAAGCGGAAGGCCGCGGCGATGGCGACCGAGCCAGAGGAGCCTGTCGACCCAGCTGATGAGCTCATGTTCCTCAATCTCGGAGGAGGCAATGAAGTCGGCCGGTCGTGTCACATCATTCAGTACAAGGGCAAAACTGTTATGGTGCGCAAATCAACCATCACCCCTTTCAAGCGACACGGGCTGACCTCTCCGCGCTGTAGCTTGATGCTGGCCAACATCCAGCATATGATGGCCTAGCAGCCCTACCATTCTTTGATGACTTCGATCTCAGCACAGTTGACGTTCTTTTGATCAGCCAGTAAGCTCGACCCCTTTCCCCCTTTTGCTATGGCATACATCCATATGTATGCGCGTCTATCCACGAGAGACAGTGCCGCAGTGTTTGGCTTGGGACAAGATGGGTTGATCGAGCTGGGCTCTGGATATTCGACATCGCCAGTGAGAGCCAGTGGCAGAGAGCATACCTGCCATGCCGCCTTACTCTCTGATCTATGTGGTTCTTGCCCGCTTTGCAACATTGTACTGTCCATCATATACATGTACTCAGGAATTGAAAATACAAAAAAAAAACATTTGTCGCCATTGCCCGCTCCTCTCCTCCCTTTCCCCTCCCATCTTGTCTGCCACTCGCGCTGCATGATCTCTGTGAAGCACTGTCCTTGTCCATAGTCGCCTACGTTGTCCAGACACATTCGAGACTGACTGCTCACTTTCTAGTTTCCATATCGACCATGCGGCTTCATTACCATATGTCTTGGCCAAGACCAACTTCCGAGGCCGTGTCTTCATGACACATGCCACCAAGGCCATCTACAAATGGCTTATCCAGGATAGTGTCCGTGTTGGCAACACATCGTCGAACCCGACAGCATCGCTCGTCTACACCGAGGAGGACCATCTCAAGACCTTTCCCATGATCGAGGCCATCGACTACAATACTACCCACACCATCTCCTCGATCCGCATCACACCATACCCAGCCGGCCACGTCCTCGGCGCCGCCATGTTCCTGATCGAGATCGCCGGCCTCAAGATCTTCTTCACTGGCGACTATTCCCGTGAAGAGGACAGGCATCTTATCTCTGCCAAAGTCCCCAAGGGCGTCAAGGTCGACGTCCTAATCACCGAGTCCACCTACGGCATCGCCTCTCACATCCCCCGCCCAGAACGTGAACAGGCCCTCATGAAGTCCATCACCGGCATCCTCAACCGAGGCGGCCGCGTCCTCATGCCCGTCTTCGCCCTCGGTCGCGCCCAGGAGCTCCTCCTCATCCTCGACGAGTACTGGGGCAAGCACCCCGAGTACCAGAAATACCCCATCTACTACGCCTCCAACCTCGCGCGCAAGTGTATGCTCGTCTACCAGACCTATGTCGGCTCTATGAACGACAACATCAAGAGGCTGTTCCGCGAGCGTCTGGCCGAGTCCGAGTCCTCCGGCGACGGTGCCGGCAAGGGAGGACCGTGGGACTTCAGGTTCATCCGCTCCCTCAAAAGCCTTGACCGCTTCGAGGACGTCGGCGGCTGCGTCATGCTTGCTTCCCCTGGTATGCTCCAAAACGGCGTCAGTCGCGAGCTGCTGGAGCGATGGGCGCCGAGCGAGAAGAACGGCGTCATCATTACCGGTTACTCCGTCGAGGGCACCATGGCCAAGCAGCTCATGCAAGAGCCGGAGCAGATCCAGGCCGTCATGTCTCGCAACATTGCCGGTGCCCGCCGCGGCCCCGGTGGTGATGCCGAGAAGGTCATGATTCCCCGCCGCTGCACCGTCCAGGAGTTCTCCTTCGCCGCGCACGTTGACGGCGTCGAGAACAGGGAGTTCATCGAGGAAGTCGCCGCCCCCGTCGTCGTCCTCGTCCACGGCGAGGTGCACAACATGATGCGTCTCAAGTCCAAGCTTCTGTCGCTCAACGCCAACAAGGAACACAAAGTCAAGGTGTTCAGTCCCAGAAACTGCGAGGAGCTTCGCATCCCTTTCAAGACGGACAAAGTCGCCAAGGTGGTGGGCAAGCTGGCGTCCATCCCGCCGGCACTTAAAGAGGCGAAGACCGGCCATGATGGACCTGGGCCTCTTGTCTCTTCGGAACCTCAGCTTATCACTGGCGTGTTGGTGCAGAACGACTTTAAGATGTCCCTGATGGCTCCCGAGGATCTGAGAGAGTATGCTGGTCTGACGACTACTACTATTGCGTGCAAGCAGCGTTTGAAGCTGAGCGCGGCGGGTATTGATCTGATTAAGTGGGGTCTTGAAGGCACATTTGGTGGCATCGAAGAACTTCCTGAAGCCAAGACGAAGCGCGAGATCGTTAAGAGCGAGAACGGCGATACGAAGATGGAGGAAGCTGATGAGGAGCTGCCTCACGGCGACGACGTGGTGGCCGCTTACCTCGTTATGGGATGCGTTACCGTCCGCTACCGTGCTAGCGGCGAGGTTGAACTGGAGTGGGAGGGCAACATGCTCAACGATGGCATTGCCGACGCCGTTATGGCCGTGTTGCTTGGTATTGAGAGTAGTCCTGCTGCTGTGAAGCGTACGTCCCCCTTCCCCTTCCCCTTTCCTTTCCCCCGCTCTTACTTGTCCCCCCATACTAACTCTCTTCGTCACAGGCTCCGCCAGCAAAAACCCCCACACCCACCCCCCCTCCCCCCTCCCCCAGAAAAACCCTCACGCCCACCTAACCCCCACCGACCGTCTCGACCGCCTCCTCATGTTCCTCGAAGCCCAATTCGGCTCTGACAACGTCTCCCCCATCGCCGACCCCAAGCTACCTCCCCCTCCCCTTTCACTCACCACCACCACCACCAAAGCCATTTCCTCCCCCTCGGAGGCGACGTCACCCAAATCCGACGCAGACGCAGACGCCTCCATGGACGTCTCAGAAGACGAAGACGAACAACTCACCGCACGCAAGCACGCTGAGTTACAGAGATTGCATAAAATGGGAATTCCTGTGCCCGGAATCCAGATCAAGGTGGATAAGATGGAGGCCAAGGTGTGGTTGGAGGATTTGGAGGTGGAGTGTGCGAATAAGATTTTTAGGGAGAGGGTTAGAGCTGTGGTGGAACGGGCGGTGGAGGTTGTGGCGCCGCTTTGGGGGTGAGTTTGAGGAGGTTGAGGGGGTAGAGGGGGTTGTAGAGGGTGTGGTAGGAGGTGTGGTTGCTATGGTAGCTGGTGATGGGGGGTTGAGAGGAGAGGGGGGACGGGGGAAGGGAGGGGGATGAGAAAATGAGAGGAGAAAAGACGAAGAAGGGAGGGTGTCTGGTGGTATCTCATTGGGCAGAATGGACAGACGAAACTTTGGAGAGGAAAGACATGATGAAATGGAAAGAAAGATTGTTGTGGATGAATGGACGGGAAGGGAATAAGGACTTGGCAAAGATGGAGGGTATCAACGAACAAAACAAGAACCTCTCGCTGTTTTTCTCTTAGGTCCAGGTGTTTGATGTATTGTAACTGTTACTTGTCTATCTACCTACTCTTTCTTGCTACTTCTGCTTCAAATAGACTCGGGCAAAAGTCCCATGGCTTTAATTTCAGGTGGTGCGGTAGTTGACTGCATCCGTTGATGTTGTGAGTGACCGATGGGAGACACACTAGACGTTGCTACTAACAGAACCGGGAACCGGTGGTTCAATTCTTTTAAAGGTACTGTAGGTACCCTAGTTGGGTTCCCAGAGGTACCTGTGTTGCTTTTCGCGCGAGGCCTTTCCCAAGCGCCACAGATGCCGCGGAGATCAATATCCTAGGACGCCTTGCCCCGGTCCAGAAACGTCCAGATGGATGGCATCGGGTGTTGGGCATACGGTTGGGCATACTCACGTTGAAATGAGGGGGCTCTGCGAGGGAAGAACAGGAGGTGTCGGCATATTGGGGATGATTGGTTTCCCTTTGCCGCTATAATATATATACCTTTCCCACACTCAAGCCCCTTGACAGTTGCCAAGATTTCCCGAGAATTGAGCTGACCACAACTTTTTGGCAAATGGGCCTTTGAAACGAAAAGAACAAGACTTCATTTGCCCATATCTTCACTAAATAAGGAGATGAAAGAAAAATGATAGTAGATTCAACATCAGCGCGCTTAATACTATCAAGGGAGCACCCTTTCTGATGATATAATTGAGTTTTTTTTTATTTTCGTCTTTTGTTTCGATAGTCCGTTTGTTAAAAAGTTGTGGTCAGCTCAATTCTCGGGAAGTCTTGACAACTATTAAAGTACTTAAGTGTGGGAACGGTATTACAGAGGGACGCGCTTGTACGGTGGCCTAAGTATTGGCTATGATCAATTGAAAAAGTTTGGTCAGAAAATGGCCCGTGCTAGCTGTAGGCACTAGATTTATACTAAAGGGTAGTTTCTACAATCCAATGCAATACCCTCTATCGAATTAATGAAGTAATGAAGCAATGAAGCAATGAAACAATGAAGCAATGAAGTAATAAAGTAATAAAGTAATAAAATAATAAAGTAATGAAGCAATTAGAGGTAACCAAAGTCAATTAAAGTCGAAGGGGTATAATGAATTGAGATTCTGAGAGTTAATAAAATTTGGGAGCTTCGAAGTTTATTAAAATTTAGGGTAGCAGTGCAAATAGATCCCCCGGTTCTTCTTCAAATTTTAGTTAGAGAGTGAATAAGAGCCTTAAGATTTGCTAAGACTTTTTAAGGTAATAGTATAAATAGATCTTTCGCTTCTTTTTTAAATTTTAGACTTTGGGATAGAGTATTAATATAAATGGATTTCCCTGTCCCTTTTGCTCTCTCCGGGCAATAGGAATGAATAAGAATTAATAAGAGGTATAAGAATTAATAAGAAGTATAAGAATTGATAGGAGTGGATACGAATTGTGAATATGATAGATAATATAATACTTTTAGATAGGGGTGAGTTTTCTAATTTGAGTATGCAAGTAATATGGAGGCATTGATATAAAAAGGTTGGTAATTGGGTATAATTGAAAGTTCGGACCAATTTTTAATTGAGTATAGCTAATACTTGGGTTACCGTACGCTTATAGATATCTACTAACAATAAGCTATTAGGCTTAATGTTATAGGGTTAGAGCCTAGGGGTTAAGCTTGGTTATTGCCAAGCCGTATCCTATCTTATCGATAAGGATGCGAGCCTTCTAGTTGGCCAAACCTACATACTTGCCTAGCCCGTACAGTCTTAGCACTAATTATATAAAACCTTCTTTCGATTATACCCTTCTAATACAATCTTTCCTCTCTTACTTCCTCTATTAAATATAGCATTTTAACCTTACGACTATTCGTTATATTTAATTCGTATAGACCTATTATATTATATTTAACCCTCTTTTTAAAACGACCCTTATTACCTCTATTATTATTCTCTCGTAGGTACGCCCGAAAGAACTCCCACCGTCGCTCTCGTTCTTTAATAATAATCTTTTTCGTCCTCTATAATATTTTAATAACCACTCCTTCAAATTGTATAGTTTACGAATTTTTAAGAACGTTAAAAATAATTTGCTTTCTTAATTAAATAGTTAATTACCGAAATCGTTAGTTTTAAAACTTCGGCTTCCCCTCTCAATAACTTACGTCTGTAGTAAAAGTTACACTACACGTATCGGAGAGGTATGTTGCTGCAAAAATCTTATAGCTGTGATGAAAGAAATATATAAAGCTAACAAAGCAAATCTGTACCTAGATTTGAATTGATTTGACTGATTTTTTATACAGATTTGATTTGTCACGCTAGGGGTAGATTTGCTTTGCTTTATTAGCATTTGATTTGTATGAATCACTGGGGACCGGTGATAGAGGCCCCGGGGGAGAAAGTGTTAGAGGGGTGGAAAGCAGGAGCATGTGGGTTAAGCGTATGTGAATTAGGGCCGTATGAATCAGGTGGTGGCAGATTAGGGGCATATGAGGGGATAGCCGGGGCATATGGGTTGGGGACATGTGTGTTAGGGCCGTACGGATTTGGGCCATATGCCTCAGAGGGGTGTATGTTAGGGGCATATGGATTCGGGACATATGTATCCGGTGTGAGGTTACTAGGGGCTAGCGTATTTGGGAGAAGAGGCCGAAGGGTGCGAAAAGGCCAAGGGGCGCTGCTTGCAGCGGTAGCTTGCGTGTTATTCCGAAGACTTGCGGGACGTTGATGCTCGGAGGCATCTTCTATGCCTACGTGCCGTGAGACGTCTTCATTTGAACCCTCGTTCTGGGGCTAAAGGCCTGATGGTTGTTGGTCCATGATATCTTCCGCTTTGGATTGCGCACAACCGGAACCAGCTGATGATGGACGAAGTGGAAGACGAACATATGGGATATTGCAAGCTTTAAAGGATTCGCTGGGCATAGTCCCAGAAGACGGAACATCGTCGAAGCCATGATCCCGCTACCTAGATTTTGGTGGAAAGTACAGTAGTTGACAGATCTTGGTTAGAGGGAATCTGGACTACCTACATTGAGAATATCAATTGTCTGGGCTGGAGCAACCGCCTGAATGAAAAGAGTTTATCTCAATCCATATCTGTATAAAGTTTCTTCGACGATGAGAAAGATTTGACCAGCTGTTCCTCTCTTGTTCCATGCAATTCAGGCAATTGCAGTCATTATGAGACTCCGTAGAAGTTAACTGTTCATGCCTTTACTCGTTGCTATTTTAACTACAACAACAGGCATTGTCATGTTTGTGAGGAGACGTACCAAGACATTCAGTATCGTTGATTGTACCGCCAACGTTCAGAACATCTGCCTGAGTCTCGGATCATACAACTTTCACTCGGATGTGAACCACTTCTTCCACGAGGCCAACGAGCTTCTCTTTGGCGGTGATGCATTGATGGAAACGCTATTAAAGCGATGGACAGATGTCATTCGATTGTAAAGAAGATGATTGAGCTAACTCCTTGTTGGACAAAGGTCCCACAATGGCTACCCTTAAGGCACGAGCACAGGTTCATGGGACAAAACGACGGTTCGTGGCACCTGCCTCTGAGAATTATGATATCGTATGGAAGGTAGGATTTGGAAGTCGATGTTCCCGCATCATGCGGTCAACTTAAGGCAACGGCGTCCTTCTTCAGGCTTTTCGTCCTTGACCTCCAGCTTGCCACCTGTCCTGTAGATGATAAAGGATTGGTATACGGTCGGTTGTCGATATGATCAAACGTTTTTCAGAGTACCTGTATTCTTTGTGGGCATTAAATGCACATATTCGGACATACCTAGAGGTACATATGTCTGATTTCCAGGGAACCTAAAAATCAATGCCCCGAGTCTTTGCGGTAAGCACCGCCAGCAGCATACGTCTGCACAATGTATGTCCATCCAGTTGGTGAAAGCTCTTCAACATTGCCTACCACCCGATTTTTGCGTGCGTTTCTATCCACAGGCTCGGAGTTACTCCCTAAACATCTGCCAGTATACGTGGCCCAACAAGAAAAAGCTGGAATCCGAATTTCGGAGTATCTACGGTACTATTTAAACCTGGTTTGGAAAGCCACATGGCATTTCCTCCATGTCCTCCATTCAACCAAGCCTCCAGTTAAGTCATTTCCGTGTCATCAAAGCCACTTCGTCTCAGTTCTCTACCCGCACTTCTCCTACACCGGAGTCTCGTTCCGCAAAACACAAACCATAAGAAAAACCCTGGATTTATTTAATTCCGCCTCTCTTCGCCCTCTATTATATCGACTTATCCTGCAAGCAACACAAATGCTATAACCACCCAGGTATGAGAGAACCTAACCTTCGATCCTTCTTTCCGTCACCCATTACCGTAGCGCCGTGGCTTGCTTCACGCACCTTTTTCGTTGTTCATTGTTTATTCTTTACTAACGTCTTGGACAGCAGGCATTCTTATCACCTACGAGGGTTCCTGATACCGAAGCGCAGACTGCCCAGGAGCATCTTTCTCATCCGCGTCGCCCCTTGCACAAACGAGTACATAACCAGCGGAGGTCTCTTGCTTCATAACACAGTCAGCTGGATCTGTTCAAACCTCGTCTGGTTGGACATTTGGAAAAAAAAAAAAAGGAAAAAAAAGGAGAGAGGAAAAAAAAAAAAAAAAAAAAAGTCCTTGAAAGCTCCTTGCCAACTCGGCACCCTGATCTCTACCTAGACATAGAAACGGTTCAGACCCGCACCGTTCTATTTCCATCAGCTTCTTTTTTCCATAACACCAGCCACACAACGAATGAACACAAGATGACGGACTTAACCGAATTTGACCTCTTTCCCTACCTTCTGTTTCCATCAGCTTCTTTCCATAACACCAGCCACACTACGAACGAACACAAGATGACGGACTTAACCGAATTTCACTTCTTTCCCTACCTCCCGGAGGAGCTAAGGGTCATAATCTGGAACCTCACCCTTCGGCCGCTTGACCGCCGTGGGGTTCACATTTTCAACGTTGAGGAGAGAACTTCGGATAAGTGGAGTCCTGTTGTATCAGGGGCGGATGTGCAGGAAACTCGGGCCCTTCAACTATGGAAAAGGCGTGAGCCTGGGATGCCTTGGTTACATACTTGCGTTGTTCTCGGGAATCCCAAGACCACCAGAGAACCTCAAGGTGCGCCGCGCTCGACATATCTGATCGACGGCGGACTCTGGATTGCCTACGACGTCATTAGCAAGGCCTTTGACAAAACAAACGAGTCTTGTACAACGAGCTTGTTTGTGCGCAAATGGAGCAGACCGATGCGGTGCCATTATTTCACCGTTTTCCAAGATCGGGATCTTTTTACTTATCGGCCCGAGTGCTGGACGCCAATGAAGCATAGGGACAGGGCTCTCGAAGGGGAGTGGGTTCCCGGATCCGGGCCAGTTCGCAAATGGAAGCCAGTTTCCAGATGGGAGCGAATCTTTGGTGGCGAACCGGATGGGCCCCAAGAAGATCTGGATTACGAGTACACGTACCGACATCTGGATAAGCTGGGCCATTACCAGAACCACATGGCTATCGAGTGGCATCCAGCCTGGTCTGTCAACTCCGCTGCTTTTAAGGAACTCACGAGCGGTCTGGTGGTACCCTCATTGCAACGGGATCAAATCTGGTTTATCGATTACGGGCTCAAGCCGAAACATGACAATTTCGCCATCACTGATCTTTATTCGAGACGGCAATGGGAGGACTCCGAGGAGGAGGTACTAGTCTTTGATGACGCCCATGGAGGCCGCTATGTGGAGGTATATTTTTACGAAAATTATATCAATCCACACTCGGGCGAGAGAGTGGGCTCCGTGGGTTTCGATGGTACGGAGTTGTTTGTGTCTACGGACGGGAGTCTGGCGAGGCTGATGGAGTTATTCTGGGAAGACCTGCCGAAAAAGATGAAATCAATGCGAGTGAGCAGTGGTGGAAAGGACTGGGTACAATGGGGGATCCTCGCGTACCTGCCTCCGGGCTTTGATGAGGGCAAACAACGCCTGGAAGCATCATCCACAACAAAGACACAAGAAACTTTAGAAGAGAAGAGGAACCGCCTTGGGCCTCAATCGCTTCTGATTGCTGACTTGAATTGGTCATAGAATTAAATCATAGATTTAAGTAATAAAACTTCCGTTAATTCTAGTTGGTACATCACGTCGTTTTCATGCTCCCTTCCAGAGATCGATCTTGTACCCTTTCACCCGGAGTAGAATGCATTTTGTCCGGAAAAGATATCGCAATGGGGTGTTGCCCAAGTGTTGACTGTTAACGACAACCTCAAGTCAAGTTAAAGAAAGAAATATAGCAATCTCCTCCTCGAATTTGAATGCCTAAAGTACACTCCTCACGAGGCCTCTCTCACTTCCCAGAAATCCAGAACTGCCAAAGACAAAAAATTCCATGAGCCGGTGTCTCCAATCAAAATTGCACCCTCCACCAAAGATTTCCTTCTCCGGGTGCCTACCTATTTAGCTGGGCCTTCTGGGCTTGCTTCTTCCTCTTCTTCTCAGCAAACCGTGCAATCAATCACCAACGTTTAGCACCCCCAAATGCATTTGGTTTCCTCCGTTTCACTGGTCTTTACCACCTTAATAGTGATGGATCCAAGCGCGCCCGAATCCAAACTCGCACCAGTGTCTTGAACGACATAATTATCGTCGACTTCGGAAACCGAGAAGGAATTGTGCTTGTGACTCCACGGGCAATCCCAGTAGACATGGCACACCTTCGTGTTGCCATGGTAGATGTCGAACTGGCCCTCGGTGCCGCTAGAGGTCCATTCTCTACCGGAAGCGGCCACGCCCATAGATCCGCCGTTTGGGCCGGCATAATTTGCTTGCACGTCGTTGTCGGAAAGCTCTTGGTCTTTGTTGGGGTATTCGTACCACTTGCCCCTGCAGAAGTGAAGAAGGAGCGTTAGTATTAGTAGAGGTTGATTGTCATTCATGATGGGGAGACGATGGCAGTTGGTTGTAAGAAACTGAAAGGGAAGGATTTACCAATTGAGATGGGCGTTCCTGATGTACAATTCCCCAGAAGAAGCTTGGTTTCGAATCGTCATGTAGACCCATTGAGCTTCGGCGTTGGTGCTTCTTGCCATGTTCATGGTAGGTCCGCGGCGGGGAGAAGGAGATCCCGGAGGCGGAGGGGCGAGTTCATGGTCGACACCCAAAGGGGCGGCAAAGGTGCCGGCAACCAGACAAATGAGGAGCAGGCCAAGCGCCAAAAGACGGGCTGAGAAGCCCTTTCGGAGTGTTGCCATCTTGAGGTTGTGATTGGGTGAACGATGGTTGTTGAATTTTATGGCTGTGTTGGGAGCTGCTTTTTTTGCTTCGTTGTTTGTGATGGTCGTTTGGTATGTGAGGAACCAAGGAACGTTTGTGTGAAGGGTTTGAATGAATGGCAAAAGGGGAGAAAAGAGAACAAGAAGGAAGCAAGTACTTGAGTAAGGGAGCAGGTTTTTATGATGCAGAAATATCTATATTTATTGAACTCACAGGTATGCGTCTCCTTCCACGCTTTGCCACGCCGAGCGTTGGAGTTCTTATGCTTATCCGCAATGGAATATTCGGACATGTCCAGCATTGTTTTGCTCCGACTTGGTGCATAGAGGTACGCAGCCCTCATGCAACGCAACTCCAGAGCGGGCGTCGGGGCGGACATACGGAGGGGAAGGCTGGAAGGGAATTTGTAAAGGGACCTCGTTTCCTGGTTTCCCGAGTTTCTACGGTATATCCAGCGTGGCACACAACGCAAGCCATCTCAAGGCAAGTCAAATCGGGGGTCTGGCAAGGCAAGCCAAGTCAAGGTAAAAGATAGGCAAGTCAGACCCCTGGCTTGCCTTGACTTAGCGTGTGTGCTACGCTGCTTATACCAGCCCCTGACGAAGCAGAAGAAGCCAGACGACGTGGTCTGTCCCTTTCCGCCGCTTCTGTATTCACCATTGTAGTTGAGAGCTTCACGTGATGTCACTTGGTCAGATTCTAAGCAGAGACACTGCAAAGTCTGAGTTACTGACCAAGATCTCGAGCCTGTCGAACCTTGGACAGCCCTTCTAACGATGATCATTTCATCAGCTGTACCAAGTAGAAACCTACCGAGATCTCGACATGTCTGGCTCAATTCCCTCAACCGGCTCATAATTCTTGCACAACATGCGTGCAATCTCAGATTTGCATTCGCTGTCATAAACAGGAAGGATGTTGAATTCCATGAGGAATGGACGTGGCGGAATCGGAGCGCTTGAAAGATGAGCATGATCTTCCTCATGCCTAGACGTTTCGGCTGCAGTGGTGAGAAGTATTTGTTTGAGGCCCTCATGGCATGTTCGCGTAACAGGATAAGGTGCGGTTCACAACCCGTGGGACGAGTCGGTTAACGGGCAAGTGGTGATCGGATTACTGTCCATTCGTTTCCTGTATTTCCGCAATGGCTATATGTGCGTACTTGTTCTCTGGCTGCTCTCCCTCACGTTGGAATTCCCCCGCCCCGGCGAACCCAGGAAGTTGTGCCTTCGTCAACTACCTATTACAGCTGATTTCATTCCCAACGAGGATCAAGAAGAGGGGCAGGTCCAATATCCACTCCCCAAGTAAACAGCAGTGCTCCAGAACCATCCTCACTTCGTTTGACCCGGATACACCTGGTAGCCCTCTGCCTCAAGCCGGGCGGATGACGTTCCCTACAGGAGCATGCTCCTCTAGCAACCTCTGCATGCTCATGCCCATGGTAGAGTAGACCGTACAAGCAGTACTCAAAGCCGATCTTTCCCTCCTTTTGAAAGACGTACCAGCGTTTGATCCTGCCGCCGTTGGCACTGGCATGGAATGGGATTAGTGCCGTGAGAATCCACTCAGGCCCGACCCGTTCGCACTCAAAGGCTTCTTCAGCTATGTCAATGATATCCATCACGGCCCTGTCAAGACCGGATGACTCCCGCCTCCGCTTCGTCCACGAGTCATAGTCGTCAGAGTTATCTTCATCTGTGTCGTTCTCCTCCTCATTTTTCATCCGCTTCTTTGCAACAACGAGGTCATCGTCCCCGTCCATGTTAGCCGAGGACCTGCTCCGCTTGCGATTGTTCTCACCCACCACCTCAGCAACCTTCTCCATCATCTTTCCCTTCGCATTCTCCAGCGCAGTCCCCACCGTGCGACTGAGATGCACCACCTCCGCATGGATCAAGACCTTCTCCTCCTCGACAAGCTGCAAGACCGTTGACTGGGTATCGCGAATCTTATCTGTCAGCTTGGTCTCGGTGTCGCTCAGTGCCTTCTCGACGTTGGGTAACTTTGGACCGCCATCTGTGCATTTGGCGCAGGTGGGGGTGCTCTGTTGGCTTTGAGCTTGGCTCTTCTTGAGCTCCGCTACGTCGGATTTGACGGCTTTGATGTCTGAGGCGAGAGCGTGGAGGAGTAGCTTGATTTCTGAGAGCTCGGAGTTGGAGGCCATTTTGGGTGGCATGGCTCGACGGCCGTTCGGGCCGGGTGGTGACGGCCTGGTGAAGGGTTGAGGATTGGCAGGTGACGGTCGAGGGGAAGGCGTGGAATAGCTGGGCTGTTGCGTCGGCAGTAGCTGAATTTGGGCAGAATCCCTTCCTTTGCTTTCCAGGACTCTCGAAGCCGGCGAGAGTGACTTCTTGCTAGAGCGTGGGGAAGAAGAATGGAAGCGGAGGGGAAGGCTGCGCAATGCAGTGGCTGCGGTGGTGCGGACTCACTGCATGTTGGAAACGTGCCCGTCCATTCACTGGGCTTTCCATTCACTGAACTTTCATCCCATTAATGCATTGCCGTGGGCTGTGTGAGGAAACTGTGACCCGAATGCAATGTAGGCCGATCGTTGAGTATGTGGATTGTATTGACGATGCAAGAGGAGGAGGTCCATGGAATCCACCAGGCCTTGTGGACTGGTTGATACACAGGATGTGTGAAGGCATCGTAACTACCCTGTGCAGAGCCTCCACTGTCCAGTGCACCTGCAATATCCGTGACAGACATGCCTGCCAGTTTCGGTTGTCCCTTCCCCTGTTTGAGAACTTCCAGTCAACCACATTTTTGTCATTGTCCTCTAGCTTCGTCACTACCTGGCTCGAATTGTTACAGAGAAGCCAGGCGCCATGGGGACATTCGGCATCTGGGGATAAAGAGTGGAAAACGAAGCTGCAAGTTTTCACCGAGATCCTCATGTACAGGCTTGTGTTGAAACTGAAGTCTCGAAAGGGAAAATGTGTGTTCCAGAAAGAAGCCAAAAAAAAAAAAAAAAGAGATTCTAAAACCAACGACAAGGGCATCTGCTAGAAGAGGGCGAAAGAAAAAAGTTAACGGAAGATGCAAAAAACATACAACACCAGGGATTCGCTGGTCGTCACCGACCCAACTACTAGTCTAGCCCTCACTGGCTTATCTATGGGAGAGCGGACGGGATCCCGAGTTTTCCAGTGGGTATGGTCGTATGTGCTCATTCCTTGCTACGAGAAGCCTTAAGTATTCATACTTTTGCTACGGTGATGTCGAGAGGACTCGTTGATCACCTTCCCCAAGGTCAGGGACACTACTCGTTCTCTAGTCAGGATATCGTACTCTGAACACAACATCTTGAGCAGAAGGTACCCTTGGCTTTCTTTCCCCTGTTCACATCTTTCCGGAGTCCACTGCCGTGCTGCAGTGTCTTAAATATGCTGTGGTATAACCCTCCGGCACTAATCGAACACCCAAGAAATGTTGAATCTCCTGGAAACCGTGTTCTAAGTGTACGGACATAGAGTGTACGAAATCAAAGTTATTCCCCATCAAAATGAACATGACTATTGCTTTAGGAGACGTGAAATCGAAAGATGACTTGAGGTGTGCTACGTACCTACGAAATAAGGATAAGCCTGAACATCGGAAACAGAAGAACAAAAAGAAGATAAAGAGAGAAGAACAACAGCGACAAAAATCCTGGAAAGGAAACACAGCAATAAAGAATATGCCAACCAATTGGAATAACTCAGGAACGTGGCGCCCACATGTTCAGCTTTCTGTCCATCGCATCACGCCCGTTCATGTAAGCACGCCAGCCAACCTCCAGTCCGCAACCTCTTTTCCCTCTTCTCCGCCGTTCTTTTGACGAATCTCCCCAGATCGTTCGAAGATGTATGGGTACAAGCGTCACAACAACTAGGTATTCTCAAGCTGTTCTCGACCGCCTCGGCTGTACCAGATCCCTCCATTCCTATGTGCCCCCCCCCCTCCCCTCCGTGAAGAATCATTCTGGACCGAGCCACGAAATGGTATATCATTGTTCATGCTTTCTGCCGTCGACGCCGGCCAGACCAAGCATTGTATCCGTTACTCTGTTCGCATGACCTTTCGACTCGGCTGCTCTTGGGACGTGCTCCCACTCGTAACAACCGAGTCTCTGGTGTCCCTCCGTTTTCGTTTTGCGGCATCCGATTCCATTGTCTCGGAAGTGAAGGGGAGATCCATATTGACTGGCTCGTCCTGGAATATACCTCCGTAACCGCCAACCTCCATTTGGCTCCAGACTGAGTTGATCCAAAAGTCCATTGGTGGCTCATCCGCTTCCCGCAGGGTGTGGCTCAACGCATCGCCTGCCTCGGTCTGAACCTGGGCGCCATCGGGGGCATTTGTACAACTCAGACCATCGACTGATCCTGCCTCTTCATCGTCGCAGGCTATCGTTAGAGGTATACGCATGTTGTTATCGTCATCCAACAACAGCTTGTCGAATCGCTTAAGATTCTCCGCCTGATGAAGCTCGTCTTCTTGCCGCGGCAAATCTATGCGATCAGAAACTGGCTCGGGATTACTGATGTCAATCTCTTTCGCCATTTCTCTTGGTAGTAAAGGTCCGGAAGTGTTACCGGCGGTTATAGGGTCCGATTGGGCCTTGTCTGAATGTCCATTCTCGATGGCTGCTTGGCTTCCGTCTAGGGAATGTTCGCTGCCGCCATTTGGTTCCTCGCACGACCCATCCTCATCTGAGTCAGATGCGTCCCAGCCCTCAAGTTCGGCGAGCTGGTCTTGATAATTATAATACTCTTCATCTCCTTCTTTGCCTTGTGCCCTCAGAACTTTGCATGGTTTGAGCAGGAGTCTGTACCCCCTGTCCACTTGGTTCGTGAATTTTCTCTCCATAAGCTCGATGCACTGCTTCAGTATATCTTCTGCCTCTCCGTATTCTTCCAGGGCCATAAGATTGTTCACAAGGTCCTCGTAGATGTTCAGTGTATCGGGGTGCTCTAGAAGCTGTAGCTGTTTGCTCCATTGGAGGATTTGGCGAAAGCAATCCGATGCCTCGCCATGCTTGCCTTGTGAAGCGAGCGTATAACCAAGCCATCGATCGTACCCAATCTCCACCACAGAGCATGTAGAGGGTTCCGCAAAGTCCAGTTCATTACGGGCGTGGATTTCGAGCTTCTCGCGGAATATTTTCTCGGCTTCTTCGAATTTTCCTCTGTAAAATAATACCTTGCCGAGCGTACGCAAGTACCTGTAATCACCTCCTTCTGCGGCTTGTTCTGGCTCAACTTCCCCTGGAGTATATTCCGAGTGCATTTTTCGCAGCAACGTTTCAGCTCCTTCAAACTTGTCTTGCTTTATCAAGTCGCGGCTGAGACAGTCTACAATCTGTTCTTCGGTGCCCAAATTCAATGTATCCCAACCCTCGTCAGGTAAGCGCATTCGCCGCTCTAGAAAGGCACGGTATAAAGCCTCCTGCTCTGGATATCTTCTAATATACCCCAGGACATCAATGATCACCTCCACAAGTCTGAAAATTATGGACGTAAAGTCACAGGACGGGGCGTCGGAGATAAAACGCACCATGTGACCAACCACACGTTCAACAGGAACATTCGGGCTTGATTCCTTCATCTCCTGTAGAGGTACTAGTAACAGGAGAGCCTGTTTATGCTCATCGGTGTGCTCGTTCGCGTCTAGTATAAGCACCTCAGTTGCCTCCCGCTTCCAATAGCTTTTTAGAGCAGTCAAGTTGTCGGCAGGGGCTGTGAGCATGTCCAACTGCCCCGTGAACAACCGATTTGCCGCAGATACAACCGTGTCCTCAAATTTTGTGCTATGCTGAGTTGACCGTAGTATTCTACTGACGACACTGTATGTAGCTTCATGTGCTTTGCAAAGCCTTGTTTCAGCTAATTTCAGCGCCTTTATCAACAACCGTTCCGATCTCTCCAGCGTACCGACTACATGACTGTAATCTCCTGCATGCTGGAGCAACTCGACTAATCTGACTGTATGCATTTCATCGAGACCATCAAGCCCATCTGATTCAACCAAAGAATCGACGTGGGGGGACAGGTCGCAGCATATTGCCCAATGCTTAGAAAGTTCTGCAAAATCCCACGCAATGTCCGGATGCTCTTTGTCCAAGAGGTGAATGAAGGGGCCTAGCCACTTCCCATTGGCATCCTTTGACCTAACCCAGTGGCGAGTACAAGTATGTACTAAAGCATGCATTTGAAGTGAACGGGAGCTTGGTTGTTGATTGTCCCGGTTATCAATCATGGGTACTACCGTGACAAGCGAATAGCTGCACAACATTGCTACGTCTTCTGCCAGCGGGTCCAAACAATCTTCGGGTGGTTTGGTATGTGGATGATAGGTCTCAAAGTCTTCATAGTACCTCTCAAGTACCCATTCCGGAATTCCGCGGTGATAGAAGAAACTCAGCAATGACAACAGGTCGGAGGCTGACGGCCGTTCTTTCCGTATATGTTCGTATGTGATTATCCACGTCGTGAACACCGGACCTGAAGCTTCGTCTTCGGGGAAGTGGTTGAGAAGAACTGCCTGGTTATTCTCGCTCTCGCGGAACTGCTCCAAGTACACGCGGACGGACGTCCTTCCCGTCGATGCAAGATGGTTGATATATGCCGCTGCCTGAGTAATAGCGAGGGGAATGCAGTCGAGAGCGTCAACCAGGTTCTCTTCCCCGCTTTCATCTTCCAGCGTAGCTAGTTTATGCCGTAACAGCTGCCTCGCCTGGCCTTTGAACATTGGTTCAACTCGCCGAAAATGCAACCCCACCCCGAGACGCTTGACGACTTTCTCGCTTCGTGACGTGATCAGAATATTCCCATTTTGGCATCGGTGGAGGAAGTCGAGCGGCTTTAATGCTGTCGAAGAAGCGGTCGTACTATCTGAGTCTTTGCGTTCGTCTGGTTTTGGGTCGAAAACGTTGATATCATCGGCGTTGTCGAGAATCATCAGCCATTGTCGGTTGCCAGAACGTAGCCAGTTGAGCACCAGCCGTAGGACATCAGCTTTGACATCATCCCAGCCATCCAGGCTCAGTTCTTGTGCAATTTCGCGAAACGATCCGATGAACAATGCTTGGGTGCCGGCGTATACCCAGAGAAGGTATGTTTGGGGAGAGGTTTTCTGAATGTTACGCGCGTATCGGATGACGAGTCGTGATTTTCTGGTTACCACTGAATTAGCTCCTGTTCTTCTCACAAAGGAGTTAGCTAGAATGCACTTTGGGATCATGACATCACATACCCTACGCCCCCGAAGCCAACAAGTGCAGCACGGCCTCCCTTGTTGTTTAACTCGGTTTGCAGCCATGACATGATCTCATCCCGTTCGACGAAGTCATCGTCAGGCTGAAATGGAGCATTCAGGAAGGGTGCGGGAGTTGGAATTGTTTGGTGCTCACTTCCATTCCTGGAAATCTTTCCAGCCCCTTGGTAGCGGTTCAGAAATGCCTTCGCCACCGACGCAGCGCTGGCCGCAGCATATCCCTGCCACGCTTTGTTCTTGTGGCTGTCTGCGTAATCACACACGCCTTTGATGACGAGGCAAGGTAACACATCCCATACCCCTGCACCTTCCATCTCTAAGGCGATGATGCCCTTTTCGGCATAAGTATCGCGGTGTTTGGCAGAGCGGACAACAGCATCGGCTGACCCCATGCGCCCTATGAAGAACATGGGATGATTGGGTTGACCGCATCTCTTTCTTTGAACCAGATATCTGGCGTCACACCCAACATTATCACAGGGAATTTCCCATGATAACTCGCATATCGATCCTTGCGCGCAAGTAAGGCACCCTGACGCAGGGCGGTGATGTTTGTGCTCATATGAAGCTTCGAATAGTCTGTCCTTGTCTGTTCCTGGGTATGCATATCGGGAGAGGCCGCCGCTGAGCTCCTGAAGCTTCATCAGGTTGTCGGCTGCCTGTCTCTGAAACTCATTGCGGGTTCTCATCTTCTCCAAGCTCTTGAGCAGGCCCCGAAGATCCCTGTTCGGCCTGCCGAACGTATGCTCGACTTCGCTTCTGCTGAGAAAACGATCCGGTAGCTGTCTTCCAAAGTCGTATTGATTCAGAGTGCTGCTGATGACCACATCCCCAAGGACTATTTCCTCGCGTTCCCCTCCGACGTTGGCGAAAGGCATGCCGCCACAAACACCGACCACGAGGACTAGGGAGATATTCGGGTAACTTGCAGCGACACCGGTGGCTGCCGCGGTTGCCTCAACTTTTCCCATGCTGGGCAGGACAACGAGGACTACGTTGAACTTTCCGATCCGCGCTAGCTCGTATGTGTTCGAGTCGCTCGGAGCCCTGCCGTATTGAGTTTGATCGGCCCCATTCGTCCAAAATTCATCGACGAGCAACTCAACGGCGTCCATTTCGCGGGGAAGTGCACAGATTATCACAATCTCGAAGTCGTTCCGGCTTGTAGGACGGGAATGGGTCCGCTCATTGCCTGTTCCCGCTGGTGCAGCCATCGTGCTCGACTCGTTGACGAGAACAACTCTTGTCGACTAATAGGCGTTTGCATCGATAACGGCGTTCGGGATCGGGAGGTTCCCAGTGTCGGGCGGAGAATGAGATGTCTGACAAAGAGGAGTGGACAGAAACACGCAGCAACAAGTCGAGGAGTAGTGAGAGAGAGGAGCGCCTGGCAGAGCCTCCCGCCTCAATACGATTTGGTTGTCTTGACAGCAGAAGAGATGTCAGTCAACATTGTATCGGGCAGAGAACGTTGGGCATTACACACGTAGCTCAGGTACCAAGCCGAGAAAGAAAAAGCGTCAAATGAGGGGAGGCCTCATCACAGCCTCATTATTTCGGCTGTTCTGAGTGGACATAAAAGTAAGCAATGCCATGACCCCCCGCCAACGCCATCGATTGGTGGATCATATCTGGTGGTCAGATCCGTGACAAAGTTCATCGGGAAGACCGATGGAAAGAACATATGAGAAAGGAAAAGAAGACCGGCAAATGAAATAACCGTGGAGATGAGGGTGCCTTTTTCAGCTATCGTCATCACAGACTGCTTGGTGGTGGTGGTCATGTTGATGCCTATTACGGCGGTGGGCGTGGACGCGACCGGGACCGGGACCGGGACGGCGGGACCTGGATCGAGAGGTGTGTCGGCTTTGGTGGGGCCGTGATTTTGGGGACCGATGGATCTGGGGCCGGTGCCGTCGACGGGGTCGGAGCCAGATGGCCCGGAGGTGAGAAGCCTCCGTCTGGGGAGAGGAGATCGAGGGAGAGTAAAAACAAAGACAAGGCGAACCAAGTCGATAGGAGGTTGAAGAGGGAAGAGAGGGAATGCCCAGCTGGATCTGGCTCAAATACAGGAAAATTGGTAGTGTCGGTTGCGACTGCCAATGAGAATTGGTGTTTGGAAGCTCGAGAACCTGAGAACGGCCGCTTGCAAGTTCTGTTAGTAAGTTAACAAAATTGGCGTGTATCCCCATACAAAACTTCAGTTTCACTATCAGCATCTTAATGCATGGCCCTGCCACTCCATTTTGCCCCGCAAAAGAATTGTTAGGCCTAACACCTTCCCTACATAATCTGTTAGTGCATGTCTGCAGTGCAAAACCTTCCTTCCCTCTGCACCTCCGCTCCCTCTGCACCTCCCTTTGCACCTCCTCCCAACTTTCGACATCTCCTCATCAAGTCACTATTATTAAGCCATCAAAGAATTTGAAATGCCACCCCAAATGGCCGCCAACTCGATGTCCGACCTCTCGGAAATCAAACAGCTCCTCCACTCCTTAAATTCCGACCTCCAAGCTATTAAATCGGACCTAGCAGAGCTGAAGAAAAACCAAAGCCAAGGCCAGAGCCAGAACCACCTCCAGGGCGAGAGGGAGGGAACATCGTTTTCATGCGTCAGCTGCGCAAGGGAAGCTACCTCCAGCGGCGTCAGTTTGGCACTCCCCGGCAATGCTAAAGGGCGCGGCACACCCAGTTCGGTATCGCAACTTATCGAGAAGGAGGCGGCGAAGGGGATGGTGATCGAGAAGGTGGTCGCCGAGGCTGGGGGCACAGTGGATGGGGACTTGAATGCACATGGTCGTAAACGAAGTAGATCTGCCGCTGAGATGGATGCCCCTGGGGAAGATGGGGCGGATTCAGATGTTGAGGTCGTTGCTGAGAAGCGGGTTAAACAGCAGCAGCAGCAGCAGCAGCAGCAGCAGCAGCAGCCAGAGGAGAAGGAGAGCAAGAAAGATGGCGATGGCGATGAGGACTCAGATGAAGATGATTTTGGACCCTGGGGGGAGGGAGGCAAGCGAGACGAGGAGACCGTTCTCGACCTAGCTGTTTGGGACGGGATTGACGCCGTTGACAAACTCCTCAGTCGTGAATCGGAGATCAGCATCCCGTGGATCTTCCTGGCCATCGAAGGGGTGCATGCACGGTGGTTGGATGAAAATGCTACGAGAAGGCGGTTGCAATGGAGAGAGTATCAAAAGGAGGGGATGCTCGAGTTCGAGTACTGCTTATACGGCATCTTCTACAGAGGGCATAAGCACCCAGACGTGGCTAGGGGAAAATGCTTCTGCAGACGTGGCGATGCTCTGCCCGGTTTGATCAATTATGCCGCCCAGTGTATCCGGGTCAAGCGGTCGGAGCGCGATGGCGGCAAACTCGCGTTCCGATTTGGACAGCAGATCGGGCACCGCCGCGACCCGTACTGCTGGGAAGTGGGATTGCACTGGAAATAAACTTGCCGGCTATGGGAACCGGGGATCAATGTGTTATGAGTCTCATTCCGGCTATTTACTCAGGTACATAACTCCCAGAGCGAGGCATGTGATCCTTCACCCGTTCTCGACAGGGAAACCGTTCGGCGGGGGACATCTTTCGTGTACCTCCTTTCTGCTGACATTTTCCAAGTGTAGATATCCAACGCATCCTCTTTCCAAGCAAAGACTGAAATGCAGATTTTCCCTTACCCAACTCGCCACCAGCGCCGGATGCATTGCCGTAACTTCTGCGGACTGACACCAAGTCGCAATGGGCATGCAAGCAACACCAAACGAACAATCGCACGTCAGAACTCGAAGCGTCCCCCAAGATCACAACTTGATGCGAAATAAGACAGGAGACGCTTCAAGCCGCGACGAGCATGACTTCGCCTCATCCTAGCATCCAAAAGCTCTAAACAACAAAAGTCAGACACTGGAAGACACGGTAAAGAGTCCAATCTGGCGAGTTCTCCGGGCAGACGTGAGGCGCATACGGCGCAGGATGCAGAAATTCCCAAGCTTGCGCGTGATCGCAGTAGGTCCAGCCCATCGTAGTATCGTAATAGTACCAAGTCTGCGAGGGATTGTGGACAGACAAATGGGGGGAGGGATAGTAGAAAGAGATCTTATCCGCATGAAGATCGTAGTAAGACCAAGACGGCATGGGATCGTAGTAGGTCCAGCCCGTCTGAGGATAATGGTGAGAGTACCAAGCTGGTGAGGGATGGTGGTAAGTCCAGCCTGGCATTTTGTAGTGATAAGCAATCTTTTCCCCTTGCTGCCGTCGAGGTGTTAGGTCCTCCTCTTGCCCAGCCTGTGTTTCTACAAGCTCTGGATGGTTTCTCCACCCCCGTCGAGGTGTCCAAATCGGGCTCTCGTCTTGCCCAGCGTGTGTTTTCACAGGCTCTGGATGGTTTCTCCACGGATCCTCCCCTTCGTCTTCTTCTTCTTTCTCCTCCTTCTTCAACTCCTCCACCTCCTTCTCCCCATACAGCTCTTTCTTCACCTCCTCCAGATAGCGGGCCCTATGTGTAAGTGAGGCCCGCTCTTTGTCAAGGAGTAATTGCTCCGAGGCTATGCGTGCCCAAGCTACATTAATGTCCGGGATGGACAAGAATGTCATGCGGTACTCCTGTTCGGCTGTCCTAGAATGTGGTACCGTTGTAGAATCGGGCTTGGGTGTGATCGCTTGCCCGTGTCCTAGGTTATCGATGTCGCTGCTCGATACCTCCATGCCGTTAATGTCGGAACTGGCTTTGCATGAAGACAAACCATCTGGATCCTCCCACTCCTCCTCCTCCCCCTCTTCCTTGTCCTCCTCATCCTCCTCCTCGTCCTCCTCGTCGTCCTCCTCCTCTTCCTCGTCCTCTTCCTCGTCCTCGTCGTCGTCGTCCTCCTCCTCCTCTTCTTCTTCATCTTCTTCATTCTCCGCCTTCTCCGACTCCCTCATTTCCTTCTCCGCATTCAGCCTTTTCTCCAGCTCATCCGCAGCACGGAAAAAACGGTGACGATGTTCGTGCGATACCCGAAGGGGTCCAGGATAAGGTACCGTCGTAGAGTCAGGCCTGGGTGTTTCTCCATCCTCGTGGATCGCTTGGCCGTGTCTTAGGCAACGTGTGTCGTTGCTGCTTGATGCGTCGATGTCAGAGTTGGCTCCGCAGGAAGAGGAACCGAGAATATAGGCATACAATTCCGGCCAGAGGTTCGCATAGTCCGGCCAGTAAGCCTGAAATTGCCACGTGCGTATTAGATACCTTATCGCAAAATCTAGCGTGGGGCACCGGTTGAGTGTACGGCACTCCTTGTTCGGCTCATCGAGCCTCTTCCTCCGCTCCTCCAGAACACGGAGCCTAGCGGCATAGAGGGGCGGAATTCTCCACGTCGCAGTACTCCTATCGTCATTAGTGTCCGGGATCATTACCCCCAGCTTCAGTTCTTTTGGCCTAGAATTGTGTGGCGTCGCAGAATCGGGCTCGGGCACCATCTCATCCTTCTTGTTCGCTTGCGTGTGTTGCGCGTTGTTGGTGTTGGTGTTGGTGTCCAAATCCTTCCCCTCCACCTCCTCCTCCACCTCCTCCTCCTCATCCTTCTCCTCCTTCTCTTTCTCCTCCAGCAGCTTCTTCAACTCTTCCTCCCTCTCGTCCAGAGCGCGGAGCTTAATGGCATAGAAGGCCCAAAATTTGCTCATGGTCATGATTCCGCTTGTCCCATCTGGCAAGCGGTAACGGATTCGCATACGGCACTCCCTCTTCTCACCCTTCCTCTTCCTCTGCTTCTCCATGTCTTCCTCCAGGTTTTCCTGCACCTTCTCAAATCGTTTCCTCTCCTTCGCACAGTAGGCCAAGATGTCATCCAATTGCCCACAGCTCAAAAGGTTCCAACCTTCACTGTTGCCCGGGATTCCTGGCAACTGCTTCGCCCACCACTTCAGTAGCTTCCACCGCTCCTCCTGAGCGCGGAGCTCAGCGGCTTCGAATGCGGCGCTGGCCTTGTCGATCCTCAATTGCTCAAGGCGCAACTTCTCAACATACTTATTTTCATACGTCTCCTCGAAATCCATCACCTCCACTTGTTTTGACCCATAACTTACATTTACATAAGTAAGTATGGCCATAACCTCGGCCTCGGTCAGCTGTCCATCCTTTTTCCACGCTTCCGTGTGGTCCGGTTTGTCGGTGATAGTGTCAAACGCCTTATCGAATCTGTTTGACGCCTTAGATTCCAGGTCCGGAATATCGCCTTTTAGACCCGGGCACTCGTCTTCTTCGACCTCTTCGACCTCTTCGACTAACTGCATGTTGGTCGGGGGAATCACGTTGACGTTCGTAGAGGTGCCTAGGTAGGTAGACTGGTCCGGACGGCTCGATGATGGCTGGTTTGAAGGTTCTTGCACGCGATTATCTGTGCGAAGATTCTGGGCGTTTACGGCACGGATCGCCGATTCTCCCTGCCGCAGGGCCTTTATTATGCAGTCTCGGCACACGCCCACGAGCCCTTTCCGTGTGTAGCACTCGGGACCATGTTTGGGATGGCCAGCTATATTGTTGGCTCCCTTCACTAGCAGTTAGCTACAATACACACATCATCATTCCCATCTTTCGTGATCCATCTTACATTATCGGCAGGGAAATGGGGAAAATCTCTCGCCCTATGGACCTCGAGGTCGTCCTTTGGGTCCTGGACGGGTTTGGCCGTTCCGGCGAGGTCATTAGGTGGTTCGTGGTTTTCCATGTTGACGTGGTCGCAGATGATGTGGTCGAGATGGGTGTGCTCGATGATTGTTAAGTTGAAGGATGGGAGAGAGTCAAATTGATGGGCGAGAAGAAAGAGGGGAACAGAGGGAATCGTGGGGGGGGAAGGGTTTATGTAGCAGTGTAGGTAGGGACGAAATAATCTTGATGCAGTGGTATGTATTGTATGAGTCAACCAGTTGGGGCACCCGGCGGACCGTCACGGACGCAAGAGAACCACCATATCAGACGCATGCGCGTCCTCGGTGGTGCAGATTTTTCGGACCTTGGAGTTTTGCATATTTGGTTGATGACGACCGTCGGGTGCATTATTCCTGGAGGGCGGAGGCAGAGAGGTATGTACGTAAAACCCGCAAACTGCCGCGCCGAGCCGAGATGCACGAATCCAGGAAAGGTCATCCAGCACAATCCACGGGCTTGTGGTAATCACGAGTCCTCTTCATGGCGGGGTCATGCACTGCAGTGGGAAGTTTAGTCATCACAGGTAGAGAGAGGGAAAGTGGGAGAAGAGTGAACGGGAAGGAGCAACTCAAATTCCAGGCAGCCGAGATCATGCTCAGGTCAATTCACTGCTCTGATTGTGTCGTTTTTATCCGGCCCCGACAATCCGTCCTTGTTGCGGCTCTGTCTGCCATCTGATCCTATCCGTCCATCTTCCATCCTTCTCTTGTTTTCCATCAACACTCCGGAAACCAATTTGATCTCGTAAAGACCATGCAATTACTCCCACTTGGTCAAATCCTGGCAAGGTCCCACCCTCTTCCCCCAAGAAAAGCACAACTTCCCATCTATATTCCCATCTGCATCTTTCCGCCCATCTCTCTTCACCCGGATGCACCTCGTGGACCGGTTAATCGGGGCATTATTCACTCGTTCCAATCCCAAATTCGGCCTACAATAACATGTTCCGTCGGCTACACGCAAATTTCGGTGTGAATGATCATCATCGTGTCCCCAGTAGAGGATACCATGCAAGCAATAGCTGAATTCGAGCACCCCGTGTCGTTGAAAGTCCTCCCATCTTCTCAACATGCGCCTGTCCCTGGGGGTGTGGTAAAGGCCCACGAGCGCGCTGAAGACAAACTCGGGGGGGATGTCGATACTGCTGACGCAATCGTACAGTCCGCTAATTGCGTCCATCATCACTCTGGAAAGCTGGGTGGCGTTATCCACCACCACCTCGACCGGTTCTTCTGTCTGCATCCTGCTCTCCCGCTCGACCGGTTCTTCCTGTGTGCTCTCCAGCTCGACTACCTCCATGTTGTCATGGGCGGCGGCAGCTGGGGGGCTAGAGTCCAGGTCAGGAGTCGCAATCTCCTGCTGTCCGCTGTTCCTCGACTCTTGAAGATCTTGACCGAGGACTCGGATATTTTGCTGCACCGTCAAGACTTGCTGACTCAGTTCATAGAGTGAAGCTTGGACCGATGATAAATTGTTGTTATCGTTGTGGCTGGCCATGTTGGTTTTGACTACCTAGCGATCAAACTTGCGTGATGATATGCTGAGGCGCGAAAGAAAGAAAGAAAAGCAGAGTGGGATGACGGGCTGGAAGGATGGCAGCAATTTAAATACATTCCATTCTCAATGTCAGCGCTGACTGTCGCGGGAATACTAGACTAGAATGTGCATGATCTTTCAAGTGAGAGTTCGAGAAGGTTAGATAATAAGTACCTCTCTACCTTCATCTTGGAAATAGAACACGGGGGAAAGAGGAGTGAAAGAGGGAACATTGCAGGTAAATGGAAGAAAGCGGCTGTAGTTTTTGTTAAACCGCTGACAAACAAGCATGTATCCCGTCAAATTCTTGTAGTTCGGTTTCGTTTTGTTGTTGGGAGTTTGGTGGGTTGCTGCCACCACGTTCGGCAGGTAAAAGGTCGCTCGCACCAAACCACCAAGTCCGAATTTCCATTCTCCTGAAATGGAAACAAGCCCAGACATCTCGAAAAGCAGTATATTTGATCCGTCTCTTGCCATCAAATGAGCATCATCTGATTGATGTCTTTGATCATGAGCTATCTTCCTTCATCTCTCCCCTTTCATTCCAGCCTTCCTTCACCTTTCCATCATATTATCCAGCATTCCAGCAAATTCTAGTCAGAATCCGACGAAAGGGCGCCTTTCCACCTCGCTTTCGAGAATTCTGCTCTCAGGTGTCGTCGGCGCAATGGATCCTATAAGTTATTGGATGGCCCAAAAAAAAAAAAAGGAAGAAAAAGAAGTAAAGAAAAGAATTGGCCTAGTTTTCTTCAAAAGCAGATAGATGTTTGTTGGCTCCATGTGGCAGCCACACCCGTACAACATTGCAAGACAAAGGCAAGGGACGGCCCGTCGTCATGGTGTCACGTCACCACCTACCTACCTCTAGGTAGAGGTATCGTCCACTAGGTGATGCATCACACAGGGGCATTTTCCGCACGGAGAGGGAGATGTTTTGGTGTTCGGTAACTTGTAATTCAAATCACAGAGTCAACATATTGCATCTGACATCTTCTAATGTGTCGAACAGATTTCTCGAGGTTGGGTTGTGAATGGCTTCATTTCCGATCAGCAGTTAAGGATGATCAAAATAGGGCTGAATCGTAACAGGGTGATGCCTGCCTGCCCGGAAGCAAACCGTTAACGGACGGCGCGGCGGAAATTGTTAGTGGGCTTGGAGCGGGTTCATCATAGCGGGCCGGGGTTGGCTCGCCCGATGTCTTGATTTTGCTACCCATGCTCGAGACATGTTGGATCTTTTTACCTGTGATGAAAGGATTGGATTGAAATTTGACGGACGAATAGTTTAGTCATATTAAACCAGAGACTTATCGATTATATGGATATCAGAGTGGGAGAAGGCCGTCCTTTTCATGAGTGTCCTCGATAAGTTTTGCTTCCTGTTTTGCTGCAGAGGAGCTCAGGGCAGTGCTCCACCTCAGTCCAGGCTTCCACTTCCATTCTCGCTTCCCACGGCAGCACGGTTTCTGGAGTTTACATTAATCGACAAACAGTCTCCTCATCACACACTTTCCTAAAGGATTCCATTCCCAACCGTTAACCGAACCAATAAACATTACGGCAATTGCGGTTCAACGGCTCTTCCACGTGCGAAACAACCGTGCAACCGTGTAACCACCCCTTTCCATTCCGTCGGGCCAAGTTACCGTAGTTGAGTCTGTTGCCTTTTTCTGGAATTAAATGTCGTACTATGTACACTGCGTTACAACCGATATGGGTTATGTAGTACCGTTGACATTGAAGCCCCAAACATGTCGCCAATGGGAAGCCCGAACGGGTCCTCATACGGCACCTTGTCAACGTCGTCACCGCAGTTACCTCGACCAAGCCATTCCCGAACGCACCGTTGTTCGCAAAAAGGGCAGCCACGCCGCGCGCTGCGTTGGGATTGTCGTGGCCAGGGCCGAACGGGGAGGAAGAAGCCGGGGAACGGTAACGTACTGTTAATCTTGTCCCGGCCAGGCCGATAGGGCCCCGGGACCGGAAGACGAACCGGGGGCGGGGGAAGAAGAAGAAGATGATGTCAGATTTTCTGGTGTGGTCAAGTGGCTGGGACTCTGACATCTAACCCTCATCTGGGCAGAATGCTACCCTGGAATCTGACAGATGAGACGGTAATGTCCTTATGCCTCGCAGAGTGCATTGGGTGATGCATTGGCTCTCAATGGCAGCTCGGAGTTCACTGGGAGTCTGTCCCCATTCGGGCTTGTGAGATAAGAAGGTCCAGGGCCCTCGAGAGATGGCAATACATTGACTCGATGACCAACATTTTCCCCGGGCCTTTTGTTCTCTTTATTCGAAGCAGGAAAAAAGAAAGGAGTGACAAACGAGAACTCGACATCTCACACACATTCCTTCAGTCAATCGTCGAATTTCGGTAGATATAACCATGTTCTTTGGACGTAAGGCGGCTATGGCGCCGCTGGACCCGACCGATCGGGTGCTGCCGCTCCACTTTTTTGAGAGCAGCGTGCTGGTGCAGAAGTGCAACGTGGCTGTGTCCATGGTGTTTGACGAGGTGTTGGATCCGGAGAAGCTGAAGACGTCGCTTGAGAGCCTGGTGAAGTGAGATGGGTGGCAGAGGCTGGGAGGTCGGTTGAGGAAGAACGTAGGAACCACCACACTTGGCAATGGCACCCTCCCCCGATGATCTTTGCTGACATGACCGTTACACACAGGCCGCAGGCAAAACCGAATGGCACATTCCCCAGAAGTTCACGGCCGAGCGCCCGGCAATCAACTATGTTCACGTCGACCACGGCATGCCTGCCTCGGCTCACCCAGCCGCCTCCAAGATCCCCGTCCCAAGCGCCCGTCCCTGCGTTGTCGGCGACCCTGACCTGCTGGCTGATCTGGCCTGGGAAGCCGGCTATACACCCAACGGCATCACCGACTACCTCACCGAAGATAAGCCCGTCCTCGGCCTGCGCGTCAACTCATTTACCGATAAAACTGTTGTCGTCCTCCAATGGCAGCACGTCACCTTCGATACGCTCGGCCTACAATATGTGGTGGATGCGTGGCAGTTGATCCTCCATGGTAGGGGGAACGAGGTCCTCACGCCGTGTGGCATCGATGGGGACCCGTTTAACCCTCTTGCCACGGGTTCAGCTGTGGCTACCGAGGAGCATGTCCTCAACAACCGACGTGTCGGACTGGGCGGTATCCTCAAATGGGGTCTCGGATATGGTGTTGACATGGTCCTGCGAGCAAAAGACAACGGCATGGTGTGCATCCCGGAGAGTTACTGGAGGCCACAATATGAGAAGGCGCTGGAGGAGTTGCGGGCCGAGGCGGTCGAGAAGGGTGAAGACCCAAACAAGGTGTTCCTGACCGAGAACGACGTCATTACGGCGTGGATCATGAGATGCGTGGTTGAGTCCATGAATATGGACCCCCAGCGAACTGTAAGTTTTCCGATGTGGTGGATTAGGTTTGATCCGATGCCGTGGACCAGATTGATGCTGACTTTTGTAGGTTGCCGGATCGATTGCCATGTCCCTCCGTAAGGCGTTTGAAGGCGACCTGATCCCATATGCCTCCGAGGCCCCATATGTCGGCAACGCTTTCGGCTGGGGTAACGTGCTGGTCACTGCCGGGGACGTGTCGACTAAGCCGTTGAGCTGGGTAGCACGCCAGGTCCACCGGGCGATCAACGAGCAGGGCACTCGGCAGCAGCACATGGCGTACTACAACACGGTGCGAACATCGAACACCGGTCTGCCCATCATCATCTTCGGTGATGGTGGCATGTACCAGATCGGCTTTACCAACTGGTCCAAGGCGAACCTGTTCGAGGTCGACTTTTCGCTAGCTCGCAAGCAGGCGAAGAATGGGCAGTGCCGGCCTTCGTATGTGCAGGAAAACCACGGGCCGGTCAAGCCGTGTGATGGCTTTGTCATCCTGGGCAAGGACCCCAAGGGGAACTACTGGACTGCGGCGTACAAGCTCAAGGGCCAGTGGATCAAGTTCCAGGAGCAGTTGGATAAGGACTTTGCGGCGGGCCGTTAAGGTGGATGATGTCGACCTCTGGTAGGTTGGCGGGTGATGCTAACTTCTCATTGTTGCTGGGTGGGGATAATTAGTGCTGACAAGTTGATGTGGATGAAGGAGTCATGAATGCTGTGATCCTGCCAGATCGGGTATTTTCAGTTTCGAATCCGCGCTGTCGCTGTCGTAGAACTTGTCGACGTTGCTTGCTGCGATGAGTCGTTTTGAGAAGTCTTAAAAAGAAGGGAAGACTTTTGACGGAGGACGCGTGAAGCTTGGCGGACGGTCCGCTCATGCCGAAACATGGGGCCTAGTGGGCTTGCGCTAACAGATACTAACAGAATCGCCAGTCAAAACGCTGAATGGATGTTAGCGAGTCTTATCCGCGGCCCATCCTCAGCTCAGCTCGCCATGGCCTTTAATTCTTCACGGTTCATTTCCCCTCCTCCGGCTCTCCTCCCGTTTCTCGGTCATATTGCGATATCGCCCTTTTCTTATCGATATATATGAGCGCCCTCATAGACGGTTCGAAAGGAATTATATCTAGACAACTTCAAATTATGTCTACAACCACCAATTTGGTTCTGCTGTGAACGAGCCATGTTGGCCGTCGGATAGTGACCAGCCGACCAACCAACCAACCACCATTTGCGCACGCGACACCCATCCGTCAACTCGGGAAAGATGATGCCGACTACAACAGCCCTATCACATCACATCTGACGACCGGGTTTAATGCCCTTCCCCTCATGTGAATATGTGTGTCAACGTCAGTGATGGCATACCTACACCACAGGATCGGGGGATTGACCCAGTTGGCACTTGTCAAATTCGCAGGTGACCCGATCTTTTCGTCTTGGCTAACTGCAGAATCTTCACTCCTTCAACCTCACATCAATCAATCTTTCTAGAGTCCTCGTACCTCAATATTGTTCGTTGTTGAATAGGTTAGAGCAGATCGTCATCTTTGTTTGTATCGCCAGCATTATAGACTTATACATCACCGTTTAGTTTTCCCACCGATCCTTTTGTCACCAAAGGTTTGCTTCGGTGTCTCAGTTCACGCCTCACGGACTCCATCATTACAAGCACCGCCCATGATTCATCCACAGAATGTCCGGCTATGATAACCCGCCCGACTCCAAACCGGCCTTCAACCCCTACGATGGCGAAGACTCCTACACGATGATCAACCTCCCATCCTCCTCCTCATCATCATCATCTTCATCCTCCCCCGACCTACTCATCGACAAGGCCGCCGGGTCCGCCAAAGGTCACACTCACAACAACCTCAGAGCCATCCCCGACCTCTCAACCCTCCAACCTTCCGCCCTCCGCTCCCTAACCACCTCCCCCTTCTCCGAGCACGAGCTCCTCTCCCCCTCATTTCAACACATCCGTCGGACCCTCTCCCGCTCTCCATCCCCTCCTCCTCCCCGCTCTTTCCAACAACAACATGGCCCCGATAGGCCCAATACTTCCAACCTAAAATCTCGAATCAGCAACTTCCTCCACCGCAACCGCCCCCTCTTTCAAGTAGCCATCGCCCAGCTGTTCGGGGCTTTGATGAACCTCGCCGCGCGGTTACTTGAACTCTCAGGAGAAGGGGGAAAAGAAGCAGGAATGCACCCCTTCCAAATCCTTTTCGCCCGGATGTTCCTCACGGCCCTCCTCTCGCTTCTCTACATGCATTGGAAAAAGGTCGAGTATGCGCCGTGGGGGAGGAGGGAGGTTAGGTGGTTGTTGGTGTTGAGGGGTGTTACCGGGTTTGTGAGTATTCCTACTTGTTATTCTTTCTTCCATGGCTGCATGGTTCGTGGACGGAGGTTTGTGGTAGGTTGAAGGGGTGAAGGGGTAAATGGGAGATGACTGGTAAATGGAGGGCGGGGGCGAAAGATGTGAACTGTGATTCCGGAAGTGAATAAAACTGACTGAGAATAGTTCGGCATCTTCCCCCTCTGGTACTCCATGCTCTACCTCCCCATCGCCGAAGCAACAGTAATCACCTTCCTCGCCCCCTCCCTCTCCGGCTATCTATCTCACCTTTTACTCAAAGACCCATTCACCAAAAAAGAGCAGATAGCGAGTTTTGTGGCTTTGGCGGGGGTTGTGTTGATCGCTCGCCCTGTTTCGTTCTTCGCCTCCTCTACACCAGCAGCAACCGTCTCACCCTCCTTTGGCTCCAACCAAAACAACATCACCTCCTCCGCGTTTCCCACGTTAACCAACCTCACATACCCATCTGCCACGGTTTCCGCACCTTCCTCGGTCGCAACCACCATTGTGACTACCAGCATCCCTGATTCCACCGGTATCCCCGACGTCTCCCCCGCAGAACGCCTAATAGGCATCCTCACCGCCCTCCTCTCCGTCCTCGGCGCCTCCTCAGCCTACACCACCATCCGCGCCCTCGGTCCCTCCACGCACCCCTTGATATCCGTCAACTATTTCAGCCTCTGGTGCACCCTCGTCTCCCTTTTGGCTCTCCTGCTCTGCCCCGTTTTGGACATCGGGCAGGAAGCTACGGATTTGGTACCCGCTATTCGATGGGGACTGCCGCGGGGGGTATATCAATGGGCGTTGCTTGTGGGACTGGGAGTGGCGGGGTTCGTTATGCAGTTTCTTTTGACGAGTGGGTTGGGGGCTGGGCCTGGAAAGGACGGGGATGGGAAGGAGAGGGTTGAGGGAGGACAAGGTAGGAGGAGGGGAGGTGAAGGAAGGGCTGGGGGAGGAAGACGGGGGACGATGACGAGGGGAGCAACAAAATCGAATCGGGCGACGGCGATGGTTTATACGCAGATGTTGTTCGCGGCGGGGTTTGATAGGTGGGTGTTTGGACGGACGATGAGTGGGTGGAGTGTGGTTGGGTGTGGCTTGATTGTTGGGAGTGCGTTGTGGGCTGTCTTGGGGAAGGAGACGGATGTGAAGAAGGAAGGGGTAAGGGATGGACAGGAAGATGTGGATTTGGAGATGACCGAGGGCGGGGTGAGGTATCAAAGGAGTGAGAGCGGTGAAGAAGAGGAAGGGGCGCCGATGTTGAGAAGGACAGAAGTAGAAGAGGAGGATTCATCCAGGGGCCGACGGACTGACTGATATGGCCTGGTCCTGAGCAGCCTTTCAACAGAATCGGCCGAGCAGGCTAATATTGAAACCCAGATTGCGTACACACTGATAGCAGATGGTCAAATGCACCACTGCATCAGTCTTCCACTTCCATTCCGTTCCAAATCAGTACACATACCTAAACCTCTTGTTCTCCCAATCCACCTTCCCACTCTCCACCTCTTTCTGCCCATCCCGCGTCTTATTCCTCCAAACATACCACAAAAACAACGCAAAAGTAGTCACCGCACACCCAGCTTGCGTCGCCATAACCGCAATCTTGGCCGGCCTATACTCCGGCGCATCTTTCGCTCTGAAGGTCTGGGGGCCGATGATGTTTCCCAAGGAAAATGACCCGCTGATGATGGCGGCGGCAAAAGCACGCTTGGTGGTTCCGGCAATGTTGGATATGGTCCAGTTGTAGAAGATGGGGAGGGGAGCGACGACGGCGTTCACGAGGTAGATGCCTGCGAGAATGCCAGAGCGGTTGGTGGTCGGGAGGAAGGACATCAGGGCGCCGCCTAGGATGCTGTGGGGGTGTGTTAGTGATAACCTGGGATGATAATGGGAAAGCGGTAAAGGGATAGGGGAAAGGTGAGGACCGAGTTGGGAGGAGAGCGATGAGAGATGAACGGCAGACGTACGCAGGAACGATGCAGGCAATGATCCACGCCCAACGATAGGACTGCTTACGGATGCCATAACCGACGAACAGCGTGAAGAAGATACTGACGGCTCCGGAGGGAGTGTTCATCAGGGCCGCTTTCTTGGGATCATACCCGAGGTTGCGAATGAGAGTGGCCGAGTATGTTGTCACCACACCGCTCGACACCGAAAGCTAGAACATGTCAGTAACTCGCCATCAAACACCACAAAGACAAAGGCAGCTAAAACTCACCAACACAACCGAAAGCAACAATAACCAAACCTGCATATCCATTACCGCCTCCACCACCTCCTTCCACCTGAAACCCCTCTTTGTATTCTCAATCCCCGTCTGGTTAACACTGACATGCCTCAAAAGCGCCACCTTCTCCCTCTCGCTCAACCACTTCGCCTTCATCGGGGTGTCCGGCAACACGAGAATCACTGCCAACCCAACCACAACCGTGATCACTCCCAACACAACGAACATGATTCTCCACCCCGCCAGCCTCCCCTCGCTAGGGACAATATGCTGGAACCCAAACGACGCCAGTCCACCAACAATCTGCCCTACGCCTAAGCCCAGATACCAAAATGAGAAGCGAGGAGCAGCTTCCGATTTGGTGTACCACTGGCTGCTAATGAGCATGAGGGAAGGACCGATGGTGGCTTCGAAGATGCCCAAGAACACGCGAGACACCAAAATGGTGCGGTAGGAGTGTGCAGCGGCGCCGCAGGCGGTGGCGATGCCCCAGAGGGTGACATTGGCGCCGAGCCATTTGGCTGAGGGTAGGCGTTGGAGGAGGTATACGTTGGGGACCTCGAAGCACAAAAGGCCGACGAAGAGAAAAGTGGCAATGTTGGAGAATTGGTTGCCTTTGAGGTGGAGGTCGACGGGGAGGCCCATCACTGCTGCGTACTGGACGTTCGGAGGTTAGCAGGTGATGGAGTGGGGCAACGTGATGGGGAAGGATGACTCACGTTGAGGATGACCTTGTCGAGAAATTGCAAGGTGTAGCAGAGGAACATGAGAGGGACAATGTGCCAGTCGATCTTCCTCCGAAGTGAGGAGTGGTCAAAGGCGGGATCCGATCCAGTCCCTGTGGCGGCATGTCAGACTTTAGGTATTACCCTCCAAGTCCCAATTGCAATCCACGTTCCACCATGTTCATGCAACGGCGCCCATCTGGTTTGCTGTACCGTAAAACTCAAACAAGCGAGGTGAAACTGAGGGCCAATATCAGCTCACATGCATGGTTTTCACGACCAGAAAACGACCCAGGACTTGACTACCGAAGACTTACATCCGCCGTGCATCCGCTTTTTCGGGAAAATATGTGTATATTCCCAAGCCAAGCGGTAGATATAACTTGGTACGACCTCACACATGAAATCTGGAATGAGCCGTCCGTCTCCGCGTCTGCAAGTTGTCAGTGTATCACCACTGGTGAACCTCAATCAAAATGCCAAGTAATGCCCCCTTTGGAGGATTGAACGCCTCCGACAGCAATCAGAAGCCAAAACCACACGTTTTGATCATTGGCGCCGGCATTTCTGGCCTTGTCCTCGCTCAATCTCTCCAACTCCATTCGATCCCCTTCACCATCTTCGACCGCCAGCCAGGTCCAACGGATCGAGACAAGAAGGAAAATCTGGGTTGGGGCTTGACCATTCACTGGTTCCTGGCTGCTCTCCGCTCTCTCCTGCCTGAGGAACTGGTGCAGCGATTACCGGAGACATACGTCGATAGGAAAGCCGTTGAGGATGGCCGAACGGGAACTTTCCCCTTTTATGATTTGAGCACAGGGGAATTGAATCTTCTGTGCCAGAGGTGGGAGAGAACAGCAGGGTGAGGGTTGAGAGGAGGAGATTGAGGGAGTTGCTCGGAGTGGGTGTCGAGGTGAAGGTTGGTGCTTTTTGAGCTACGTTGCTGGGCAGATGGGATAATTGTCAGTGGTGTGCAATGATGCTAACCGGATTGAATGGGGTTGTAGTGGGATAAGAGCGTCACCCAAGTCGATAACCGAGAGGACTCTGTCACCGTGACATTTGACGATGGGACATCAACCTCGGGGACTCTTCTCGCGGCTTGCGATGGTGCCAACTCAGTGATTCGCCGTGCTTTGTTCCCGGACGAGCAGTATCCGAGGTACCGAATTCCAGTGAGAGTGATGGGTGTCAGACTCGACTGCTCAAAGGAAGAAATCGAGCCGGTAAGGACGCTTGATCCGTTTTTCTTGCAAGGGAGTTGTCCTGCGACGATGTCGTATGTTTACATCAGCGGTAAGAAAGCATTCCAAATTCCACCAGTTAGATCTAGTGGGTATGGTGTTGACATGAAAATACCTCTAGTCCTCGATGCACCTGGGAACAACCCTGATAAGCGGACGGACAAGTATACCGTCCAGGTGGTTGTCTCATGGCCCATCCGCAGCGGCGTGCTTGGGCAATCGTCACCGGTCCCGGTTCCCGAAACCAATAATGAGAAACTCAGGCTTCTCAAGACGTTTGCTGAATCGTGGAGCGAGCCGTTCAAATCACTTGTCTGTAACGCTCCTGAAGACACTGAAGTCAAACGTCTTGACCTGTCGGACTGGGCGCCGCCAAAGGGTCTGCGAAGTACAGGTCGAGTGACACTTGTGGGAGATGCCTTGCATCCTATGGCTATGTGTGAGTTTGTCGTCTCTCCGAAATTGAAGGCGACTGACCTAACGCATGCGTTTAGACCGCGGCGAGGGTGCCAACCATGCCATCTTGGACGTCCTGGAGTTTGCGCAACAAGTACTCCCACATCTGGAAGACACGACTGCTGAGTTTCGGAGTGCAATCGACAGGTATGAGGACTCGGTGGTTGCCAGAGCGCGTCCGGCGGTGTTTGCTTCCCGACAAGCGTGTATTGATGCGCACTGGTGGGAACGGATTAGCGGCAACAGTCCTCTATTGAGCAGACGAACTCCCAATGTGGAATACGAGGAGGAGGATGTTCGTCTATGGTCCGACTGAGTAGCGACGACAAAGAGTTCGCGTTGAAGCTACAATCGCCCGCGGGGAGAGAGGGGAAAGCAGTGATGCTCACGGGAGGTATTGGGCAGAGGAAAGGAAGAGAAACAATCGTTCATCGCCCAGTCATAAAAATCAGCAAAAAAAGTAATTTCGCAGTTGCTGTGGATAGGCTCAGTGCCCTAACACATCACATCGTTCTTGCCATCTTCTACCCTCAAAGTCGCTCCTTCCCCTTCGTTCCCCAATCAGCTTGGATATGCGGCGACAAAAAGGGAAGTGGAGCAAAAAACATACAACACCAGGGATTCGCTGGTCGTCACCGACCCAACTACTAGTCTGGCCCTCACTGGCTTATCTATGGGAGAGCGGACGGGATCCCGAGTTTTCCGGTGGGTATGGTCGTATGTAGCTATTTTAGTGAGATTGTGCGCCTATGAAGCACAGATCCTGTTGCGTCGGCGATCACCGCCCACAGAATGGAGCAGCAACTTCTCAAACAAATTGAATTAAATTTTCTTTGCATAATTCGCATGAAAGTATTGCGAGGATGGAAAAGCAAGCAAAAAATGAGGCAAAAAGCAATCCAAACAGGGGAAGGAACCGAAGAGAAGGAAGAGGAGGAACGTAACAGCGCCAGCTTGAACAGAAACATTTTCCAACCGAATTGAGAACTGATAACGCAAAGAAAATTCGTAATCTCATCAAGGTTCTACATTCCGTGCTCCCCTTTGATCCAGCTCACCAATCTGTGCTTGACCACACGCTCTCCATCCCTCGCAAAATCCAGCCCCCATCATGTTCATGTTCGCGACCCATTTCGAGGTCCATCAAATCAGAATATGGAAGCAGGCGCGGTGAGATACGCATCATAACGGTGACACCCTGTAGGTAATTTGAGAATAGTGATTGTCTGTTCCTTGTTGTTGTCCCCGAGATACATCGCTGTTCCAAGTAGATACTAGAGGATCGTGATCGTTGTCTCAACCCCTTCATCGGAGTCTAAAACGCTCGGGTTGTCGCTCCATAGTGGTAACATGGGCCGTGGAGGCTCATTGGGACCGACCGAGCGATGTTGAATTAGCATTCCGATGCGCCGGTATGTGTTGTCGCCTTCGAGTTTCTGTAAAATTAGGGAATACTCTGCAGAGGACCTGACTAGCTGACGAAGGAAATCTTCTACGCCGCTGTGACATACCCAATCGGTAGGTTTGTCTTGGTCTTGATCTGCTTTCTCCCCTGCTTCACTCCCTTCTTTTTCCTCCTGTCCTTGCTCCTCGTCTTCACCTTCTTCTTCTTCCTCTTCCCCCTCTTCTTCTTTTTTTTCTTCCCTTTCGCCACCATCTTGGCCTCCGGTATTTCCTTTCTTCTGCCTTTGGTCCTCCTCCCACGTCGTACCCCTCCCTTCTAATAGCTCAGCGTATCCCACCTGAACCAACTGAAGACATTTGACTTGGCTGCCTTTGTAGTAGTCGTTATGCTGCGTATTCATCTCAGAATGAAGAAGATGAAAAGGCGAGTCCATCGTAACTGTCGCACTCGCAGAAACACCACGTATAACATATTCCCCAGAGTCAAACATGACGAAACGCGACTGAATCTGAGCCCCTGTATCTTGGATTCTCAGCGTGAGTGTTCCCATCTTTATCTTCCCCTCTTCTAGGTCCTGCTCCTTCACGAACTCACGGATAATTCGCGCGTCACGAAGCTTTCCCGATACGACCAATGTACCTGCAGAGACTTTGCCAGTAGGGTCTAGAGTAGCTGGAATGGTTTCGCAACTGACTAGGTCTATGTAGGCCATCATGATATCGGGAATCCTGGTAGGAAACCTGACAACGGTATTTTGTGATGCCCACGACCAGCTCGGAGCTCTCCACGCTTCTGGGCCACGTTCAAGCTTGACGCGGCTGGAATAATGGGAACTCCACAGTAGGTCTATCATAATAGAGTTACTCCAGAGTCCTGCTAGGTATTTAGCCGAAAGTCTACCACGCCCATTCTGCTTGGCCAGTCCGGAGAGCGCAGGGAGTTTGTCAGCTTCATGGCTCAGATTCAGAGCTGAATACTCAAGAAGTACATCATGCCAACTGGAGACCATTTGTGCAGGGTGTCCCTGCTTGAGGTCGCGATGAAATATGGGTTTAAGAGTGCCGTTCGGATAGGTACCACCAAGATGCGGAGGCAGACATTCACAGAAGGTCATAGACCTACACTCCCACATCAATTCTTCTCCGCAGAAGTGTACAACCCTTGGAGCTAAGATACGCTCCTGCAATACCCACGCACGGCTAAACAATGGCGGATTCTCGTTGACGGGTATATGGGGATGAGGATGACCACGGGTAACAAAAGTACTTTTGGATCAATGAGGGCGTTTATATCCCACAAGGTCAAACGAGATATCGGATGATGTTGACCCACGCAGCCGCACATAGTTGGCGCATTCTCTGATAGAGAGGCCTTGACTGCTATCAGACGCTGAAGTAGCCGCAATGGTGAGATACGAATTCTCGTATATGTTGCACATGTTGCCAGACTACTCAGCCCAATCGTCCGAATCATCCTGAATAATGCATAGAGAATCGATCCACAGATAATGTATCCCTAGATGTTGAGTGAATTGAATCGCGTCTTGAAAGGTCCTTGGAATTCTCTTCCAATCGATGTTTAGGCGATGAGCTTTGATATTGTCCCTTGTCGTCCTTAGAGGTTGCTTGGTTCCCCAACAATGGCCAAGGCATGTATAGCGGCCAAAGGTAGCTTTGCTGTTTTCAACAAGTCGAACATCTTCAATGCCGTTGCCAACAAAGATTAAACGTCGTGGCAAGAGTGCTTCTACTTTACCAGGACAGTCGGCATGATCCTGGAGACAGCTTTCAAGCCAAGTACGCGCCACCTTGAACGAATGGGACACAAATATTTCGAAATCCGATTCGGTGTATAAGTCACTGAGAAACACGGGCGCTATATATTCATCGACGCCTATTGTCGGTTCCTATGAGCTTCGACATTGTTTCTAATTGGTGGAAAGGACGGGGATCTCTGATTGCGTCAATACTTACATGGTTGGTAGACAAACACGTTAAAGATCGTATGAGACCGATCGTTATGAGGATCATCATCAGGACCAGAAATAACATGAAGCCGGTCAATGGAAAGTAGTGGCTGTTCATAGTGAGCCTCGCAGCAACTGCGCCGGAAAGGTATAACCGAGCATACATAGACCAGGTCAATGCCTGAGAGAGGTCTCCCAAGTATCATTTCGGCCATAGTAAGGACGATAAGGCACTGCCAGCAGGTGCGAGAACTCTCATCATCAAGTGACCAGGTGAGTTCTCCCAGCGTTTCTAATTCCGATCTCTTGCATTTCTTGCATCTTGTTCCCGGCAAAGGCTTTTTTGCAACAAGAAAGCGACTGGAAGAAGTCGACTCCTCCCACCAAGTTCTCCACGGTGCTTCTTCATTGCTCTCATCCGCAGGTATAGGCGCAGCTTTCGATGGAGAAGAGGTAAGATCTCTCGACTCAGAGATGTCAGGCCCGCGTTCGCGTTCGTTGATCTCGGGCGGTTGGGCGTCAGATGCAAGTGGCTCCTAGGTTCGGAAACAAGAGTCAGCAATCCATAACTCACTATAATATGCAAACAAGGAATAGTCGAGGCTTACCATATTCATTCTAGCGTGTTGTAGGCCACCGTCCTGGGGCCTTCCTAAGCGGCAACGCGAAGTGTTGACGGTGGAGAAGTGAAGGACTATGGCCCAGTGGAGCCGGAGCATATATGACAGTTCTCGGATGGCAGCGAATGGCTTGTTGCACCGTAAGCGATTGAACCGATTGGGCGAGGACAGTTGGTTCTCGTGAGATTTGTGCGCTTGATCAGCCTGCCCATGGTTTCACTGCTCTAGAGATCCGAGTATGGTGTACCATGCAGTACTCCTCCAAACCACGCAATGACCCACCTTGTCCCCATCATTTTCTTTCTTGCTGTCAAATACTTCGGTCGGACTGTCGCATAGCTCAGGACGAGATGTTTGTGGAGATGGGGATTGTCGCTTGCCTGTGATGGTCCGAAGGAATTGGCGAGAGGTAAAGGTTCGGTCGCCGGAGGAAACGGAGCACAATAGATGCCGATGTGTCATCAACATTAGTGAGCTTTGGAAACTTCCATTTGTTCAAGCGAGAGTAATTGATGGCATTGCGCGAAGGGGGCCGTTAGGCAGAAGACTGGAAGACGGTGGAAAATCAGAGAAGACGATCGTGGCCTGGACGGGACCGCGCGTCATTCACTATATTCCACTGCCGGTTATTACTGTCGCACACGGCAAGGACATTGTACATGTACCACCTACATTGGTGCCTGCTCACGTGCTACTTCTCGTTCTTTTGCAATTTTGCTTGATCGATCGTTCCTGCTCCTGCTCATGCTCCTGCCCGCTCTTGTCCTCTCCTCCCCTCTCCTCAAACATGCGAGACCCCTCGCCGCCTTGTGTTTGGTGATTGAACACCACACAACAGTACCTATTCGCTCAACCAACATCTTTCAGAGCGTCTAGGGCAACTGCCCCATTTCATCCATGGCATTACTGGGATGTCTCTGGTGAAAGGCGGATGCTGTGAAGGTCTTGAAGCCGAGGCTTTTGGGATGAATTTGGAGGATACGGGTGGTCGACAGGGCATCCAGTGCGGTTTCCTCGACGATAATTGCATGGACTTGATCTGGGGTTGCTCGCTTGTAGTTTCTGTTTTGCTGCGTGTTCTGGTGACTGTTCTTCTCATGAAAGGCAAAGGAAGGAACTCTCAAAGGAAAGAACTCTCCTTGGAAAGTTCTTGGTTTGATTATTATCATAGCGATCCTTTCTCCTTTGCAAGCCAGTCGGGCGGAAGGTGCGTCTGCTCGGTGGAAGTCGGCAGAACATCTGCGCAGCAACGTGTCGAATCTATCGCCATTTATTTGGGCAAGCGCGAGTCAAGAACTGCGCGCTCTCGAGATGGATCATTCTCCTTGTTCGTTTTGCAACTTTGTCCTTGCAATCCACATCTTTTCTGTTATGCTCCAACACAACGCAATATCACTCCCCGGCCATTTACTTATTCACTTAAAAAGCGCTTGAATCACGAACTCTTACCGCATCATGGAGAAAATTCTACGACATCTTGATCATGAACCTATCGACTGGAACACCGAGGAAAAATTTATCTTTGGGTCATTGGCCGGTCCATACATCGGCGGATGGGCTGGGAGGTTCCCGGGTCATCGGAACTGTTCCGAACCTTTGGCGAAGCTCATGGCGAGGTTCAAGCTGTTTAGGCGTTACGCCGAGTGTTACACAAAGGACCCCAACACCTTTAACTCCACAATCAAGTCGAAGGTCAAGGAACTGAAGATTCTCCTCGGTAGGTGTCCCCCATTATCATCTTCTCTGGTTGCCAGCTTGTAGACCGATGTCTCCGGTCTCTCTATGGTAAGATGCTAACGTTCTAGCATAGGGAGCAGGTACTCGACCCCCCCGCGTTCTCTCGAGACAATCAAGAACGACGACGATATGTATCGCGCAAGGTGCAACTATTATAAAGTCTTTGAGCTGGAACTGGACCGATTCATCTAGGATGTCGCAAGAACGTTCACCGACAGGCACAAAGACGAATTCATCAACGAATGCCAAGGCATTAAATATTGGTGTACAAACGGGAATTGGCTAGAACCTCACTCTACTCGACCAAAGGAGGGGGAACCGGACCTGCCGGCTCCACAGAAGTACGGCTATGTCCAGCAACCGTATGGCCGTATTGGCCTTGGTCCAGGCAACACTAACTTTTCTTTTCCTCTCCTTGTTCCGCCTTTTAAACCTTGCAAACTACCTACGATGCAGCCGCCTGCTAAAGCTCGAGGACCACCTTCGAGATTCGACGCCAGGCTGTTGGCTTCGAGGCTACATACCTATGGACACGGGGACAGATGATATGGGGTGGTTGAACGAACTGAAACTTCAGTTCTGGGTTATTGGAGCGGTTAGTTGTTTTTTGGTGTGAGTAGCTCCTGGGGTTACGTCGACTTGTCTTGTGGCTGACTGGAACGCATACAGTCATTAACTAATTTTTTGCACCTGGAGCTCAGGTTTCTCTTTGGTGACGTATATTTCAGTGTTTGCTTCTCGTGGCTGTAGGAGAGAGGCGGAAGTCCGGAGGGTTATCAGTTTGCTTGGGGACTATTTTCAAGGGCGATGGTTCATATTGTTGGATACTGCATACTGGCCAACCGCCCACACGCTTGTCACCAAAGTTCAACCTCATTATGATGTTAGTCCACAAGGAAAGAATCCGCAGCGTAGTAACAAAGGAATTTGCGAGTCCTTGTCCCTATCGTCGCACACCCCATTCTCCCTGTTCTCGTTCTGGTTCTGGTTCTCGTCCATTTCCACTTCCTGGTCCCCGGTCGAAGTCCCGGCCACGGTCCCATCCCCATATTACCCCCTCACCCTCCGGCCCCGGCTCCGCGTGCCGATGGACTTCAGTCCAGATCTTCCTGCGGGCTCCAGTTGGATAAGTAACTCGCGCAGTTCCATACAAGCCTTAGATATCTACTTACAAGGGCCACGAATAACCCACCTTCTCGATGGTATTCATTGGACCAACTATTCAGCTACAACAATTGAGTGTCCGCACCTTATCTTCCTCATCTCTTTCTAAACCCGGTACATCCCGCTCTATACGACCTCCGTCCTTCCCGTTACCATGCGCTCCACCACTCTCCTCTCCCTTCCCAGTCACCTGAGAAGACGGCGCCACCACCGGCCGTCGCAACTTCACCCCCAACACAAAGCCGCGCGAAGTCCAGGTCAACCCCCTCCCTCCCGTCTCACCGAACTAACAGGCCCCTACAAGGAAGACGCCAGCGTCCACATCTACGGGCTACATGCGGCATCTCCCAACACCCAAAACCTCAATCAACCCCACGCACGTCTCGCACCCAGCCACCACCTACCTCCGCTCCAGCGCCGCCACCCGTACCAACCCTTCTACGCGCTCATCTGTGATGTTCTATGATTTAGTGAGGATATCGATGACGGAGAGAGCGAGACGGATTATGTAGCGAAGCTGCTCCTGGTGTCGTTGTGGGGGATGGGTTCAATGGGGAGAGAAGGGGAGGGGGGAAGGACAGAAGGGGGTGGTGAGAGATGACTGGACGGGAGTGAGGAGATGTATAAGGCGAGGAGGTAGGTGGAGAGTGGGGTGAGGCCGGAGGGGATTACGATGGAGTTGGTTAGGGATTTTGGGTGGAGGGGGTGAGGGTTGGGGGAGTCTTGGAGGACGGGGGAGTTGGGAGTTGGGAGTTGGAAGTTGGGAGGAGGGATCAAGATGGTTGTGAGATATGAGGCGGGTTGAAAGGGGACTTGAGAACAGGACTTGACGGTTAAGGTACAGGTACTTTACCTAACGCCTAACGCCTAACGCCTGTGTTGCATGGAAGTTTTAGTTGGGCGTAAGCCCTCGGCTTCTACTTGGAACCTTGGTTATGTCGTTGTTGAGATGCATTCAGTGAGCATTTCCAGAACACGCTTACATATGTATAATGTGAGTCGTTGGTTGAGGGAGAGGTATGATGAAAGCGAAAACTAAAAACTAGCAGTGGTTGATCTGACGCATAGAGACTGAAGCATGGAAACATAAAGGAAAAAGGAAAAGTAGGCTACTTGAAAGAAGGAGATGAGAAAGTAGTCGGAAACAAAAAGCAATGAATTTGAAATACTCCCAAAGAAAATATCCTAGGCGATGGTATCGTTAAAAATCCCTTATACACCGTCCCCAGGCCTCCATCACTAGTGTAGACCAGCCTGGTAAATAAAAGAGATGGCATCGGTTCCATGCTTGTTGACCAAGATTTGACATAAGTGGAACGGTCCGCTTCTGCGTCAGCGGTAAGGAGTGAAGAGTGCCAAACGTCTTTCCTTACAGCCGAGATTCATGTCCACTAGTCCAATCTGAGAGTTGAGTCGCTTGACGAGGCGTCGTCGACTAGCCCAGCTTTATCTTCCGTCGTAGAGTGGGGTCCGATATACCACTGAAAGAACCTGGACCAAATTCTTGCTCGGTCAAGTCCTCAATAAAGAGTGGTTGCTTGTTCAACTCCTCAGAAACAAGATGTAGCTCGGCCGACCCAACTACAGAGTGATAGTCTTCAGCTTCTGTGTCCGCATCCAGCCGAATTTGATCTAGAATGAGAAAATGACCGTGAAACTCGCCGCGCAATGTCCTGAAGGCAAGTAAGAGACAATCCCATTCCTCTGTGATGACTCTTTGATGCATAGTCTCCTGGCTTTGACTGTCAGGTTTGCAGGTCCGATAACTGATCCTCGGCGAGTCCCATAATCCCCATTCCATGACGCTCATAGATGGACGAGAGTTTCTGAAGACGAAGGACTCGTGTCTGGAGCCATTGGGAATTGATTGTTCAAGGGCAAAGCTCATCTTCATTACCGGGCCTTCTACCCAGAGGTACTTGCTCACGTGTGGTAGGACACTAGTTGTCCCTTCATCCAAGAGATTCCCTTGTAGAAACTGAAGGAATGGGACCTGTATCTCGCCATTGTCATGCGTGACCTGCTGTGGAATCCAAAGTGAACTCACTTCGGCACCATATCCATATATCCCTGGACCGATATCTGGAAATTTGACTTGTCCTTCCCAGCCGAGCCAGGACCAACTGGGAAAGGCATCTCTTCTCAGCAAGCTTTCATGGGCGGGATACCATGTGAGACAGACAAGAAACTCCACCAGCAGACTCTGCTTGTATGCATCTACATCAATTGGAGTTGGAGAGCGTCTCTCAAGTTCCTTAAAATCCGATGCGTCATAGACAGGTATGCCCAAATATGTGACGACTGATATGCGTGACAACAGGCCAGTTATAGCGTTCAGAGCATCGGATTGATAACTCAGGTGTCGCCCACTGTATTCTTCGATGTATCCGAAGAGCTCTTCCGTGGACACAGGGGTTATGTCGTCCCACTCTGGTCTTTCTGTTGGCGATATCGCTCTGAGAAAGTTCACTCCCAATGCCCGTCTCCGTCCTCCCGAATATTTACCCTCCATTTGGGGTACAGTACATTCATGCCACACAGCGTTCGAGCAGATGAACTCAACCTGGTAATCCGTGAAAAATAGCAGACGACGTGACAAGATGGCTTCTTGATAAGTCCATCCTCTCGTCATCCAAACTGAAGAGGCGACCAACTGCGCAGAATTGATAGCACTTGGCCGAAGAGCTGAAAGAGGACATGGATGCTTTGTTTGTGGTACCGAGGGATATGGTTTTCTTGGAAGATTATTGACACCTCGAAGACCAGAGGCTGAGTTTGATGCTGAAAATGCAACGATAGTTGCATAAGCTCCTTCATAGATGAAAGCCATGTTCTCGATTTGAGCGTGCTTTTCGTCCGCGTTGTTTTGATCAATACAATATTGATCAACCCATAAGTACCGCTCCCCAAGACGGTTTACAACGATCATTGCGTCTTCGATAAGTTTAGGTATAGCGTTGGGAAGCAGACGTACGCTCTTTGGCGAGAGTGTTTGCGTAGTACCTATATCATCTGCGCTCACCGGTGCGGACTGCGCGCCCCAAACGTAACTGAGAGCGAGATACCTGTCCGAAGTGTTTATCTCGACGACCTCCCGTGTATGGCAATCAATGCATCGTACCACAGGCCCGGCCGATTGCTTGTCACCGGTTTTTGTTGTGCCTGATGCACATGTTTCGTGATGATTATCACATCGTTCGCACCAAGCCCGTAGTAAAGAATAATTGATTGATCCCGGGAAGAAAGGTAGGGCGGTTAGGTGGGGTTCTGCGTAGTTGCTGTCGAAGAATGGCCCAGTCGAAGAGACTTGGGGAACAATCCAATGCCCGCTTGTCGGAAACTCATGATCACCTTCATAATAATCGGGCTCGCCGGCCAAAACGCAGAGGACCCTAGAATGGGCACAACCATGCACATCGTAGGCCGCCGAGTCTGTGCCTGTAAGTATGGTCTTGAAATCATACGATCGCAAGGTGTAGACCCCTATCTCCCCATGGCGTTTGTTTTCTTTCGGTCGACACCGCATCGAATAAAAAAACCGGCAAAGTATGCATGATCCCTCCTTTTCAAGCTTTCCAAGAAAGAAAACGAACTCGGGTGAGAAGAGTGTCATGCCGAAAGCGGCTTTGAAATCGATCTTTTTGCATCGTTTACAGACTTTCGGCAGTTTCTTGTTCCGAATCAGAGGGATCTCTGTGATCGTGGATAGCTGGTGCGGGCCATCATCCGTGCCGCCAGTCGTACTGTCGGCCTGCTGAACCGATAGCTGGCGTCTCGATGAAAAGGAAGACTCCATGAGCAATGTGCGATGGTATCGAAGGTTGCTCTTGACGGATCCAGAAGCTAGAACTATGGAGTTATTGAAGTTTTCAGCGAGGCCGAGGCACACGCTTTTCGGACGTTGTTGCCCAATGGTCACCTGATCTCGAAGGCATTGTGTCTGCCTTGAATGGCTGATGGCGGGCGACGATGGTTGGCTGCATCATGACAGGTATCTTGTCTGAATCTGAATGGTTAGCTATGACACGGGTGGATGTGCTGCTGTACAACGTCTCACCACGCAATCAATCCTTTGGTCAACCTCCCTCAAGCTTATATGAATTCCTGGACGATATAATTGGTCAGATTGACGGGGAATGGCGGTGCGAGAGATGCATGGCTGAGCGGGCGGTGGTGTTGTGGGTTGTGGAGCTCTTCGTCGAGCAGGATGAAGCCGAGACGGAAGAGAAGAAGGGCAGAATCCGCTGCCATTTGCAGGATCCTAATATTTCCAATTTCTCTCAGCATTGGCGTCACTGCATTGCTCTTGCCCTGAGGTTTCCAGTTGGGAGAAGATTGGGGAGTTGGAGAACGAGGGAAGGCGCGGCCGGCAGTCGAATTGGAACAACACAGCATGAACGTGCTGTGAAAGCAGCCATACAGGAATGAATAAAAATGCCTTAGTCTGCGTTTGTTCTGGTACAGTTTTCGTATGAAGGGCCTCATACGACAGGTTTTGCACTCAAGAAGGCGACCAACTTGCCAAACTCAACGCGGAACCGTCGAATTGGAATTGAGTCGAGTTGGGTTGAGTAAGATGGGTAATTTCAAGCGCTGAACCAAAACCGTACGAGAACAAACACGGCCTTACATCCTCACAAACCAAACAACGCGGTATGCCAGACTTGAAGTCGTGAACCTAGAACCAACGTTTCCAAAACAAATTCTAGAGGATCCAACCAGTAGCATGTGGGATGTCCAAACCCTGTGCCCATTCATAATATGAACCGATGTCCAGCAGGCCACACTCATCAACAGAATCACCCACCCTTTACTCGCTTCTCTTGGGCTTGTTGGGCAGACCATACCAACAAATCATCATAACCACAAACAACCCAATAACAATCGGATGCAGCACAAACGTGCCAGCCGCCTGCGCCAACAAACCCGTTGTAAACGGAGCCGCCGCGCCTCCCGAGCTTCCAAACGCGGAGATCACGCCCATCCCGCTAACCTGCTTCTGCTTGCTAATATTCCGCATAAACACTGCCGCAGCACACGGATACACAGGTCCCAGCAGCAGACCAACAATGGCAACAGCCACCGCGTTTCCGATCAGGTTGGGCACCAGCCAAACCACGAGCTGAAACGCACACGCTCCCACGACGACAATGACGACGAACAATTTCTCCCCGATCCGATGCGCCGGCGGCGCCAGTAGAAACCTTCCCAGCGTGATGCCGCCCCAAAAACCAGCAGTGACGTAACCGACCGAGCCGTCGTGCACATGGCGCGAGTCCATCAAGAAGGTGTTCACCCAGCCGGAGATACTAACTTCGGCGCCTTGGTAGGCGAAGATGAACAGCGCACCAAGTAGTACCACCTTGTTGGACAGCGCGGAAACCATAGCCGTGACGTCGGCGCGCCAGTCACGTTTGGGTGCCGCCGTTGAGCCCGACTGACCACCACTTCCACCAGTAGAACCCAAGTGCTGCTGGGTATCCCTCTCATAATGCCAAAACGCACAAGTCCCACATACGCCCCCCAAAACCGTCAACCCCAAGCTCAACGCATAATACCGACTCCAGACCACTTCAAAAACCGTTACCATCGCCGTCGCCAGCAGCGGGCCGACGGTACCTCCAATACCATACGAGCCGTGCATCATCGACAAAGCAGTAGTCGAATTACTCAGCGATCCGCAAAACACGTTGCCCATGGCCAGGTTAATTGACATGCCGAACCCAACAAAGAAGAAGCCCACCACGATGGCGGGGTACGGAGCGGTGGCAATCATGGGGATGTACCCCAGTGATATGAGGCCCTGGCCGACGGCAAGCGTCTTGGCGCGCCCGAGCCGCTCGCGGATGGCGTCGACGAAGAAGGCGGCGGCGATGAAGCCGAGGGCGTTGCCGACGAAGATGAGGGAGACGATGGCGTAGCCTATGGAGTAGTATCTTTGTTGGTTTGTGTTAGTACCAATGTTCGAAAGGGCGAGGAAGGGAAAGGGACGTACTTTTCCATAGCGGGGATCAAAGCACCCGGCGCGGAATCGCTCATGCCGTTGCTAAAACAAATCAGACACATCGCTAACAGCCGCCAGCGGTTCATGTAAGGCTCCATGATGCTTTGCATCGCTTCGACGCTATCGCTGTTTGCGCTATCATCGTTCAAAGAGTCCTTGGGAGTTCCAGGACGGCTCTGGTCCTCCAGCTCGGGGCCAGAACTGAAGATGGTGGTTGTCGTTGTGACGGGCCGAGGGCCATTGTCTTTGCCGAATGTAGAAACGAGGTTGATTCGGTATGTTGAAGCCGACTTGTTGGATCTCGGAGTCCGGGAAAGTGGTTGGAGTTCGATAGGCAGCTGAACCTCTTGCGGAGCGCCGGGGTAGGTCCGGGGCACGGCCTTCCCGGGAGCAGAGGGAAGTTCGAGAGGAGGTGCGCTTTCGACGGCGATAAGGCCGTGGAACATCATTGCGTCCATGATGAGGTGACACTCAAGTCGATGGCGAGGAGTGCTTGGCAATTTGCCCACACCAACGGCCGGTGGAAAGAGTCAGAAAACAATCGATGAACGGACATTGTTTTGAATGGCAGGAGCGATGGAGGTTAATAAAGGCGGTCCAAAGTGGGGCTGCCGACATCGCGATAACCGGAAGAAGCCGATGGGAGTCTGGACCGACGCCACCGTCTGGCTACCACAGTAAGCTTCGGGCTATCACGTAAGGAAAAGCTCTCCCGGGCTCGCATTAGTCGGCGCTAATCAAGACGTGCAGACTGCAGCCGGTGAACATCGGTACAGAGATAAGGCACCCAGACTTCCTTACTCAGCAGGCAGGTACGTATTCCCGCCGACGAGTGTTCGACTAGGACACTTCACTCGCAATCACTCCCCTTTCGTTCATTGTTGTTTTCTCGTAGATAGTACATTTCTAGAATGAAGAAGCAGTCGATGTTGACCGCATTTGTCCATTTATGAACTTCATGTATAAACCAGTCATCAACTTGAAGCGGCCGGATTTGTAATGGAGTCATTCATGTTGCTACAAAGGAAGGCGTACCTGAGATGTTCAGGTCAGTCAGTTGGCGTCCGAACGGACATCATGAGAAATCATGGAAGCGGCGTTGATAGGTGATAACTACTTTCGGGACTCGGGAAATGAAGGCAAGAGCATTGCAGGTAATTGGAAAAAAAAAAATATTCAAGGATGCAATCCAGGGCACTCATCATCATCATCACCAGTAGCAGCAGCAGCATGACATTCATCGGCACCCCAGCTGGGTACCAAGAAGACAAAGTCAGCACGCAAAAGCCTCAAAGTTTCCAACACACATATTTGGATGTTGGTATGTTCCCAACACCCAAGACAGGAAACAAGGAAAATCTCCTAACAACACTCACCGACGCTTACCTACCTATATCCTAGGAGACCAAACCACCCCGAGCCCTTCACTTCACCTCCAGTCCCGGTCTCAGTCCCAATTCATTCTTCACCTCGCCAAAGCCATCGAGCCTCCCTCTGTCGAGCCCAGCCTCCATCAAGTCTCCATTAAGAAATTCACTCACCGACAATCCACCGTGCTTGCGGGAATATTCAGAGACAAGTGATCATCATCAACACGCACTCGATCTGCAAAAAGTGCACTCGGAAGAGCCAGCCGCCTGCGGCCTAAATGGCGGGCTGGAGATCTAGATCTCTGTCAGTCAGCGATCGGAGAAAGGACCGACGAGAGGTTCATGTTTGAAGCGAAGGAAGGCAAAGGCTCTGCTGACATGAAAATAGAAGGCAGGTGGGTTTTCGGTTCCTGTCATAAGTACATGGTTGAATTTGACGAAGAAATGAAGGCAAGAGCACGTTGACGCTGTCCGGCCGGAAGAAATTTAAAAACAAAAATCAAGGAAGTATCGAGGACACTCATCATCATCATCTACGACACATTCATCGGAACCCCAGCTACGTACCGATACGACGAAACCAGTAAAAAGGCTCAAGGCTTCGAACACGGGTGCGTATTGGTAGAGGTATATTTATATTTCCAACACCTATCCACCTTTGAGACAGGAAACCAGGAAAATGTCTTATGAACACCTACTTACCGACGCTTACATCCTAGACTCGAAAACCAACCCACCTTAAACCACCCCGAACCGGCAAGCTTCACCTCCAGTCCCCTTCCCCCGAAGTCACTATCGCATCGAATTCGAGCCTCCATCAGGCAGGCAGGCATTCACGCCAACCCAGTGCATCGATCCCGATCCGCACCAGCAAAGAATCCCGCCCAAAATGTGCTTTAAGATAATCGAAACCTTCCCCTGCTCGACGCCTGGCTGCAAAGAAGAGAGCATGGAAGACCGATACTCCAGAGGCGACATGTGCGAGGAGGTGGTGCGCTTTCAACAGAATTCTGTCGTTCAACGCGCGATCGATTGGTATTGGGGCAAATGCGGGAAGGTTCGGACACAAGTGCTCGTCATCAACACGCACTCGTATTGCGCATATTGCACTTGGATCCGAAATATGTAGTGATTAGTAGTAGGGACAATGTAATATTATTGGAGGCGATGGGATGAATGGTTGCTACTGCTGGGAGGAAAAGTTTTGAGGAAGACTAGTGTAGGTTGGGTATGGGAGTTAATTGAGGCTGCTGGATTTACCAGAGGCAGTCTTAGTATCGCCATTTATGTCCTTTTCAAACTGTTATCTATCGGATTCACAACTTACACGTATGCTCTTCATGGAATTGAAGTTGACACAGCTCGGAAGGGCCACCATCCGGCCTCGATAATAAATTTCTTCTCTTCGCTTGCAGTAGTCAAGAGTCCAACCCAGGCTTGAAAACTCTACTAGAACAGTCAGAGTTCGGAGAGATCACAACTGGAGGACTTGCGTGCGCTGAGAAAAGTCATTGAAAGCTAGAGGTACCTACCTCCATTACATTCACGACGAAGTCTACCCAGCGAGGCCATCACTACCTTACCTTTTATACAATATCTATCCAACCTGCCCAAAACAATCCAGACCGCTTCGGCGACGGAACCCGCCGCCACGACGAGAGATGGTTCATGTCTGAAGCCAAGGCAGGCAAATGTCTTGGCATAAAACAAAAGGAAGGAGGGTTTTTGGTTCCTTCACAAGGTTGAATGTGACGAGCAAATGAAGGCAAGAGCATTTGTCGGCCGAAAAAAAAAAAAGAAAAAAAAAAGAAAAAAAAAAAAAGTCAAGGATGTATCCAGGATACTCATCATCATTAGCATCATCCGCATTAGATTCGTCAACACTTTAGCTACAGTACCAAGAGGAAAACGCCAGCGGAAAAGGTCAGCGTTTCCAACACGGCCACGTATTAGTGTATTCATATTCCCAATACCTACCGTAGACGTACCTCCAAGAAAGACAGGAAATAGGAAATAATATCCTGCAAGTACCTACTCACCAACGCTTACATTCAACCTAGAAAACCAGATCACCCCAAACCACTCCAAACCCTCAAGCTTCAGCTCCAATCTGAAGCAAAGATATGCCGCAGTTGAACGTTGATGTGATCTCGTCGTTACACGAATGGCGGGGTCTTTTCTTCTTCTTCTTCTACTACCATGTCATGTGTTGATTAATCTTTTCATCATTCTCATCGCCATCTTTCACGGGCAGAGTAAAATGTACATCACATCGATCAAGTTGATTATACTTGAAAGCATTTAGGTGGATCTCCACGTCACGCAAACCATGACCCGATCGATATATGATCATTGTCACCAAGGATACTCATCAGCTTTACACTGCGTGTGTTAACTAGCGTGTTGTGCATGCGCGTCTTAAACCCTTGAAGAAGAAGAAGACCCTAAGCAACAGACCCTCTACGGCTGGCTCTACGAGAGCAACATCGCCTCATTCATGCAAATGGAAGGCAGCTACCTAGCCGGGCATGGATATAGCTTCCAAAGGATACAAAGGAGTTCATGTCCATGTCGGTCTCAATGGTACTTGTAGCATGTTAGAGGTGCTATATAGACAAAGTCGGAGTGTCTGCCATCATAGACTGTTACACTCCCCGTCTTGAGACCTCTCTCTCTCTCTATGTATTCTGACCAACAGCGTGGAGACGATAGCTCAAACCCCTATGCACAAAAGTGATCGTGGACGTGACTACATATACCGCAGAAGCAGTCACTTGGGACATGCAGAAGGTGGTATAACCACCGACCGACTTTACACGTTCACAAGCCACAAAGCGAGGTATGTCTGAGGCGGCGCCGGCTTTGCATCTCGGCGGCACAGGGTGGCGTAGTCTCGGTACTACGACTCGGGACTCCGGAAGACGGGAATAGCTTCATATTAAGATGGTAGCTAATATTCATCGATGTTATTTGTAGAGCACAAGACCCTTGAGTGTCGTACAACTTAAGCTTACTAGGAAGGAGCCTTACCTCACTTACTTACCCGTACCAGAAATTCAGTACAATTCTATTTGCCATCAGACACCAAATAGTAACGAAGGTGGTTTAAGAGGTAGTTTCGGACTAGCCCCACCACACACTGACATAACTGACACGAGTTGGCGATCAGGTAAGATATGAAACGTGGTTTTGGGCTTTCACACTAGTAGAAGATCTCGGGAGCAGCCATCTTCAAAACATGGAGTTGTTGTTGTTGTGGCGTTATCCCAAGTAGGATAGCGTACGCAGCGTGGCTGTATCTAGTTGGTTCCATATAGCCGTGCTGCTGCTGGCTTGCTTGAAACTGGGTTGTTGTCTTCTGAAGATGCCGCAAGGCTCAGGTCAGATCAGGTCATTGATGGGCGGCACTAGAAGGCGAGAGAAATGTCTGGTAGAAATCCGAGGCGCGATAGCCGATGATGATGAGACGCAACATTTGGCGGACTGTGGGGGATATGACGGAACCAAGAGAAAAAGGGTTGGTCCAAAGTTTCAAGGTTCGACCTAGATGATCCTGCGGCGCGGCAACGGCAAAGGAGCGAAAACGGCAGCGAGCGGCGGCAGCGGCGGCGGGATCGGATCGGAGTCGGAGGGTTGTAAGAAGGGTGTCTGGGTGTTTGAATCCGAATCTGCCCATCTTGATTTATGGCGTGAAGCCAGCGGCATGTTGCAAATGCCGTAGCCATTGAGGTGCGGTACCTCTATTGTATTGAGAGCACCGCACTGATACTGATTGAATGGTGCGGAGGGCTCTGTCTGAAATTTTTTCATGCGAACATGATTCACTTTCTTCACTACCCCATCCATGGTGATTTGATTGATTGCCTGTTTGTCGCTTGACTCGGCAACATGCCTCACACTTGTAAGAGACAGAGAGCCAGAGCGAGGGAGGGAGGCCGGGCCCGCGACGGAACCAGCAAACTCGTTCAAAGCGGGGTTGGGAAACTATGACAGAGTGAAAAAGAAGGCGTGACGGCTCCCAGCATGGCTTGTGTGATATCGTGATGCTGTTGTGTCTAATTTGCTTCCTTCCCAAAGCAGTGCCGGGCAGCAAAGGTGTGTATGTGGTCACCCTTGCGGTTATCTGGACTCTTGTTGCTTGACTGATTGCCCCGTTCTCCTTTTCTGTTTCTCTTGTCATCATGTCTGTAACGACACATCTCATCCAAACCTAACCTAATATCAGTGAGAGTGGTCTTGACTTCCATCATGATGGGCTGAATGGGTCTGTTGTTGTTGTTGTTGTTGTTGTTGTTGTTGTTGTTGTTGTTGTTGTTGTTGTTGTTGTTGTTGTTGTTGTTGTTGTTGTTGTTATTGCTGTAACAAAACCATATGACTCGCGGGGCGTGTAGCAGAATGTTGGATTCGCCGGGCGCTCAGGTGGCCGTGTTTAGGCTCGACTGTGACAACTCACCTGGCAGTAGTATGTTTGACGAACAAGCACTGCCCACCGAGCGGCGGCAGCAGCAAGCACTAGACTTAGGGATAGGTTTCATTGTGAATTGTTTATGCGTTTCAACGCGACGCTGGTTCCCTGTGGAAAGGCACATCCAAAAAAGGCTGGGTGTGGTGGCACCGGTCACGGCCTCCAAACAGTCTTCTGATATGCATCTTTTAGGACAAGGCAAGTCGACGCCGCCAACGGAGGACGGGGCCCATCTCGAGATACCGGTAACCTTCGATCGATGCACCTCCCATTGTCCATCATCAATCGTTTCCTGGGTCCTGGTCACTTGGCGCCATCATCATCGTGCATGTTATCGTCGCCGACCACGGTCCCGTTGTCCATGCTCCATGGAGAATGAATGGTGTATCGCATTGCAGCAACCCGTGAGTTGTAAGCGAGGAGAGCGTGTTCAGCATGAGCTGGACCTTGGCGAGTGAGGACCTTCAGCTTTGGGCAGTAAGATGGTGAAATGGTCGCCGAAATGGGAATGCCATGGAAACAGTGAAAAGTGGAGGTGCCCATTCAGTGGTAGCTGCCGTAACCGGTGTTTTATTGTACCCCCCAGCTGAGGCCAGCGATCCCTATCTTATCTTCTGCAACCAAGTCCCGTGACCGGAAACGTCCTGTATGTACGGTACCTCTACTGCCCGAAAAATACGTGCCGTCCCTGTTTCTTTTCCTGCAACAACAAGTCATTTCAGCGTCATGCCACTTATAGAGTCTTGGCGTTAGAGTTGGCCAAAACAAGTTCCTTCTTCCGGACCACATTCTCTTTCACATTGTGGCTCCTCATGAAGAACTTTTCTCCGTCGACCGAAACCTCCAAGCAAAACAGAGGACGACCAACCTCGGAGATCTCAGACAACACGGCCCAACGAGACAAAACAAAAGACAAAAAGGTTTCGAAATTCATTCACCCAAAAGTTCAAAAGGCCCCGCGGACCGGTTTGGGTTTAGCCAAGTATGTCCGCCACATGGACGTTGCTGGGATTACGATCCGCTTGAATGGACAGCCCTGTCTTTTCTCCTATTTGGTACCGAATTGGATCCAGCGCCATCCACAGGGCCAGCCAGGCACACATCCAGGTACATCCATGCTTGGGGGTCGTGAATCCGAGATTGCCATCCTTCAGAACGGCACACGCAACTTTTTTACTTTTTTACTCGCCGTGTTCGGATATTGGGATGGGATATTGGCAGTGTGGGAGCCGGAGTGGGTGACTACAGAAAGTGGGAAAGTGGTGGCATCATAAGTACCTACGTTCATGCCTTCTCTCACTTTCCACCCCCATGGGCCCCATGGAATGAACGGATCGCCCGATGTCGCTTACGGTCCCGTTGATGACTACTACAAGAAACAACCACCCACGACAGTCACCACGGCTCACGCTTGTTTCCAATCTTTGGCCGGACATTACAGGTGTGCAGTAGATGCTACCCAAAGGATGCGGACGATCAATGAACAGGATGATGATCTGGCACTTGCAATCTGGCATTGCCCGGTTTGTTTGAGGTGTTCCTTTCAGAATGATCAACTGAGTTCCTGATTCATCACACAAAGATTTGTTCTTACGAAGCATTGCAACACCACCATCACGGACGCGAAACCAGCCCAGCCGTAAACCATGTCCGAACCACACCCACATCCCACATGCCCATGTCGAAAATCAAGAAAAAAAAAAAAGGAACAAAAGAACAATCACGGGTCGAAGCCTACTGGATACGGAATATGGGGCCGCCGCCCGCCGAGGCCCCGGTCTATGACATATCTAAAAACGAAAACCTGGGACCTGGACATGAGAAGCGAACCGAATTCCCCGGCCGGGGACCTGAACGATAGATGATACCGGTGGTGTGGTGCCCGGGACGGGCGGCGGATCCTCCGTTAAGTCCTTCCAAGACCACCAGTCCCTGTTCCTTGGACTTTGTTGGTTCACGAGGCCTGATGAGACTGACGCTTTTGTGATGCTTCATGCTTGAGTAATTTCATCTTGCATGTTCTATCGTCTCTTATCCCTCAGCTATATGGAGTAAGTGTATGTAGTCTACTCAGGTGAGTGAGTACGTACCTAGCCTGCGCTGCGTATCGTATATGTATGTAATCCGCAAAATACGAACACACCTCTCTCCTGGAGTCACTGCTCGAAAGCAAACCTGATAAAGTGTTTCTATAGTGGTCGGGTACTCGCTCCATACAGAAACACTCTTACACAGCGTGTGTGCACAAACTCCAATTCTGCTGGGCGGCGGCCGCCTCACTCGGTGGTGACCATGTTGTCATATCATGTCATGTCAGCTCAGCTCAGCGACGTTTATTAGCCAAGCAAAACACAGCCCAGCAATTCGCTGTACATCCATATCAACATCGAACATAGGTACTCTTCGGATGCGGCCCGATCGAGTAACTCGAAGAACGGCAAATGAGTGGGGATCTTCCCCGGGACTTACGGGGCTTTTACACGTGGTGAGTAAAGAATGAATTTGACCTAACGATCTTTAACCGTCTGTTTTACACGATACGATACGATGCCTGTGTTGTGCTGTGCTGTGCTGTGTTGTTCTTCCACTCACAAATGAAACGCCCCCTGAATCCGTCATGACGGGTTTCATACCCTCGGTGAAAAAGGTCCTCGAAAGGTGAGCGAATGGATTGCCAAGACTTTGCAGATCCACTTCCACGCAGCTGGGTGAGTGGATACCGGTGTGGGGCCCGGGCTCATCTTTTGGTGGGCCTTTTGGTCACTGATGGACCTTGACCCAGCTGTGCTGACTGAGCTGAAAGGAAGGCGAGCGCGGAGCATCGGACATGAATAACTTTTGGTTCTTGAAGAAGAAAAAGAAAAGAAAGTGATTTGAGTTTCTTGGGTTCCAAGATTTCTTCTCATCCACACATCACCATCCTCCCACTCGACGACCACCCTCTAGGCAAATCTTGCGAGCTGCATCTATTCTTTTCTTTTCCTCCCACTGCGTTTCTAAGCTGGAGGTCCAGTGCTGCTGATAAAGCTGCGCCGCCACTTCTTCCGCGAGATCCTCACAATCTCCTCCGTTCTACACACATGGAGTTGAGGATTTCTCATGGACCCCCCCTCCAACGATCATAGCCGTTAAACATCATCACGGAATTTACTCCGTCCATCGATACCATTATGTACACCAAAGGTAATGTACATGAACCGCACTAGTCCAATACATACGAACTATTACACACGCAAACCCCGTATCAGTGCAGCAATGATCCTCTCATTCTATGTACGGTATAGCGTCGGGTATAACCATCCAGTCCACTACAGTATGTATCGTGAACCACTCGAAAAAGAAGTTCCACTCCGCTGCATCTCTTGATTGAACCACCAGGTACCACTCACCCACAACCATCAATGCATGCACTTGATGCACTTTCATGCGCTTCCCGCCTCCGAAAAAAAATTTTTTTTTTTTTTTTTCGAATTTTTCTTCCAGGGTTTGTTTCTCGGCAAAAAGCCGTTCGACTTGTCGAGTCAATTGCTCAAACGCTCACCGCAGATGGACGAACCATGCCTACTATACCTGAAGGTGAGAGGTCCGGAAGAGCGGAAGAGCGGAAGTGGAAGAGGCGGCGACGACCGTGGTGAATGCAGATAGATGCAGGAGTGAGAAAGTTCATCCCAAACACGCCAAGACTTTGATGGCAGGCAATTCACCGTCGGTTTTGTGAAGGGGAGACCAACGAACGGCAAACCAAACATCCGTTCGTTGATCTCGTGATGATCTTGCAGATGGAATCGAATTGAGAGTTGGTTCAATTGGGAGGGAGGTTTGCAGCATGGCGGTTTTACAACATCAATGTTTACCCCTGCGTTCGCTAGCAATTCGACTATCGACATAATCATCCTGCCCTGAATGGGAAGGGTTGAAAGGGTAAAAAGGTCGGTGATATAAGACGTCAATCGACGAACCGCCATGAAACAATCAATCGACAATGCTGCTTTCAGGGCCACGTGAAGAATGAAAGCAGCGATATTGCCCATCCGTCCGTCTTTATCACCTGGACGGTTCGGATGCTGGCTAGGGCTTCAAGTTCCAGCGGTGACAGACAGTCGGCATAATTCCGCACATTGTCTTGCACTTGCACCTGATGTTCGCCTCATTGTTACCTTGTCATTTCTTTCGGGCTTGTCAGTCTCGTCAGGGTCCATTAACCAGCATTACACGACAAAACACCACGGGCTTCTGGGGAGAAACTAACTTTCCGGTGATCTCCATCGTTAAGATCGGCTACAATACAATAGTGCTGGGCATCGGTCCGTCGGTCACTACGGCACGGAGCTTCCGCGCCGTGAGCATGAGCATGAATGATTGCCGTCAGGTTCCGCTGTAAAATACACTTACAAACGTACTTGCGCTGCGTTACTACGGGGTGACCGTTCGGGGGCCGGGGGCCGGGGGCCGGGGACTGCAAAACCGGGGGTCGGGTGGAAACCGGATGAAAGTCGGTCTTATTTAACGGCTTTAACGGCCGGCTGAAGTATTCCTTTGACGTTTGACGACGTTTACGGGGATATGGACGCCTTGTTATTACCATCTTCATGAATCTTCTGCATCGAATTCTCATAAAAGCAATGAAGCATTTATCCAGGTCACCAAGGGAGAGCAACAACAACAACTTATTACACAGTACAAGTACTTACATCCTCTTGATATTCCATCGAACGGCGAATACCGAAATCGAAAAGCCGAGAGCGACTGTTGTTACACAGATCTTCGAATGATCGACCAAACGGTTCCAACACTCGAAACAAATACCACAGTGAACGCTTTCGGCTGTTTTCCCTTCCTTCCTTCCACGTTTTGTTCTCTTCCCTCTCGCACTGCGTATGTAAAAATAGGGCAAGGCGAAGCAGGGCTGTTACAAACCTACATACGGATTTCAGCCAACGCAGCAAGGCAGGGCAGGGCAGCCTTGGATCGGATCCAACAGCCGCGTGAGCTACACGACCGAGACGACGGAGTAGGAAGGTCGTAAGGTGGCCATCTATACCTAACGCAGTGCAAGTGGCTGGGATTAGGAACAACTACGTATCGGCATCCAAACATATGGAAATCCAGGCAACCAACCACTCTCGAACCACCAAGGGAATGCGTTTGTGATATGCTTGCAACTCTCGATGCACTCATGAAGTGATTTCTACAGAGATCCCCGTTCTTGGCGACTCTGCAGCGGCAAATGGAATTCTACACCACCACACATAAGGTCGGGTGCAGGGCAGCGGCTCGACAAGTGGTGGTGACCGTGGTAGTCGAGGTGGTTTTTCGTTCACCGCTAGACTGCAATGCTGGCTACAACAGTGAACTGCAACGCTTGTAACGCCTTGTAACCTTACGCTGCACAGGGGCCTGAGAGGCAAGGGTCGACAGCCCTGCAACTAGAGGACTTCGAGGATGGTATTGGTAGGTTCGTGAGGCTCGTGAGGCAGCTTTTGCAGACGGCAGATGGTAGGTGAGGCTCCCTCCCTCCATATCGATGAGCGGTCGAAGTTTCGAACTCAATGCGGATGTGGTGGGATGGATGGCGAAAAGTTGATGATGTTCAGGGACACGATACGATCCACACGGGCTGAGAAACAGGTACGGGATGTCCCGAACTTTTCCAGTTTCCAGGGCAGTTTACAGTTTTTCGCCTCGTTCGTCAGCTCAGCTGCCATCGTCTCACGCGCGGAATATGTATCTCAACAAGGTAAGTTCCCCGAGATTTCGAAGTCGTGGAAGGTTTCCAAGGCTTCGATACAAATGTCGCCACCGGCCCGGGTCGTCTTCCCGGCGGCGAGCGGCGATGGTATGGACCGTACTTGCCTAGAGGTACGCTATGGTAAACTCTGTAAGTTACAAACCGTAAGTCTGATACGTATCTGTGTGTGTAAGTGCCAAGACACCATACCATACCGAAACCGGCACCACAAATGGTTAGGTACCGGGTCAAGGTCAAGTCTTCGACCTCGGACGCTGGTGAGGCGTCACAAAAGTGAAGAGAAGTTGAGATGAAGTGCCTGAGCCTCTGAGCCGTGGGCCTCTGAGGTGAGACGTCAAGCTGGATGTCTCGCCCGCAGTTCTGGTCCTGGATGTCTGTGTTCCCGGTTTGGGCAAAGCGTACCTGTGACAAAACGTGACGGGATGTGAGGAAAAGTTGGGGGACACTGGGGGGAACTTGGGGGAAACCAACGAACGAGCCTCTCGGAGTTGGATCCGCTTGCTGTGAGGCGTCACAGCTCACAGGCGTTCTCAGGGCTTCAGGGCTTCAGGGCTTCAGGGCGAAGTTGTATTGGTACAGCATTGGTTACCTAGTTTGGCGTTGGCGTTGAGGATTGGGAATTGGGGGGTGTTTGAATTGTGATGCTGTTCATGACTCTCGCAGTCGCGCGCACAGTCAGGACAGTCAGGACAGCCCCAAATATTACCGGTGTCTTCCCTGTCAAGCTATCAGGGCTGTCCCTAGGCTGTTCGGGGTTGTTCATCATCAAATCGTTGTCGGTATGCACGGCACCAGAAAGGCAGGCATCAAAGCGCAACACCTCCCGTTCTCCGTCCCCGTCTTTCCCCAGGCTCGCCATCGCCAGCCCCGGCTGTGGTGATGATGTGGCTCGCCGAAAGAAAAATCTGCGACAAGACAACGCAGAGCAGCAGAAGCGATCGGTTAAAAAGGGAGGGATGGATGCGGCGGCAACCTGACCGAGTCCATCAGACGACGCTTGCACACCGCAAAACAGCAAGCAATGCAGTGGTGTTGGATCGCGTCGCTGTGGGTGTGTTGGGTTGTTCTGCTGCATAACGGTGCTGGCAGGTGGCTAGTGTCGTAGGGAGCTGGGGTATGGGGGACCAGGGGGTTTTATAGGCTCGTCATCGACGACCATGTTGAGGAAAAGGGATTCAAGAGACAACTGGTGTTGAGCATGCCTGATGCCGCGGTTGCCCTTGATATTGGATTTGTTCAATCCCATTGTCGTTGTTGTGGTCGTGTTAAACGTTGGTGCATCCGCCGCTGCAGGTGATGTGCTCGTCGGGTTTTACATGACCCGTCGTCTCGTCTTTACAAACAGGAACAAAACTGACAAGAAATGTGCTTTGTTTTTGCATGAATTCTGACACTGCCCGACATTGCCAGCCGCTTCGCAGCTTACAGGCAGAATGTCAAGGCAAGCATCAAGGTAAGGCAAGGTAAGGCGGCGCGCACTGACGGGTAGGCCAGGCACCGATCCGCCGTTATAACTCCGTTAACAATTTCACAGAGTCTCCATGGTCGCCTCGCCTGAAAATGGACTCGCCTCGGCCGGGAACGAAGCGGTCCACTCTCCCATTCAGCGCCCACTGGACGAGTGGACGCTGGGATACAAGGGGTTGTTGTTTCTTTTTGCCAGGGGCCCGGGGAAAGAGCAAAGGTACCTGAATGACTTGAGGCAAGGGCGAAAGAGGGTTGGGGGGTGTGTCTGTAACGATGGTCCAAGCCCACTTCTTACAGCTGTGTAATGTTTCTTTCACTGCAAGTGCAAGCCCCAGCACACCTCAGCAGCCACCACACCTTAACAACAACAGGCATGGCTGTTAACATGTCAGTGCACACTCCATTCATTCCATTTGCTAAGGGAGGGCCGTAGGTGCATGCACATCTGCCAGACGTGCGAGACTCGCCAGTGCACCCGACCGCAGATGAGATGAGATGGCTGTACGCTAGAGTGGGTGCGTGGGAGTGGATGGGCTCCTTGATGCGCTGGATGCGAAGCGTGCTGGTGCCCGTGGCCCGTGGGTCAATCAATGTATGGTCATGGTATGGTCATGACACCGCAAGGAACCAATGGCAGATGACTGAGGGCGCAAAACACGCGGACGACCCGACCACACACCTTTTTGACCCTCAAAACCCTGGATGGAAAAGCAATGGATAAGACGAAAAATGGCTGGCCGCTCACGGTCACGGTCACGGATGGGAAAGAGGCGGATGCAGTGGCCCTTTGTATCTTTCACTTCATTCAACTCAATCAACCCCTGGCGGCCCCACACCCTCCTCCACTCCGTTGCCGCATCGGTCTCTACGTCGCCGTTTGGGACCCGGCATCGTGTTCCATGTCAGGGCAGTCTGGTTCCATCCAGGTGGATGGTACCTTTCAACCCCCCTGCAACACTCTCGTTCTGTGTAAGCTCTCGTAATATTACATAGTACATTGAGGTTCCATTGGATCCATCCTTGTACACACACCCCTTCTTTGGATCCTCCCGCCCTTTCTTTCCACTTTTACTCTTTACTGCTGTTTCCATTTCCTCGACGTCCACTACACTTACTTCCATATTCTCTCTCGTCTGCACTGCTCTGCTTAATTTTCTGTTTGCTCGTTCTCCATTCTTGACTTTTCCACACAAGTCAAACCAAACCAAAACCCAAACCAAACCATCCCTCGTCCCAACCTCTATAAGGAGAAGTAGGGGATACGAGACGGGAAACCAACAACAACCTCCACCACGCCGTCACCAACATAGACAGACCTTCCACTTGATTCCACTTTCACCCTAATTCACCCTTAAACAACCACACGGCCCTCAACGACTACAACCGACGTTCGAAATACCAAACACTGGTGTGTAATCTGTGGCAAGACACCGCCTCTTCTCGCCCAAGCACGTCCCAACCAAGGCCCCAGGTCACCGGCTTCTCTTATAAGCTGCCCTCCTCGGCCAACACCACCACCGACAGTACCTCCGTCTCGGTTCTTGTTTAACCTTGGTTGCGCTTTCGTGTCCCAACCCATCCCTGCTTGCTACTGCAATCACCCATACACACACCGTATACACGACACACAACCTCTCTCTCTTGGACACTCAAGTCTTCGAGGACGCCGATTGCTGCCGAGTGCCCAAACCACCACAACAGCAACCACAAGACTTTCTGTCGGTAAGCGGCTTGTTCTCTTCGCTTTGCTACATGGCCGTCATATTACACAAGCACACACAGGCCCAGGGTCTTCTCATTCCTTCATCCTTGGTCCAGTCGCTCCCTGCAGTGTCCCCCAAAGACCAGCTTCCCTACCACAAGACACAAGGGCCGCCACGGCTGCAGTCCATGCCCCTTTCCGCCTTTCCGCAGGCACTGAGTCCTTTTCCCCATCCATCCCTTCGTTGCCTTGTTTGCACTTTTCTCGCATGCAGCAGCCTTTTGGTGATACACATTGCTAACATGCATGCCACGAACAAAGGTCTTGGTCGCACTCATAACTGGTCCACTCGCCCTACCCATTTCCCCGGGTTTCTCTGGACTCTTGCTCCTCACCGATCTTTCCACTATAATTTCATCCGTCGTCGCTCACGTAGCTTGGCTCCAGTAATACCCTCAAGACAACTTCAACATGGGCGAACAAGGCGCAGGCAGTGGCTTCGAGAGCCACTTGTCTACTCACAGGCGACAGGACTCCACGGCCGAGGAGCCCCTACCGACAGAGACCGTCCCCGAGACGCGCAACCCACCCCAACAGTCCGAGCAGGAAGATCAGATCATGCAAGAGTTCGACAGAGTATCGAGGGAGCTGGTCACAGATGGAGGAGAGAGCACGGCTTCGACACCGGCCGCAGAGACGGCACCCAGGCTATCCAGGAATTCGTCGACTAGTTCCAACCGGCAAAGCACAAGCGAATACTTCACCGCCCATGCCAGGGATCGCAGGCCCTCACCGCTCTCTCGCAGCTCCAGTGTACCAATCGCCCCCAAGCCCCTCGAACCCCCAGTTACCCGCGCAACACTCAGCGAACTCGACGTCAGCAAGATAATACACAACCCCAAGCTGCGCCATGACATCAACTTCGACCCTGAACTACACTTCCGACCCAACCTGGACGGCGAAAAGGGAAAGAGGAAGCAGGAGAAGGCAAATCAGTTCTGGAACATGTTGATGGAGCAGCTAATACAATTCGTCATGGATCGGGAGGGCTTCTACGCGAGATATGGGACAGACGACAACTGGTGCCTGCCAGCACTCCTCAAGGCCGCTCGGGAGATCATTGAGACGTTGGTACCACAACGGGACCGCGATCTTTTGAACGATGGATTGAACGTGGAACTTCTGATGCAGCAGTTTCACCGGGGCGTTGCAGATCTGGAGAAGTTGGCGGCCTGGCTATCCGGTGTTCTCAAGCTACACTGTGCACCGATGCGCGATGAGTGGGTAGACGAGATGTACAATGAGCTCAGCAACGGGAATCGGAACAACGATATGGGCGAGCTGGTCAAGGGAATGAGGAACCTGCTTAGTGTGCTGGAGGCCATGAAGTTGGACGTCGCCAACCACCAGATCAGATGCCTTCGCCCTGTCTTGATCGAGGATACAGTCCACTTTGAGCAGCGTTTCTTTATCAAGAAGATTCAAGCGAGGAAACTCAGCATCGCTGCCGCCAAGGAGTGGTACCGCAACGCCGAGACTGCCGCCTCCATTGCCTACGCCAACACACCCAGCCCTCATGCTCAAGCATTCGGCGAGACCGGCACTTTCTTCGAGGCCCTCACACATCTCGTTCTGCCGTCCACCTCTACCAATAACGTACCCAATACCTTCCTCTTCGACGAGGAGCGCATCCTCAAGCTCAGGTCAGATATGTACGACAGCATCTGCCTCGAGATTTGCATGCGCAAGTATGAGGACTACGACAGCCTTTCGAGGCAGTTTTCCTCTGGAGTACCTGCTTACCTCTCTGAGGATAACGGCCGTACACTAAGTACCCGCTCGTCCGCCGAGTTCAACTTCTCCCGTCCCTCCAGTCTAACTTTTAGCGATCGCAACTCCCTGTCATCAACTGCTTCTTCTCCCCGCAGCTCCGTCATCTTCACACCCACTACCGGTTCTTGCACCCCTGCTCCTCAGGACTCTGCCGAATCCCGCCGAAAGGCACAGGATCTCTACTCGTCTCTTCTCGCCCTCCTCCACACCGCCCCACCCGCCAGCCGTCCCGACTACAGGTGGAAGAACCTCGCCGGCGCGATGGCCCTTCAGATCCTGCGCTTCGTCAACCACCCCCAGGCGTCGTTGGCCGAGCTCGAGGCCAACCTCGTCCGCGTACTAGGCGACCCCACATGTGAGGTCTTCCGGGAGGTCGAGGCGGAGTTCCAGCAAAAGTTGCTAGGCGAAGTGGCGGTCAAGGTCAAGGAGTTTAGGAATCTCTCTGGCGTTGGCCTCTTCTCGCGCGCAACTGGTGGAAGGATCCAGACCCCTGGCACTAGGGCGTGGAATGCCGGTGGAGCTGGCGATCACCTTCGCACCCCTGGAGCCAGCAAGGTGATGGGTATCCAGAGCCTTGGTGGCAGTGAGTCTACAACGACTGCTTCGTCTTCGTCGAGTTCATCCAGCACAAGGGACCCCCGCGAGGAGGCCGGTGTTGAGGACATGGCGACGCGGGTTGCCCACTTTGGCATTCTCCACTGGAGGGTGTGGGCGCAGTTGGCGTATGTGGGCGATGTCGAAAGTGAGTTGGAAAGTGCGGAGCTGATGGCTCAGATGCAGGCTCAGGGGTCGGCGTATGCTGAGCAGTTTGCCGCGGCGGCTGCGGCTGCCAATGTCGGGAGGATATGAGTTGGTGTGGCCGAAGTGAAAGAGGACACCGAGAGAGAAGAAAAAGAGAGAAGCACTCATTGCCTTTCTTAAGAAACGAATAGGCGGCAGTGGCAGTTGCAGGACTGACTGCTGCTAGCTTTGAAGCTTTTCGTTTTGTTGCTAATGCTCTTTTAATCCTCGTCATCGTTTTGCATTGTTGTGGGTTGGGGGAGAAGAGGATGATGGTTTCTATACCGTCTGTGTCACTCGTCCCCCCCTTCCACCATTTTCCTTTTACTACTACACTACTATTACTACTTGCTGTCCTCACGGGTTTTTCTTTTATCTACTACTACTACTACGGTTGGGGTTGGTTTGTGCCTGGTTTTGGTCTGGTCTGGTCTGGTCTGGTCGGCTTGGTTTGGCTTTTTGTTGTTGCTGTTGCTTGCACTGGTTTAGCTTGCTTGCTTGCTGGGTGCTTGGGTTTGCGCGCGTTTGGTGTTACAGTTGAGAAAGAAAGGTTGTTTTTGCGCAAAGTATGTGTCCCTGGCAGAGAGAGAGTCAAACAAGAAGTTTTTACTACTACTCGGAAATACCCCCCCCCCCCCCCCCCCCCCGGTTTTTTACTCATTTTATTTTTTGTTCTATGTCTTTTTAACTACACTATCAAAACCGGGTCACCTCGTTCGCTTTATTATCATACGATACTCATATCTACTCTACCTAACTCTACCTACCTTAACCTCTTTAACTACTACTCTACTGCTACTACTGCTACTATTACAAACGTTGGTTCGGTATTTTACCATTTTTTATAAACTTGTTATTGTCGTGTGTCGTGTGCGTCGTGCTAGTGTTGGTACTGGATACAGAAAGAGTTTTTAATGGGATCATGTCACATTCGGTCTAGAGCTCTTTACTAGAAGAGATATAGAGACCTTGTTTTTATTTAGAGGAGGAACCAAAAGGATGAGAGCAGTTCGCACTTGCTGGGGTATACACGAATGGACACACAACAGACAGACAGTCAGACACAAGACAGAAGACACAACAGGCGCGCGCCAAGGGGGAAAGGAAAGGGAGGAAAAGCAAGCGAGCGAGCGAGCAATTATTGACGTTTGGCGTTTTCTGGTGACGGGAAAGGAAGGGACGTGCGTGTGTGGTCACTCAACCGCCTTCATTATCCATTTCTCTTAGACTACGAGTTTGGAGATGGAGGTAGTCTGATGACTGTTGACTGGTGCTGTGGGAGAATAGGGAGGCGTTACTTACATCGCTTGCTTTAGTTACGCTAGTTGGTTATATCATTGGTTGTCTCTACCTCTCTCTCTTCCTCTGCCTTTCTAACTCTGCCTTTCTACCTCTGCCTTTACTTCTCTGTGCCTCAGCCATTGGTTGTCCTTGGTACCTCTATGCCACTGTCGTTGACATGATTGCTATTGGATTGTTGGGACTTCCATGAGTGTTTTGACTCCCTGCCCGTACAATTAACCTGGTTTCCGCTTGTACTGTACCGCTGGGCTGGGTGCTCTTGCCTTCCACAGGGGCAGTGTTTGGTCGTCTGTGCCCGGGCCTCCTCCGGTGTGTGTCAGTTGTTCTTTCCTTTTTATGTCGCTTTCCATCCTGCAACTTGCTTGAAAATAGGTAGGTAACTTCCACGTCGACCCACCTCGGGGCTGTCTTGCAGTTACAACCATTGTCTATCTATCGTTAGAGGTAGCTGCTTTAGTTCTTTGTATATGTTTGTGCCTTTAACGCATCTGGTGTTTCTTTTGACACCAGACAGGCGTTTTTCTGTTGCACGCCGGAAACTATTCGGGCAGTCAGTCATAGCAGCTTTTAAAATCAAACCGCGCCTCTCTGCAACATCTTTCTTGCCTTGATCTTGAATGTGTGCGCGTCTCATGCCCTGCCCTTTTTTGCAGGCGAAACTTCAAACTACCTACGAAAGTAGCTACACAGTTAAATATCGTGAGAAGTTACCCAAGGTGTCAGTCAGTCAATCCCCCCCAAGACGACGCTTCCAACCAATGCTTCTTATAAAAAATTTTGTCCTTCTCTCCGAGCGCTATCCATGGCTGCTAGCTCTCATCACTTCATTCTTTCTTTCCGAACAACCGAAGTCCCATCGCGTGCGTCTAACACCACCTCTACACTACCTACTACTTAATCACTTGAGGTGTTCCCGCCGCCAAGGTGCAAGCCCTTTTTCGGTATTCCAGCTGCTCCGTCTTGGCAGTACGAGTGCGTGTTGATGGACACCCCTTCCATGCGTCTGTACGTTTTTTTTTTTTTTTTTTGCAACTGCCCCCACGACCAAAACCACTCGTTACGACGTTACGGAGGACCTCCTCGCACGCCACTTCTCTCCTCTGGACATATGCTCGGTCTTCGATGCTCCCGTCTCTTTTTGCGCAGCCGGGGGTGGAGAGCAGGGGAAGGTAAGGTATCGATTACCGTAAAGCACATTTTATGGAAGCAGGATCTTTTAATCCTTTACTGGCGCGCTTCTTCACTGGTGCGGGTGCGGATAGGTTGAGGTTGGTTTTATCGGTCGGTGAGTGCGGTGGATGAATGGATGGGATGCCCGATCAAGGGACTGGAGGTCCGATTCCCGTCGTAGCTTGAGGGAAGACTACGTAGGTAGGCCGTGACGGGAATGAACTGGGGCTAAAACATGTATCCAGATCTAACTCGTGGCATTGAGTGTCTGAGACAACCAACATAGAGACTGGAGTCTAGCAGACTGACTGCTCTTTTCTCCGGCAGGCAGACACGGGGAAATCACGCTTGAATTGTCTACGGATGCCGGAATCACTCGAGCCTATACACACAAAAATCTGGTGAGTGAGATCTCAAACAGTAAGGAGACAGAGAAAGAGAGGGATGGAGAGAGAGACACGAGGGGCCACTTGCTTTATGTGTTCTAGACTTGGACTTTTGTGAGTGCAGAGTGATAAAGTCAAGGGAAGTAAAGCGGTTATTGACTCATTACTTCCCGTTCAATGGTGGTCAGGGAAGTTCATAGTCTGGGATCACCAACCGTAGTGCCTTGAAGAGAACAGAGCTAGAGGAAAGAACATCCACGAGCAATAATAGAGCATGTGAACAGCCTTATTTCGGTCTTCCATTATTTACCGCGCTGAAAGTGACAGTAGCAGACATGACTGGAATAAGTCGTCAAAGGGGAGTAGGAGAGGAGAAAGGATAGGACGAAGAGTTGCAGTAGATATGACCATAGCACAGAACCACATCCATCTTGCGAACACCTCATTCCACTAACGACTAGGCATCAGGAGTCTTCATGTTACCATTCTCTCTGCTATTTGGTATCCGAACGAAGGGATATGGCGCGGTGATTGTTTAGGACATGCCGCCCAAGTCAGATGAAGTATCCACGATATTGATGGCCCAGCCATAGCTTCCTTCTCTTGCCGTGAAGAACCACAAAGAATTCTGGATCCCCCTCAGCTTGGCTAACAACCAGACGGTATCTACCTTGTGACCGAACTCAACCCAGCAAGCCAGATGGAAGAGCGATGGCGGCGAGAGCAGCCTAGAATCGTCATCTTAAATGTCGGCTAGGCGGAACCCAGTTGATGGCATGTGATCCGACCAGCCATATCGCAGCCACGATGAGCCCATATCCCTTCTTGCACTGCCGAGTCTCGTCCTGTCGCCCAGAACAGTGGGTAAACCAGTAATCCACAGCTCAGGCCCCATATCGGTGAACTGACGGAGTCCAACAACGTTTTCATGGGCGCCTATTGCTCCAAGTCCCACAAAGACCCTGTCGATCTCGCCTTGCTGAGTGAGAGTGATTGGCCGGGTAGGCCAAGTTCCGGGCGTCGATAGTCGCAAAGTGTCGGTGTCCCTGAGGTTGCCTCATCTTGGCCTCCCTTTTGTCCTCCTTCTCCTGATTGTCGCCCTGATATTTCCTCCTAGTATTCCCTTCAAGTCCGCAGCACTTGGTGTTCCCCCTCCCGGAAACGGTCGATCCTCATGTTGTCGGGACTGTCACGTTCTCCGGAATCCTTCAATTCATTTTCTCCTTTTGGTTAAATCCAGTATGAACATGTCCTCCACCAACTCCAATATTGTGATTAAAACGGCGCAAGTGCATATGGACGTCTGGCGCTAAACATTATATAAACGTGTATGCGTGTCGAGATGATAAGGGAAGGTGGATTTAGTTGCCAACAAGCATGGAGAACTATTCAGCACGCCACGTTAGATGTCGGTTCTAGAACATAGTAGGGCCATGTGGAACAGGGAAACATACCGCCATGAGGACACAACATATGCTAACATACGGACTCAACCGCTCGCCTATCCTCGCGCACTTCCAGAAGATGCCCATCAAGCTGTTCAGTTTAATGTCAGCATGTCGTCCCGTTCAGCAGTCCCTCTATATCTCTTATCTCTCGTGCTATCGTCGAGAGCAGAGAACCAAGAGCCATGGCTAAAAAGGGGGAGGGCCAAGCGCAACTCACCCATCCTTGTTCCGGTCGAGGATCGCGGGGAAGATCTGATGTACGTGTGTCGAAGTGCAGACAAGGAGGATGATGACTAGGAGGAGGGATTGGAAGTTGAAGAGCGCGGTCTGCGAGAAGGGAGGTGGTTAGCGTCGAGGTGACGGGATGCGAGGTGATGCGCCAGGAGGGTTGACTGATGACGTTGCGGGTGACTTACCATGGTGGGCGCTTGGTATTCCGGGGACGGATTGATGAAAATCTGGTAGGGGTTTCTCGTCGAGTGTAGATGTGTATAGAGTCTCCGTGTCGTCGCTCGTGGGAATTGCGTGTGAAAATGCCGTCGTGAACTTGGTGGTTACGTAGGTGTAGTCAGCCAGTTGTGGAAGGCCAGGGTGTCATAGCTCCTTCCACAGCTTCCAGGGCAAAAGAGGCCCGCGAGGCTGCGAAATTCCACACTGAACTTTCAGCGCTGTTAGGGGGTGCCGCTCAGCACCCCACGCCCCCGGGGCGCGCACAGCTTCAGCTCCCGTCCTCGCTCTTGGATGAGGCTGGATCCTGATTGGTCATTGGACCCCATACCGCCTTGTGGAGCCACTGTTACACAAGGCAGGCAGGGGTTCCTGGCGCCGTTGGGGGGGCCTTGGGGGCCTTTCTAAGTTTCCACTTGGCATTTCGGAGCCTCATTGTTTATCGATTGTTCATCATCCATCGTCATCGTTTTCAACTTGGAACTTGTCCTCCAACGAGACGCCAAACTCGGGACATATGCGGCCGGGCTGAATGCTCTTCCAAGCCAACTAAACAACCATCTTCCAGTCTACCATAATCAACGTCTCGACCGCGCGTCGCATAGTCGCCAAAGCATTTGCGCTCCTCCACCACTTTAACGCGACAAGGCTGATCGAGCTCTCGACCCCGCGCAGCTTGAAGCTTCAAAGCCCATCAATCTTCGACTTAAACTTCTGCGCCCACCCAACAACTCAGATCTTGGTCGCTTCGAAACCGGATCTACCTCCACGTATCGTATCGCATCGTACAAACCCCCCGACCGCGACCGCGACCGCAATACTCAACCACCTCCATCCACCTCAACTTCTCTCATCACCACATCACCACATCACCACCCTCACGCCGGGCCTCAAGCTCACCACCACCCGCCCATCATGGAACCCCGCGCCCGCGCCGGCAAAAATGTCGGCAAAATGAACTTTAACCACAACGAACGTACGTCGCGCCTCCTTTCTCTCCGCCCATTTCAACTTCCCCCTCAGCTTCCAATCTCCCCACCACCTATCTCCAGCTTGCCCATCCTTCATCCATCCCCCATCCCCCATCCCCCATCCCCTATCACCACCAATCACTAACAAAAACCCGTCCCCCCTTCAACAGTAGCCCAACTCCTCTACGGCCACGGCGACCTCAAAACGCCGCTCCCCGAAACCGTGCGCGTGCTCGACGAGCTCATAACCGATTTCATCCAAGGCGTCGGCTTCGAAGCCACGCGCGCCGCCCATCATGCGGGCCGACAAAAAGTCAAGTTTGAAGATTTCGAGTTCGCCATGCGTCGCAACCCGCGATTCATGGGCAAGATCCAGGAGGTATTCGAAAAAAAGAAGGAGATTGAGGCGGCGCGCAAGAACTTTAATATTGAGGATCAGCTGATGAAGGATGCTGATAAGGAGGAGAAGGAGAAGGAGAAGAAGGGTGGGGATAAAGAGAAGGGTGATAAGGAAAAGGGAGGTGGGGAGAGGGGGGAGAAGACGGCAGAAAAGGGGGAGAAGGGCGGGCCGGGATCATCAAGTGTGTCCGGGTCGGTGTCGGGGACCAAGAGGAAGAGACAGCAGAGTGACATGTTGGAGGATGAGGAGTTGGATGAGTTGGATGATGATTTGGATGCTGAGGCGGATATTACTGGGACGGCGGCGAAGAGGAGGTAGGATCTTCTTGGGTGGAAGCGTCGTTGATTATATTTCGTTTTTTTTTGGGGGGGGGGGGGGGGGGGGGGGGGGTCCGGATTTTGGCGGAGTTGTTGGTCCGCTGGATGACCTGAGGAAAGACGGCTGAGGACGGCATGGGCATTATTTCGTTTTGATAATATGCATAGCGAGGCGTTAAGGAATGGATATGGTTAGGTGGTCAAACATCGATGGGGGTTATTGCCATGAACGGGCTATAAGTTTAGGGGGAGTTCTATTATACTCTAGACACAACACCTTCTTTTTACAACAGTATTGGTATCAACATTACTCTTCATACCAGTCCTTCCTTCGTTAACCTTCTTTCTCTCGATCCTTAGGAGAGTGCCCAGGACCTATTTCCCCTTCCCGGTTTCCCGTTTCTTTCCCTTCCCCTTCCCCTTCCCCTTCCCCTTCCCCTTCCCCTTCTCCCCTCCACCAACCCCATCAAAAACCCCAATCTCCCCTCCCCCCGGCAACGTCCCCTCAGGCACCACAACCTCCAACCCCTCCAACACCCCCTTCGTCATCTCCCACTCCTTGCCCGCACTAATCCTAGCCATCCTCATCTCCGGGCCAATAACCATATTCTTCTTCCCCTCCCTGACCTCCCCCTCCCCCCTCCCCCTCCCCCTTCCCTGCTCCCTCTCCCTCTCCCTCGCCCTCGCCCTCTCCCTCTCCCTCTCCTCATCCTTCTTCTTCGCAACAAGATTCCACTCCCCAACCTGCCTCATCAAATCCTCCATCGCCTTCCCCGTCGCTTTCAAGATCGCCACCGCCGGGTCTTTATACGGTCCAGAACCCACCAGACTGGTGAACAGACACCCGATAAAGTGCTTCTTGTCCTTGTCGTCCGGAGAAGCGGAAGAAGGACGCGGCGGGATGAGTAGTGCCGTGCCGACTAAGCTGCGCTGGTGCTTGGTTAAAGCGTTTTTGCGGGCTTGGATGGGGTCGATGGACTCCTCCAAGTCTTCTTGGTCTTGGGAGGAGGGGTAGAGATCGGTTTGTGAGGTGGTGGTGGTGGTGGTGGGGATGGATAAGCACTGCGCTTTGTATCTGCGGTAGGCTCGGGGATAGTGAGTGTGTAAGATCTTGTAAGTTGCGGGGCTTAAGTTGTCTTGGGCGCTGCAGGCGAGGATGAGGAGGGTGCCGGGGGGAGGGGAGGACAAGAGGTTGGTGTTGGCGTGGGGGGTGAGGGTGAGGCGGTGGGTGATGAGGGGTGGTGGTGAGGGTGGTTGTGGTTGTTCTGTTGGTGTTGTTGCTTGTGGGGTTTCTTGAGGGTTTTCGTTTGCTGATGTTGTTGTTGCTTGTTCTGGTGCTGATGTCGTCTTCGTCTTCGCCTTTGGTTCTGCTTCTCCTGCTTCTTCTCCTGCTTCTCTTTTATCATCCTTTGTCTCCGTCCCCGTCACACCACCCGGCGACGACGACAACAACCTCAAAGACCTCATCATCACTCTCCCGCCATCGACGATCAGATCACTCCCCACCTTCCAACCCTCTTCATGTCCCAACGCACTCGGACCAAACTTGCGACCACTCCTTAGACTGAGCGTGACATACGATGCCCCTGGGCCCTTCCCTTCGACCCTTCCCACCACCACTGGTCCAGCTTTCTCGGAATTCACTTTCCCATCACCACCTTCCAGCAGCCCTTTACTTTCCTGAGCCTGCTGAGTCTGCTGCTGACTCTGCTCACTCTTCTCTGTTCTACTTCCAGCAGCACCAGCAAGAAATCTCTCACGGGATTTACTAATGGCCCGTAACCTCCGAATCCTAAAACCCCCATCACCACCACCACCCTCACCCCCGCCACCGTCAGCACCGGCCCCGACGCCAAAGTCCGTTGACTTGGTGTGCTTCAACCCCGTCTTCCCGTCTTCCTGTGCCCGTCCCTGTCGCGGGTCGCAATTTGATCCATCATCACCGCTCTCCGCTTTCCCTTTCCCCCCTGCTGCTATCTCCGAAACTTCAAAGGGATGTGTATCCGTCAGTAGGGGATGTGTCCGGGCTAATATCGCCTGCTTCTGCTGATGTCGGTGCTGTTGTTGTCCCCGAGTTTCAGTTTGTTTTTCCTGCTGTTGTTGCTGCTGCTGTCGCTGCTGTTGCCGTTGCTGTTGCTGTTGCTGTTGCCCCTCGCTTCCTACCGCCTGTTGTCGGTACTCCCCATGTTGTTGGTGCCGATTCTCCTGCTGCTGCCCCTTCTGCCCCCTAATAGTATGCACCCCATCAATCTGTCTCTTAATCTCCTCCCTGATCCGCCTCTCCACCTGCCGTCGCAATGCACCCTTCCTGGGACCAAGACCACGACCGGGACCTGTTGCACTCTGACTGTGCTGCCGTAATGGCACAATCCTTCCAACAGGAAATTTTGATGTTGACCTCTCGCGGATGATGAGGCCGATTGGGGGGTTGAAGAGGCGGAGGTGGGTTGTTGGTCTCATTGTTTGCTGTCGATTGTTGAAGTATGGGTCAAGTGGGGAGGAAGGAGGGAGAGGGAGGGAGGATAATGCCGAGGCAGATGAGAGGACGGGATAAATACAGGCGCCCGCCGCTAGGCAACGGGAAAAAGGGAAAAGAAAAAGAGTGACGCGGGTGAGTGAGTGAGTGAAGGTGAACTTTTAACGCGATGTGTTCACAACTGAAGAGACAACTAAAGGGAAGTCGTTGAATCGATATCGGCCGGATTAACTGTAAATCGGATTGGTGTAACCTGAAGGGGTAAGAGGCGATGCAGGTGCCAAGACCGTTCCGCCTCCTCTGGCTGGTGCGTCATCCGATGTAACTCTGGGAGACTAGCCTTTTCAGGTTGGAGGGAGAGCCTCATCGCCGTTCTGGACCTCGGAACAATAAATCAAGTTGAAACCCATAGATTACCACATCATAGGGAACCAAGCAAGAGACAGTTCAGAATAGGAATAACAATGCCATATCATTGCTCTATGCATCTACCACTACCAACACCACACACCTATATCTCTACTCACCACTCTAATAAAACTGTGACCAAAAAGGAACGGACCAACAACCAAAAGACCAAAACAGAGGAAAACAATCATCAACCCATGTACTCTTTAAGCTCCTCCGACTCTTCAAGCTGTTGCTTAAACGAGAACGGCGCAAACGGCCATCCGCCAAACTCGGCGAACTTGGAGAAGGACTCGACCCACGCGAGACGCAACGAGTGAAGCTGTTATCACACAAAATCATTAGCGGATGCTCTCTACCAAGGACATATGAGAAAGCGAGGCTTACCATAGCAGAGACACCCTCCATGATAATCAAAATGATAACGCTGAGGACAAAGAACATGGCAAACGCAGCCACAAGGAAGAGGGCACCGCCAATACCCCTGGCTTCCAGCGCCTTCGCCATGGTCATGGACCAGAGCACAGCGGAAAGCTGCTGATGCGCAAGCGAAAGAGCCCAAAGACGGAGGTAGGAAGCCGTGTGCGAAACGCAGTTGAGGCAGAATTCTGTTTCCTTGTTAGCACGCCACCGTTAACATAACCCATCGGACAACAGAAGAACTCACCGATAGTATGAATAACCTGGTGAATCATCACCTCACCAAACTCAAACTCCTCATGCTCACCATCACCATGGTCATCGTGGGTAAGCATGGCCGCACCCTCATAGTCGTCACCGGCGTCAATGGTATGGCCGTTCTCATCATCGTCATCCAGAGCACTAACACGAGATCGCTCGCCAATACCGCGATAGCCCTTGGCGCGCGCCCGGTTGTTCTCCCAGCGAAGATAGAACGGCTTGAGGAAGAGTAGGACAGGAACCTGGACGACAGCCAGCAACAGGAGGATAACCTGAACTGTAGCCTGGCCAGGGTAGAGTTCGACGCCACCGTCAAGGGTACCAGGTTGCAAGAACATGTAGATCAACATGTTCAAGAGTCCAGGCGGTTGCTTGCCGGTGCCGAACCAGTCGACGGACCACTTGTAGATAATGCAGAGGACGAGATAACCAAAGATAGACTGGAAGAAGATCATACCCGGGACAAAGTTACCCCAGATGTCGATCGGCTTCTTGAAGTGGCGGGCGTTGATGTATGAGAAGCACAGCGAGTACGTCATGTGGGCCCAACCCAGGATGATAGCCATCTTCATCTTGTAACTGTTGCTGAAGAGCAAGTCGTTCTCGGTACCGTGCCAACGCCAATCGAGACCAAAGGGATAGCGGTAACCGTTGGGTTCGCGGAGCACGGCCTTAACACTCATACCTTCCTTGTAGTTATCCGGTACAACCCACTTCCACTGACTGTCAAAGAGGGTCATGGACTTGGAGAATACATCGTTGTAGATGAGACCGGTGTAAACAGAGAAGACGGCCATGACCAAAGCGATGTAACGACCGTAGTAAACCATGGCGAAGAGCTCGAACGTGACCTTCTTCAGGGGCTTCTCCCAGTAGATCATGGCAAGGGCGGCGCAAAGCATGATCATGGCGTGACCAAAGTCACCGAACATGACAGCGAAGAGGAAGGGGAAAGTGACGATGACCGGGATGGCAGGGTTGACTTCCTGGTAGGTAGCAGTACCGTAGGCGTTGACGATGGTTTGGAAAGCCTCGGTGAACTTGTTGGTCTTGAGGTACGTAGGAGGGGTCTTGTTGGTCCGGATCTCGTTGATAATGGACGGGACCGAAAGACCAGCCCTGTTGTTGACATCCTGCAGAGTAGACCTGATGAGCGGCAGGTCGTTGGTAGGACACCAACCCTCGGCAATCAAAGTCCGGCGAGCCCGGTCGTACGAGAAGAGGTTGAGAGTGTTATAAACAGCCTTCTCCTTGCTGACGAGAATCATCCAAGCCGAAAGTGACTGGGAGGTCTGGGAAAGCTCAGCGTCGAGCGTCTGCTGGGTGTTGCGGAGGACGTTCTGGACATCGTTCAGTCTAGCGTTGACCTCGTGGACCTGATCCCGGCGCAGATCGCTGTTTTCATCGACATTGTACACCTCGGCGCCCATAGATTCGGAAATGCGGCGGATCTTGGCGAGAATTTCCTTGCCGTGGGCAAAAATGACAAAGACGTTCTTCTCAACGGGCTCGTTGATGGTGGGATCGATCAAAGGCTCGGGAATCTCGGCCTGGTTCATGTAAAGGTTACCGCGGAGGGTACGCCAGAGGATGCGCTCAAAGGCATCGACGCGGTCTCTACCGATAACACCGGCGACGAAACCGATGTTCATGCCAGAGAAGGAACGCTCGACATCGGCGGCGGTGTTGTGCTGCTCGACATCCTGCAGCAGAGGGGCGTCATCGTTGTCGGTGGACGCCCTAATCTCCTCGACGTTGCCGTGGGCCCGGTCGAAGAAGCCGCCAGCCTCGCGCAAGACCCATCTCCATTCAGTCAGCTCGACCTCGCGCTTCTTCAAAGTTTCGTAGCTCTCGTTAAGAGAAGAGACGCGCTGCTCCAGGGTCTGGGCACGTTCGGCGAGTTCGTCGATCTCGGTGGTGGTGGGCGGGGCGAGGGTGTCTACGTCGAGGTCGAGTTTGCGGAGAGGGATTCCAGCCTTCTCCATCTGGGAGTGGAAGTAGCCTTGGCACACGAGGTTAGCGATGATGCGATGTGGTGGCTTCGGGAGGAGGGGCATACGCAGTTGGCGTTCGACATTGTCCAGGCGTCTAATGTCTTGGGTAAATGCTCTTTGGAAAGCACTGAGTTCCGAGTTGAGCTGTATTGGCACACATGGTTAGTTTGACTTTGTTGTTGTTGACGTTGGTGGTGGTGCTGGTGGGTTCTCGTCATGACAGGGCAGCAAGGCAGGGGAGGACTCGGATGGCATTACGTCTCTGAACTGGACAAGCCCCAGCTCGCCCAGGGCATTGCAGACTTCGCGGCCGATTTCGTTGGAAATGTAGAGCTGGACCATGCTCATGTCCGCCGAGCGGAACGGCGTGTCCTGTTTCGGCGCCATCGTGGATGACCCGATTGAAGCGGAATGCTATGTGCAACTCCGAGTCGTTGTCGATAGGTTTTGTTGGTGGTTTGGATTCAGTTCCAGGTTCAGTTGCTACGATGTCCTGCAATCCATGGACGCTGGATGGTCACAGGTGGACCATGCGTCGCCGCGCCAGGCAGTGGCCACTTATATTGTTGGACGCCCTTGTTCCTTGCCGCCGCCAGCGTCGCACTTTGCTGACGCACGCTCGGCCACCCATTGACAGCAGCTGGCACTGCCAGAAGGGAGAGTGTCAGCTGTTATGCCCTAACCCTGAGTATGACACTCTTCTCACTTGTTATCGCAGTGACGTCTGAGAACAGTGCTTTGTCTTCTCTTTTCTGTCTTTCGAGAAGAGGTTGCCGATTCTTTATCTTGATGAATGCCACGGACATTGGATATACTGCTGCAAAGTCTTCAGAGCCAAGATATATGTAGGTCCTACATACTCTGCTCTCTTTAAAATGACTTGATCCGCAGTTGCCTCGTGAACAAAGTATACACTACTCAGAAACTCTTCAGTTTCTAATCCCATCACCACACAAAAGCAGGTACCGTCTCTTGCATCTCTATCAACAAAAACCTCAGTGACGTCACTACTTGCAGTTATTCTACTTCCTGCAGAATCCATCAAGGGACCAGTTAGAAAAGACTTTCAAGTTCCCCTTCTTCTCGGATTCCATTTGATACTATTCATGCTCAATGTTTTCAGCACATGGACACTCATTCGGAGGAGGGGAAACCCCCACGCGGGGTCGGGTCAAGGACTCGGGAATGGTCACACCCAGTGGCCATCCATCACACATACAAATTACTCACTCACTCACTCAGCGATTTAGGAACGAGTCCGATATCTTATCTAAGTGTTTCTCGGATATCATTTGGCACAAGCTGTGAGGTTGTAATATTGTAGCACATTTTGCTTAGTTTAGGTAGTCAAGTCAAGTAGAAACTCGCCAAGTTGCTTATAAATGTAGCACAAGTCTCCTCCCATCCTTTCCCGTGGGTTCTCCCGCTAGAAGCTTTCCATACACATACATACAACTTCGAAAGGCAGTTATCACAAAACTGTTGGTTTTGCCTCCTTTTTATCTCTTTATGACCAAACAGTCAATTCCTTTTCCCTGGAAACTCCTGCTTTTGGTATATTGATGTCCATCGATGCAAAGCAAAATTTGGATAACCCTTCTTTTGACGAACAACAACAGAAAGCCTATCCCTCCAAAAACTCCATGCAATGACAATGATGCGAAAAGCCGAAAACCCTCAAATACCGATAGATCCATTGGTGGACGATGGATATTGGAACTCTCAACGACCTCGCTCTCGGCTTTGCGAAAATGATATCAGAAACTCAAAAAACTCCGTGGTTGAACGCAAAACCCAGGGAGAAAAAAACGCCGAAATCGCTCGCTTGCCATGCCGGTCATACCATGCCATGCCATGCAAACATAGGGGATACATAAGAATAAAAAGGTGAGTAGAGAGTC